GGTTGTCACATCTGTCAATAAAAGACAGTGTGTTTCTATACAAATATATATTTGCCTTTTTTGCTGCATCGTCAAATCTAATTCCCAAATTAATTCTTATAATACTACACTATAAATCCCATCAACATAAAAGAAGTTAATGGTAAATGGTAAATGGACCTGTACTTGTATAGCGCCTTTCTAGTCTTCCAACCACTCAAATCGCTTTTACACTACGTGCCACATTCACCCTTTCACACACATTCACTCAGTGATGGCAAAGCCCATCGAACAGAAACTAACTCATTCATACACACTCACACACCGATGCCCAGCATCGGGAGCAACTTGGGGTTCAGTATCTTGCTCAAGGACACTTTAACTAAGTGGTTTTAAGTGCAGGATTTTAATTATTGGTGATTTAATTCCGGTTTATTTTAATGACTCAAGCTACTTTTTTTCACTTAAGCAAAAAATGCAAAACTAACTACAGCCAGTGTTTGGTTTGTCCCTTCTGGGTTACTGTAGAAACATGGCGGTTCAACATGGTGGACTCCATGGAAGGCAATCTGCTGCATCAGTTGTTAAAAACAGCTCATTTTAATTAACAAAAACACAATGATTCCTATATTCAGGTGATTGTTCACTAATGAAAACATACCTATGAATTTTATATTTCTTTTTTCTGCCAATAGATCCTCCTTAAAGTTCACACACTGAAGCTTTGAAAAAAAGAATAGGAATTTCAAGAGGATTTTGTGAACGGCGAAAATAAGTAATTTCCCCACGGGGATTATTAAAGTATTTCTGATTCTGATTCTGATTCTGATATTCTATTTCCTCACTTGAAGAATAAAGGGCAACTTTGGGTTGTTCAGGTGTGCTCCAGCAGTAACCATGTGTATAAGTTAGCTAACACTAGCTACATGTTACCGTGTACCTTTGTGGACTTTTCCTACTTGTGCTATGTTATGCCATGTTTTAGCATGTGACAGGTAAACATTTCAATGATTTTACCTTGGGAAAAAATTAAGTATTTGGTGCCACCATCAGGACAAAATGTGATGTAACAAGCAGATCAGTCTGCTGTTCATTCATTTGTGTTAATCCTGTATTGTTTATTATCCAACATGTCTGTAGGTTGTAATGATATTATATATATCAATATCAGAGCTGCTAGGCAGGGTGGATCTAGAGGGGTAGCAGCTGCCACCCTTAAAAATGCCTGACCACCCCAGCTCTGGTGTCAAATGCTGGTATATTTAACCATTTATTTAGCTTAATTTCTCAGTTTAGACTAGGGTGATTGCCTTAACTTCAATGAATAAAGACATGTATTTCGAAAAATAAATTTCGAAAGATTTGGAAATTAAACAATGTATTGATTTGTAATAACACCTATAGTTATTTCTATTCAGTGCTTTACTAAGGTGCCATAATAATGTTTATGAGTTCAAATCTTCATTTGGGGGATTTTCCAAAATTGATATATGTGATTGTTTGTGATTAAATCAGCATATGTTTCTGCCTACTCTTAAAGTCTCCATGCCACCCTCTGGACACCCCAGAAATATTTATCTATATCTGCCCTGCAGACACTTTTTTCCGTGTGTGTGTTCTCAGTTCATACTGGTATATACTGGGATTTTGGTTACATTCTAAAATATAAATGAACAGCCAATCCAAATATATCTGATTGAGTAAGTTTGAACTGAGCATGAAGGCCTGCAGTGTGAGCAGAGCCACGTGCAGTGCGCTGTGTCATTGGTAGTGCTCCGGCTGAGTCTATAGTTAGAGTCTGCGCGCACACTCACACTCACACACACACCAAAACTTACCATCTGCATGGTCAGAGAACGTTCACATGCTCACACCTACACACAAGTTGTCATGACAAAAGGATGGGTAACACAGGGGCTATTTGTGTGTGCTTGTGTGTGTGTGTGTGTGTGTATTTGTGTGTATGTGAGAAGGAGAGAGAAAGAGTATCGGCAGTAAGAGCACATACTTTTAGAGTTCGAGCTGAAAATACAGACTACACATGTGGCTGTTGTGCCATGTTGTTTTTGTTGGTCGTGTGTGTGTGTGTGTGTGTGTGTGTGTGTGTGTGTGTGTGTGTGTGTGTGTGTGTGTGTGTGTGTTGTGTGTGTGTCAGCTTAACTTCCACCCCTCAGATGAAAAGCTTTTGTTTATAAGAACGCAGTAGCGTCACCTGCTGGCTGATTATTTAAAGTGCATTTGACTCACTGATAACGGCTTTTTTTTAATCCTAATATAAATACCTGAAATAGGTCAAAGCTCATTGGACCAAAACATAGCTGATTTGAACATTTAGCATTTGTTTTTACACGGTGCTGGGCTTGCTGGACCGCAGCAGTTGTTGGATTTTCCCCATTGGCCCTTTCTCTTTCAAAATGAACAGACACACAAAGTCCTGACTTACATCCTCAGGAGCACATTGATCGTACACACACACAGCCACATACTAGCTAGTCTTGTTTTACTGCTGCCTGATAAGGACGGTTGCATGGTTCATTTATATACTCATACTCTCTCTCTTTCATCCAGCTGCCTAACATGTTTGGGAATGTCCGATCAACCATCCTTTCCCTGATGATTGGCTCCTACGCTTCGTCAGCCGTCACCTTCCCTGGTGTCAAGGTGCTCACAGACACACACACACATGCATGTATGTACAAATCAACTTGCTGCTGCTAACTGCTGGCAAAGCACAGATTTAGTGTTCACACATCATAATCAGCACAAAGAAACTACTTGTTTGAGATTGTTGAAATTAACTTGCTTATACAGTTTTGACATTAAATATTCAATCCGCAAGATTTTCTGTTCTGTTTTTATTTTATCATAGTTCTATACTTAAAGCAGCATTATGTAAGATTTGGTATTTGGTGGAATTTGGCATCCCCAGTTGCAATCCTACTGTGGTAAATATGGGCAGCTGTACATTGATTACATTACTTATAATCAAAAACTTTGCTAACACAGCCAAACAACAAGCAAGTGTAATAACTCAAAACATAGCAAGCCGCTAATATTATTGACTAGTCCAACAGCAAAAAATGTTGCTTTAATAACATAAAGAAAATACATGTTATATTAATTTATTTATGTATTTGTCAGGGACAGTACACAGATACTTAGCTGCAGCAGAGTAAGCTATGAGCTGATCTATATATCTGTAGTCCTGGTAACAGCATCTGAAATAATATCTCTGTTAAGAAATGAGCGTTGTAAGAAACATACAATCACGTACAGTACATGGTCACTAATAGCAACAATGACGGCAAGATTTTACAACACTAAAGTGTTTGCATTCCTGCGTGATGAGCACATGATTGGGCTGGATTTTATGATTTCATCTTGAATTTATAATCAGTGAAGCTGCAGCACCCTCTTGTATATCATGGTACAGAGCTCTAAAAATGTGTCAAATTCACTAGATCTGTGCTGTATCGTCACCTCTGTTGGTTGTCCTAGATGTGCTCCTGTTATCTGAGCACAGTGATATGAACTGTTTTAACATTGTGTAATTGCTGAAAGCTGAGAGGAATGTGAAACGGTAAGAAATATGTGGGAAATGGGAACTAAAGAGGAACATGCTGATAGACTTTTTAACATGTCATCTCTTTTATTCATCTCTATCTGTCTCTTTGTGTCTCCCTCTCCTTACCCGTCTTCCTCCCTGTCTCACCACTCCTCTTCAGCTGATTTACGACCTTGGCGTGTCGTTCCGTGTCATCATGTGGGTTTGGTCCGGGATGGCCTGCATGGTCTTCCTCAACTGCTTCCTAAACTGGCCCGCTGAATCCTTCCCTGCGCCCGAGGACATCAGATACACGTCAGTGCACTCAAATCAGTACACACAGTCATCCTCCCTGGAAAATCCCGTAATGACTTTGACCATAACATTATTATTAAAACTACAAAACACTCATGATATTGGGAAAGCTTTTTCTACACACAGAATGTGTGAAATGCTCATTATTGGATAAAGATTAAGAACAATCTTGCAAGTCCCAACTCATGCTAGACACTGTGTTGTTGTCTGCCATCCAGCGCTTCATGCATGAATAATGACAACCTCATTCAGGGTTGTTTTTAGAGTGTGTTAACTGTTTAGGCATGATAAAATCACGTCCACCACACGGGTGAACCGCATGCAATTGAGTTTTCATCATTAAAAAACTATATATGTATTTATATAAATGTTAACTCACATTTTTCTTTACAAAAACTGACATACATTCTAATTCAATTCATTTCAATTCAATTCAATTTTATTTGTATAGCGCCAATTCATAACAGAAGTTATCTCAGGACACTTTTCAAATAGAGCAGGTCTAGACCGAACTCTTTATAACATTATTTACAGAGACCCAACAGTACCACCATGAGCAAGCACTTGGCGACAAGGGCAAGGAAACACTGCCTGTTAAAAGGCAGAAACCTAGGACAGATCCTTCGGCTCTAGGTGGGTGGTCGTCTGCCTCGATAATAATATAAATCAATTGATTTAAATCCAAAGAAAATTGCTGATGATGATGCATAGCAATTTATTATAACATATCATTAATACCTAATATAAAATGTAATTACTGTATTACTCCTTAGTTGAATAGTCGATTGCATTCAACAAATACACAGGAGACATCTGCTGGACTTTCAAAAAGTGTCAGGACCAAGTGAGATAACTAAACAAATGCTGGCTAGGTTGCCATGAAAGTTGGAATGAATATTCACCTAAGGATATATGCTTGTGATTTTGGAGACACTCTGACCTTTCCTCTGGCACCACCAGACAATATTTTTTCCAAATATCAAAACTGACATTAAATTTACTGACCATGTTCCTCCAACACTGCAGTGTTTGAGATGATGATGTCTGTATTACCATTGGGTAAGGCCTGGATTTATTTTAGATGTCTTATTATACATTCAATGTCTGTCTGTACTCTGCAGTAAAAAGGTGAAGCTGAGTGGGGTTGTGACAGAGGACAAGATGACTGGGGACAGGTATGTCACCCACATGACCATCGTGGAGGACACAATGGGAGCCAAGCAGCCAGAACTCAAGCAGACAGACTGCCAGAGCACAACCCAGGGTAAGGAACATTATTTATTATGTTTGTATGAAACAAATATGGATCTTTGGAGATGGAGATCTCATGAGGTAGAGCAGGTTATCCACTATTCACATGGTTGATGCTTTGATCCCCAACTCCTCCTGTCAATGTACAGCACCAGGGACAATAAATATAGCACATGGGAAACCAAGATAGAATGTCTGGGACCGTAGAGAAATGTATCATAGGAAGGGTGAATTGTGGAACATTAGGGGAAAAAGTTCCATTCAAGCCCTGTCCAACCCATGTCGAGTTGTTCTTGATCAAGACACTGAACCTGAAATTGCTCCTGATGATCATGCAATGTGCAATGTGTGTTTGTGTGTGTGTGTGTGTGTGTGTGTGTGTGTGTGTGTGTGTGTGTGTGTGTGTGTGTGTGTGTGTGAATGGGTGAATGAGAGGCACCTTGTAAAGCCCTTAGGGAATATATGAATGCAGGCATTTACCATATGTGTACAGCTGTCAACTGTGTACTAACAACAACTGGAAACTGATTCTAGAAGCTTCTACCAGCAGTAAAAATACCAATAGAACTGCAGACTACTGTGAGCACTGGGACTTTTGTCAACATGAATAGACATTTTAACTTTGCAGCATCTGATTACATTTGGATTAATTCTTCTATTGTCCCTACTATAGTTTTTTTTTCCCTGTGAAACTGGTTCTTTTAGTGCAGTGTGAAACTCCTCGAGGCTTCAACTGAAGGTGTCACTCATCATGTGTCATGCTTCCATTAGTCTCATCCATCTGTCTCACACTGTCTCTGGGAGTGTCTCGAAGTGGTTCCACGTTCGACTGGTCGTGAATAACTGCAGTATGCAGTATGCAGTAAATTAGGATACTGCTTTAATGGACATTATTAAAACCTCCATTAACCTCTAAAGTGTTAGACGGTAATAATGTAACACCAGCTCCAGGCCTTCACGGGTTAGGCACACTGTAAAAAAAACACCATGAAAAATAAAAGCAAAACTTTTTTTATAAAGTGTATTCTGGGAATTTCTTTCTCTCCATCTTTAGGCTCAGTGCCGCTCTGTCATTCTATGTGCTCTCCCATCTTCCTGTGGAGTCTCATCACCATGGCAATGACCCAGCTGAGGCTGATCTTCTTCATGGGTGCCATGAACAAGATGCTGGAGTTTCTGGTCACCCATGGCGACCCTAACCGTAAGAATGATAACCCACATGAAAACATAAAATGTTTTTTTCAATTTAAGTGCAAGAGCACTGGGCACAAACGCTGGCAGGTTTCCTTTGTCATCAAACTATATGTGAAGCAACTATTGTCATTTTATATTGACAGAAGCTGGGTCAAAACTGATGTTGTGAACTACATTCAAACATTTCATTGTGTCAAACCATCTGTGGTGATTCCTGACCTGCAGCTGTTTTCTCTTTCAGTATCAGAAGAGCTGCAGCAGGAGGCTGAGGAACAAGGTAAGATGTGTGTGTGTGTTAAAAGTGGGCTGTTGAATATTTGTGAGAATGTGTAGAAATGTTTTTAAGAGAGCCTTTAGACCACTGGTTCTCCATCTGGGGGTCTTGAACCCCACTAGGGGTCACCAAAGCTTCTCAGGGATCAAAAGGCCTTCTTGATTTTAAGGGGTGTTAAAAAAAAATGTAAAAAAAACTTAAATGCAGTAAACCTACGTATATCTAAGCATTTCGTTCAGTTTTGTGAAGAAAAGGTTTAGGATTATTATTTCAAATAGCAATGTGGGAGCTTATAATTTACTCATAGACTTATAACAGTCTATGAGACCAAATGTTTTTTCACCACAGTCCAGTATTTCTCCATCTAAAATGTATTTCTAGCAGGGTGGAGAGGGTTTGAAACAACATTTAGATCTTCATATTGGGAAATTAAACTCAAAATATTTGGGTTTCATGACCTCATTATTTCTCAAAGCCCTGACAATACATACTGTATGTAGAATACGGACCATTTCTGATGCATTTTCTATTTTTCTAGAATACAGATTACATTGTATATCTGTATGTGTACACATGAAGTCTATATTGACTTCATATATTACTGAAAGTCATGTCGTTACTCTGGATTCTCTAGAGAATACGGACCAATTGCAATAAATATTCTAAGATTTGTTGCCATATACCATATCTGGTCAAATATGGATCATCTTCAGGACATCTTGGATAGAAATGACATGCCTTTCTGAGGACTTCACTCTCTCTATGTATGTCATCCCCAGTTGGTTTCTACTCATCTATCTTCGGTTCAATGCAGCTGCTATGTCTACTGACCTGTCCTCTGATTGGCTACATCATGGACTGGAGGATGAAGGAGTGTGAAGAGGAAAACGCAAAAACACAAACAGAGAAGAGGTATGATGAGGTGTTTATTGTATATGTTAGGGTTTTAGAAGTTTCAGTGTCTTGGAATACTTACATATGTACAGTGAACGAGTTATTGGTTGCTGCTCTTGAAGAGATCCCTTACTTGACTACATTAACAGATGGACTTGATACCAGTAGAGCTTTATACTCTGTGACATACTGTGACATCCACACCTCCTCATTTGTTGTAACCCTCTTTTGACATTTGTCCCCTTCAGCCAATCAGATCCCCCAAAGAGAGACAGAAAGATCCAGAAACTGACCAATGCCATGAGAGCTTTCATCTTCACTAATGTCCTGTTGGTCACCTTTGGAATAATTTCCATGATTGACAACATGCCCTTACAGGTTAGAAAAATACTGCACAAGAATACAATGATCAGCGTTTCCATGCATGGTAATACAGTACCAGTGAATATGAATTTACACACACACACACACACACACCTACACAGACACACACACACACACACACACACACACACACACACACACAGATAAACACACAGTGACGCTTTTAGTAAACATTCATCAATCTGTTCTCTGATGTTCTTTCTCTGTTAGGTGCTGGCGTTTGTTCTGCATACCATAGTGAGAGGATTTATCCACTCCTGCTGTGGAGGGCTCTATGCCGCTGTGTGAGTAACACCACTACCATCATGATGGATCTTAAATTACTATGTGTAATGCAAAGGAGTTGTAGTGAGAAATCCATAAAGAATCACCTGACTCTGTAATTCCCCTCATCCCTGTGGACCTTTTTAGTGTCTTTCAGCTAATTTTTTTGGTTACAACAACTTAACGGTTTTGGTCCAGTGTCCAGGCTTAGCAGGCAACTGCTTTCAATCAAAAGGTTTTATAATCTCCCCTTAAACTACCTGCCCAACACCAAACAGCAGACAGACAAAGTTCGCAGCTAGCTGGTGAACATAATGTGAACCTATGGTGACATCACCCATTGGTTTGTGGAGTACCATTTTGAAGCCTCAGGTTTGGCGTTATGGTTGTCGCCATGACAGTTTGTCGGAGCCAGGGAAGGTGACGTACTGCGAGTTGAGCTGCTCTCATTGGCTGCGCAGTTTCGACTCATTCATAGCAGGAAACAATAGTGGCTCTCCTGGTCACACACAATCTCTAAAATAGTACACTAAAATATTTTTCTGAAAACATTTTAAGTGAGAAATAGGCAACGCAGTAACAGAATCTGGATTCATATTTGGTCAGCACTGCCTAGTTTGACAGTTTGATCTGAGTTTGGTGTTGAGCTGGACAGACTAAGAATGACCTGTCAATCACAAGGTAGCCACACCCTAAAGCATACCCTGCTATATTGTCTATTTGACTCTCTGTCAATGTCGTGGAGACCAAAATTGAGCTAAAAGGAGTGAATATTGGACTTACTTTTATCAGACGGCCAGAAATCTGACTTAATGCTAATGTTGCTCTCTGTATGCCTGATGTGTAAATAAGCAACTGTTTGCAACACTTTTGGTAACAAAACTTTTAAGGTGATAATATCTGGGCAGCTGTGGCTCAGAGGCACAGCGGGTTGTCTTCTAATCGCAAGGTTGTTGGTTTGATCCCCGGCTCCTCTTGCCACATGTCAAAGTATCCTTGAGCAAGATACTGAACCCCAAATTGCTCCTGATGCTGAGCATCTGTGTGTGAATGTGTATGAATGCGTTAGTTTCTGTTCGATGGGCTTTGCCATCACTGTGTGAATGTGTGTGAAAGGGTGAATGTGGCATGTAGTGTAAAAGCGCTTTGAGTGGTCAGAAAACTAGAAAGGCGCTATACAAGTACAGGTCCATTTACCATTTACCATTTACCATATTATCTGCATGTAGCCGGCAGTTGTATCCGATGCACACTGAAGCTACCGGTGCACTCGCATCGCAAACGTCTGTCTCGGACCACCGATTCAATGGTGAATCTCTCCATCCCTAGTTTCCACTAACTTCCGGATGGTTGGAATTGGTACTTGATCATCCTATAATGCTAGGTTTAGTATATTTTGACTGAGAATTAAGAGAATGATTGGAACAAGCCATTCTTTGGTGATTGTTAATTATTTCTATCTCCACTCCCACTCTAGATATCCAGCCAACCACTTTGGGACACTGACAGGCATGCAGTCAATGATCAGTGCTGCTTTCGCCTTGCTCCAGCAGCCACTCTTCATACTGATGCTGGGACACCTCGGTGGAGCTCCTTACTGGGTAGGGAGTGCATGCACACACAAAAAGAAGACAGGAGAATGCAAATACATAGAACAGGTTTTATAACAGGTTTGTCATATGCACTGACTTATCTCTCCTTACGACAGATCAATTTGGGCCTTCTCATCTTCTCCCTGGCTGGCTTCCTGTTGCCGGGATATCTGTTCTATCACCGTAGAAACCTGATCAGGGAAAGGGCAGAGCATGATAGGCTGGCTGCCAGCCAATTAGACAGAGAGAATGCACCTCTAAACCAATCAGATAGTGGAACGGCTAAAAGCCAAGCCAATGGGCGTGCAGCCAATGGATACACACCAAACGGACAACCTGTTTAAGATGTGAAACAATCAATTTAGCTTACAGTTTTTTGTAATTACCGTTAAGTGGGTTGAAAACTCTTTGCAACTAGCAAAAACAAAACAAGACGAGACTGAACACTGAACAAATTTAATTTTTATTTAAAACAAATAAAACACATAGATTATAGCCCAGTGTCACATATGGGCAGGGTTTGCATCAGAATAGGAAGTTCAAACCCTTCATGCTTCACTTTAAGAAAAAATTCTTTGACTTTTCACTAAATTCCATCATGTGATCATTTCAAAATGGAATGACAGCATAAAGGCTTTGGGTATGATTCTCAGCCCTGCTAAATCCTGTGTGGAGTTTTACACGTTACTCTCCTGTTCATGGTGGTTTGCTTTCCCCACAAACATTCTAAATTTCCCATAAGTGAGAATATGTGTACATGTGATGGACCAGTGAACTGCATACTGGGAAAGGCTCCAGTCCTCCAGCGACAAAGGAGCATAAAAATTCAAGGACCATACCAGTCTTTCTGCACGTTTTATCCTGTTTACTATTAACCACATACGGTAGCTCTTCTACAGTATTTCCAGCCATTTTCCAAAGCATAACTCAACTTTTTAGATTGTTGAATGGGCTTGAAACTTGATTGCATTAAGAAATCCATCACTGTAAACAACAAAAATACAAGCCAATAGAGCAATTATATCAGCAAGATTGAGTAGCTTTTGAAACAAATACAGAAATACATATTCTTCCTCTTACAAATGGAAAGTTGAATTCATAAACAAATACAAAGGTACTCAGAGACCTGTCGTTGTATGTTTAGGAACAGCGCACCATTCACACAATATGACGGGTTCACAAATATGCAATGAATTTTGTTCATTTTCCCATAGGAAAGGGAAAAATCATTTGTGTATCCGCCCTGTGATTCGGATCTACTCCAACACTGAATGGGTGCTTCCTTTGCCCATTATACAAAGCAAATACCTCCAGAAGCTCCAGATCTGCCCCCGGCTATCTTCTGCAAAGCTGTCTGTGGGCCAGTAGCAGCTCTCGGCAGTCTTCCCCTGACAACACAGAAAAAGCCCTGCAATACATGCACATTTTTTGAATTAACCTCTATTCACGTCTTTGCTTTGACACCCCACAAATAACACACTCTGATGATTTCTTCATTGAAAACACATTCATGCAGTGTTTTGTTTATTTTATAAATTGTAGTGTAAAATTTTGCTCATGCCACAGTGGACTTTCGCATACAACTGTACGTAATCTCATTGCACGAAAAAATTTGCCTCGTTTTTGGGCACCAACACACCATTACACTCAGGGGTTTTGCCCCTATAGCCTTATCTGGTCTGTAGCTTCTGGTTACTAGATGTTAGCTACTGTTACAAATATTAGCTGCATTTTTCTGTGTTATGGAAATCACTAATTCAGTGACTTTATGAGTCTCCAATTATCCAATGTCACCTGTGGACCTTTGTAGAACAGTGGCTACTTTAAGTTGTGATGTTACAAAAAGGGGCCCAAAAAATGGTAGCAACCCTCTGTGCTTCCATATTTTGACATAGTAAATATTGTATACTATATACTATATTATAAAGTGTATATAAGAGTTTCACTTGGTAGTTTTTACTCTTGAAATAGTTACTTGCTAAATGCAGCACACTACAATGAAAGCAACAAGCAACATAATAACCTGCAGGTAGCATTGCAAATTAAACCCCCAGTGGGTAAGGAGTAGTCAGAATAGCTGAATGTTAAATTGATACACACTCTCATGTCTGTATGTTAATTTGTTGGTAGCCATTTTATCTGTACAAAAACAGAATTCAAGTTTTTCAGCAGGAGTCAATATATACAACTGATATTACCACCAGTGTTGTGCAAGTTCACACTCCACAAGCGCTAGCTCATAGTTCAGTTCACACAGATTAAAATGAACTAGTTCATATGAATATTTCATAAACTAGTTCCTTTACAAAATGCTGTTAGTTCAGTTTGGGTTGAGGGACTTTGCGGCTGTTGGCCAGTGGTCTTACCTTTTGTTAATGATTTCTTGTGATCATCATTCACTCGCAGATATTTCCCACTGGTCAGATGCTTCAACTCGATGCGTCGTTTCAAATCTGTTGCCAATGTAACGTTCTGACGTGTGCACAATTTACTGCGTCTGAATTGCCAATTGCACTAGCCGCCATGCTGGCATGTTGGTCGTCGTACAGCACGGCGCATGAGCGAGATTTGTGCTCATTAGTTGACAAATGTATGAATTCAGTTCACCGTAGAAACATAAGCATGTTCAATGAACATGCTCTAACACTGATTATCCAGGTAGCTCACTGTTTTTGAGTTAAACTTTAAATGTCCATTTTGGTAACTGAAACAAATGGGGAAGATGCAGAAATATGTGAGCTCAGGTCAGGTTTATGGGTTGCACTTGCACTAGTTTGGTGTAATTCCTTCTGTAAAGGTGGAAAATAAATCTAACTTACTATTATGATTGCAGATATGCATCAGATAAGAATGAGATTAAAAAAAATAAGATGAAACCAAATAAGTTATTTAACTAAATTTTGTAAGTTGAAAAAACATTATTGATCAAGCAGCTTTACTAATTTTAATTTTGTCATTTTTATTTGTACTGTGAAAAAATGTTTCTCTAACTTACAAAATTAAGTTAGTGTTGTTTAAAATAACTTATATAAATGTCACTTATTAAGTTGACACTATTTCAAGCTAATTTAAAGTTTGCTTCTAGCACTCAACTGTAGTTTATATTATTTAGTAATAAAGAGGCGCATCATTTTTTTTCCTGTCAGTTTGGTAAGGTTGTTGTTCTTGCCGTTGGTGGTTCTTCTTTGCTGCTCTTGATCTTGAAATGGTTTCATATGAAATCACAGTCTAGGGATATTTTAACCAATCACAGCTCTGTTCAGCCCAGTGTTTCTTAGGACAGAAGTGAGAAGGAGGAGAAGTTGATGTCACAAAAAGTAACCTCAGTATCAAATGACAGAAAACTAGAAGGCTTGTCATAAAAATGTAATTTCCCAATCCCTATTTTAGCCTGGGAGGTTACTGCAACAACAGTTCCTCCTCGTCTCCTCTCCTAAAACCTTTCTGAGATTCTGTGCAGGCACAGAGCAAAAGTAAATTGAAAAAATCTAGACTCTTAGGAAAATGTATGAGTTACAGTAAAGGAGTTCATATAAGAAAAAAGAAGTGTGTTGTAGAAATATTGTAGTTGCTAACAAATAAAGCTGCTCTATTTTACTGTTACACCTGAATGCAGAGCCAGCACATCACTGTGTATTGCTTTGAACGGCTGCAGGCTGAGAGCACAACATGGCTTCTAGGCAAATCTGTACAGTGTTAATAGAAAAAATGTGACAACTGTTCAATGGTAAGATATATCCAGTGATTACATAATGGTATGTAAAATAGCTAAAATGTGTTTTTGTATGTGTGACATGATCTGCATGCTTGGGACGTGCATTGGGTTAACCCCTGCAGAGCGCAATCTGCTGAGTGTTTAAAGGCAGCGAACGCACAAATAAAGAAAACACCTTATTTAAAATAGTGTTTTTTGACATGCACATTCTCCTGATTGCTCAGCTGAGAGCAGCCACCTTAAAATATAATGCAATCCAACACAATAACACTGATACTTAAATTATTCTGACAAAACATATATGAAATTATAGGCTTCAGAAAGGTATTATTTATTGTTTATCCATTGTATAGGATTGCATTACAATGTACAGGTGCTGCTTTTATTGTATCCTACTGTGTGCTATTATTTCATTGTCATTAACATCTTTAAAAAAATTGGATCAGCAGGGAGAATATAATTTAAATGTAAATAACTTTTCTCTAGAGAGCATAATATATTTTGTGTTACATTTATTTGGTTTCTGACTTGATTTAAAATGTTGCTTTGATTTGTTGTGGAGAATTAAAAACCATTATAGACATTAAATGATATTGTCTTTCTGTTCTTGTTCACATATTTTGCATTTTTTTAAATTTGCCAAGCCCTCATTATCATCATAATGCACATTCTGATATGAACCTGAATCAATACACATTCAGTACTGTGTTGACTGACATTACCCAGCAACAGTAAAGACAATTTATACAAATGACCTACACTTTTATGTTCCATCATACGAAATTTACTTGCCACTAGATGTCACACTAGAGCACCAGCATTTCAGACAAAAGCAAAGGGGTGCTACAGCCCACCAGACTCCATTGACAAAAGTCATTTTACCTTGCATATCATCATAACATCCTAATTTCATTCAAAGTGGACAGAAACAGAATAAAACTCACCAAAACCATGTTTGTTAGTCTGTTAGCTGTTTCAACAATCACCAACTCTGGTTTGTTCTAAATAAATCCTTAATCAAGTTGTTTGCTGCTATATTAATGTTCTAAATCTTGTATATATAACATTTAAAAGACACTAGGGTGATGCTAAAGAGGTGACAAGGATGGATAAGAATTCTCCTGATGGAGGGGGAGACTGTGGTCTGGTTCATGATGGTTAGAGAAATGAAGTACATGACCGGAACTTCCTCTGTGAATTCGCTGAGCTGCAGTGAGGCCATGATGAAGGAGAGGGTTGCAGGATGCATCCAGAGGCCCTGCACCACTTTTGGCACAACCTGCACTACTGTTTCCGTCCTCCTAATGCCATTAATGAGACTAATAATAATTATGTTTTTAAAGATACTCAAAGACGCTTTACAGGAAATATAAATAAAAGATCTGAGAGAAGATATGGTATGAAGGTATGAATAAGAAGACTTGTGACAGTAACCAATAACTATTTGAGTGTATATTTAAAGGTGAGTATTGTGTTAACAGACCTGTCCTTTAACAGTGAGGCCTCTGTACTGCTTTATATGGAGGCACAAACATATTTGAAAACAGTTCTCTTTGTTTGACCCCCCCATGGGAAATAGGTCATCACAAAATCGTCCATTGTTTTTTTTTATGCCATGATTGCCCCTTTAGTTTAAGAGCTTTACGGACACACACACACACACACACACACACACACACACACACGGGTGCACACACAGTGAGTCACAATCCAATTCCATGATTTCCTGGTGGCAGGATTGCAGATTTGTTATTATTTTGGAGATTGTTTGTGTGTGTGTGTGTGTGTGTGTGTGTGTGTGTGTGTGTGTGTGTGTGTGTGTGTGCATGTTGATTAGAAGCTTGGTTGTGTGGGTTTATCCTCATAGCCCCTGCTGTCTGCTGTTTTAATCTATCTCCCCTTTGTGTAACCAGCGTGTGTGTGTGTGTGTGTGTGTGTGTGTGTGTGTGTGTGTGTGTTTATTCTCATTATGTGGGCACAGAGGCACTTACAGTATAGTGCACTGGTACACACACACACACACACACACACAAACATACGTTACTGTGTCAGTGTGTCACATGAGAGGATTAAAACCTCATGTCAGAGACAGCTTATGTGCCAACCATGCTTAGTGACAATAAAATATATTACCAAGGCTTTATTATCTATTGCAACACAATCAACAAGCCCCGTACAGTGTTTTGCCGTGCTGGGGAATAAATTTAATCACGATTTAGTGCAATCATGACGTTGACTGTAAAGGAGGCGGGGTCATGGCTGGAGAAGCAATACAATACGCTTGCAGCTTGATTGACACCACTGTCGTCCACTCGGCGCTAATTTTATTGCGACAGCCCTGCTGTTGGACCCTGGCATCAGAGTTTTGTAGTACTGACAAATATGTCGGCCTCTGGGATTCTCTTGGCCACCAATATCCTGGATATATGAAAAGATTATATCATTGTTTTGGAATTACATTAATTTCTTCTTTTTAACTTCCGTACAGGCAGAGCGGCCTACAGACAAATATTAGCTATTTTAAAGAAGTAAAAAAAAAAAAGCTTCCACCCCTAGCTAACAGTTAGTTAAGCTAAGTGCTTGTAGTAAAATAACGTCAGACGTATCGGCGACTGGCTAGCTAGCCAACCGTTTAACGTTATCTGTAAATTAGCCTGGCGTTGGGATAGCTAGCCACGAAAGCAAGAGCTTGCTGGCACCGCTGAATAACTCGAATGGATAGTAATGGGTGTAACGAGTTGTCTCTGTTGATTACAATGCCAAGAAGAAATTACACGACCAGGACTGGTACTTCCCATTCACCGTTTTTGGACCCGAAACCACTGTGAACCCCCCCGCAGGTGAGGTGAATTGTTAGCCTGCTGCTAGCCAGGGTTAACCAATGGAGACCTGAGTAGCTTAAGGCTAGCTAATGTTACATGGAAAAGAAGCTCATACAGTATACCGAGCCTTGCCAGGCACACTATATATCGCAGAAACTACGCTTTGCTTTTGGTGTAATGCATATGTGTGATACATTTTCTTTGTATCATGTTTGACAATTTCCATTACCGTGCTGCCGCTGTGACTCATTAACACCAGTTGTCTCCACCCTACTTTCATTTCATCATTATGGACTCGCCGTAGCCAGTTTTCTGTAAAAGGATGGCTACAGTTAAGTAACGTTAACGCCGGGATTTAGCTTGTAGTTTAATTTTGCTTCTCATTCCAGGTCTCTAACTTAACGCTATTATCGTCTTCACTAGGCGTCCCCACCCCGGCTTCAATATTACCCACTGTCCAATGTGGGATCTTTCACTTGTATGCACAGAACGTAATATGCCAAATTCTAATTCCTACATTTGGCTGGGAACGGCTGTTGTGCTTATCGGGAATCAAACTGTACGAGTATATATGCACGCCGAATTACAATCTGGACCCCCAACAATCGAGTAAGGGTTTAAATGATGTGTTGGAACATGTACATTTGCTTATCACAGCCGCCATTCTAAATTGTGAGATTTTGAATGTAGTTTGGCGTGACATTCTATCCGCATTTAAAGAGACTGGCACATCTTCGCCGTGCTGAATCGTGTCCACTGAGCTGTCAAACCGAGCGCTGTTGGGCCGTGTGAATGGATCAATTAGAGGTTGCGTGTCACCTGGTTCAGCTGTATCTATGAAGCCTGCCTTTGATACGTTAGTAAGCGATTCCATTCAAAACTGCTCTGGCAAAATTCGATTAAAATTGCAATCCAATATTGGAGACCCGTGATCAGGAAATTGGTTGTTGGAATCTATGGGTAAAAGCCATCATTTTGCCGGTTTGGTGCATAACTGTTATACCGAGGCTCGAACTGCTGTTGTTATAGCGCTGCCGTGACTGCAGCGGGCCATACACACCCAGGATTTGGTGTGTGTAAGTGCTGGAAATGCTGTAGGTTTCCCTGGATGTAAGAAGGTGCCATTGTGTCTGGGGATTTTCTAGCATTTACAGCATTGGAGGGTAGGGATTGTGCCTGATGGAGAAAGGATGCACAGTGTTTTTAGATCAAGAGGAGTATTGATCAGATCAGATGGAAAGGCTCTTGGTTAAATGAGGAAATAACTGTCTTATGTCTTCATGGAGCTTGAGGAAATGCAAATAAACCCAGTGTATGTTCAGGATTCCACTGCAATATATACCTGAGTGAATTGAGAGCATTTAATGTGATAGGCTGTGATTTATTGAATGGTCTGCGTTCATAAATGCAATCTTAGATTTTTACAGCACGTCAAAACAGATGCTTCCCTTTTCTGTACAGGAGTGTATGTTCAGTGTTGGGTATCATGCCATTTCGAAGTACCACGTCCATTTGACAGCTTTACAAACCTTGATGTTGGCCTTGACGTGTCATAATGTGACCCACTGTGGGTGCCTGCCAAGTGTAGGCAAATATTGGGTAATAAACAAGACGTGATATATTTTATTCCTTCTAGTTTGCATATCAAACTGCATGTGTCAGACTTAACAAATCCCCTTCACACCTGAGCATTGAGCTTGCAGTTGCAAAGAGTAGATTATCTTTGAAATTCTTATTTTGAACAATGTTTGGTTTGAAAAAGCAACTATTGTATGCCCATGATTAAAAAGGGGGACAAAAACGGTTAGAAAGTGACTGCAGACCTTTGCTTTTTAGGACATTTTGCTGAAATTTGTGTTTTGGCTATTGTATAATACATACAGAGGAAAATACTGATAGAATAAAACTACATTAAAAATAAAAAACACAAAACAAATAAAATTTAGAAAAGATGTGTTTGACAGTACTACTTGGTGACAAAATAACAATAATTATTGATACAGTACATTAACAGTACAAACTAAAAATTATATATCTATTAAATATATATTTAAACATTTAAAAAGGATGATGAATAATCAGACAGTTTTAGACAATACTTGGTGTTCTGGGACGCATTTGACCACATATCTCTTGCGTGAAGGCTAATGTTTTTACTCAACATTTAACAGTATCTCTGATAGCTCACCTGGTAGAGCTACACATAGCCTAGAGCTCCTTGCTGCAGCGGTCATGGGTTTGACCCCAACCTATGGCCCTTTGCTGTGTGTCATCCACTGTCTTAAGGCAAAAAGTGCTCAAAGAAATATAAAAAAACCAAAATATCTCCCTGAAAAAAATCACAGTTTGGAGAGTTGTTTAACTTTATAAACTTTGAAACGCTGTCTATAACAAAGTATTAATTATTTGGGCCTTCTTGTAAATTCAGCAAACATTCTACATTCAGTTACTTATTTGTGTAAAACCATTGTGTCAGTTTGTCCCAGTGTGTTGGTTAAAAACGATGCATTACATCTTTCCAAACATGAATGATGTATATTTATTTGCATATCAAGCGGGGGAGTGACATTTGATGACAAGTGGTCACTCGAGATGCATGTTACTACCAGGTGTGAACAGGCTCATAGTTAAAGGTCCAGTGTGTGATATTTAGGAGGATCTATTGTCAGAAATGGAATATAATATTCTTAAGTATGTTTTCATTGGCGTATAATAAGATAAGAAAACCTTTATTTGTCCCGCAATGGGGAAATTGCAGTTTGCAACAGCATACAGAAAGGGCAGAATAAAAAATAACAAGAGCACAAAGAGTAGCTTATAAAAGATAAATAGTGAAATAGAATAGCATTGCACAGACTGGTGTCAAACTGGTGTTTTGAAGTTTTTACACCTTGTGGTGTAATACTATTGCACATATTAAGAGTGTAGAGATCACCTGAAAATAAGAATCGTTGTGTTTTCGTTATATTAGAATGAGACATTTTTATCTACAGAGGGAGCAGGTCTTCTTCTACAGCGTCCGCCATGAGCACACTGCTCTGATTGGTTCGTAGAACACAGGATCGCCCGCCCCTACAATTGGCTTGTGGGGTTCAAAAACTGCCACTTTTTCTCTGTTTGCATTTGGCCAGTTTCTTCCACTTAACCAGCTTTCCTGCAGATGTATTTCTGTGATAAATGATATAAGTAATATTTTTAAAATGACTGCAGACACCACTATCCAGGATGAACTTTACTCATGTTATGACACGGTCAATAGTTACCTTGTGTAGCTTTGCAAGGACATGTGGATGTTCAATGATACAAATGAATCATGTCAACGTAACACTAGCAGTTACTTTGCCCCGTGCATGAATCATGAGGGTAGAGAATGACACTGTTGAAATGGTCTTAAGCTCTGTGCCAGTGGGCTTAACATGGCTTCACTGGTGGTAATGTACAAGTGTTCAAAAAATTCAGAAACACTACGCTTCTGCCTTTATGTTTTATTATGCTAAATGTAACTTGATAGTCATTTCCTTTCAGTCAGTGTCCCTGAATGAAGTAAATAATTTATCAGGAACTGGTTGTGCAAATGATCATTATTTGCCTCCCTACTGGAGACTGGAGAGTTTGTCGTCTCATTTGCCAAAGTGTAGGACACAAGTTACGCTAATTGGGCTGTAGATCTGCTGTCAGAGGAGATTTTAGTCATTTTCGTTGACTTTGTAGAGTTTGAAAAGGCTGCAACATCAACATGAGCATCAATACAGGTTGAGGCGGAGAGAAAGAAAGACAGGGGGAGCAATTATCGCTGATGAATGGGGCAGTAGATAAAGTGTAGGAAGACAGGTCCATCCATCATGGCTGGCCTGAACAGGTGCACTCATCTGCTTATTGATTGAAGGGTTGAAGTCTCCAGTCCATAAAGTGAACAACTGCATACAGGGACTGTGTCTCTCTGCCTGTCTTTGTCCCTGCAAATAGCTCTCTCTGGTGAAGCTGCTGAGCTGTGAGCACTCTGTGATGAATCAAGGAGGAGGGAGAGAGAGGCAGGTGGCAGCTTTACTGAGACTTTGGTCTTGAACAGCGAAAGTGTTGATGACACAATGCAGTATCTTATGAAATGGTTTCCCTCAGAGGATCTTGTGTAGTAAAAGTGTGCACACTCTGCTAGTTAAGCTTACAGTGTTTTTGTTTAGACAGACAAAATGTGTACAATCTGATGAGAGTAGTTTATTGAAATTGTCAGAATGAGCTGGTATACTGCACACTACTAACTTGAACAACATTTGCATTCATGAAAATGCCTTAACTGTTAGTAAGTTACAGTGTTTCCTCTATGTTGATTTTGGAGCGGCGGCCCGCCGCTGTTAAGTTTCTGCCGCCACGGTATCAGAAATGGGGCAGACGCACAATGTAGTCCCGGTTGCCTTTAATTGCATTGCCCTGTCATTATCGCAACGTCATAAATGCTTTATTTAGTGTCGTACGCGGGGGGGGTGTTCGGACGGGCCTGCCCCAACTGCTAAAAAAAATCCTAGAGGAAACACTGAGTTACCTTTACATAAAATTGCTGAAAATGAAGCCTTGTGCAAGACTCTGCAGGGCTTTTCCATTAGCACTTTGGCTGCACCGAGTCTAACCATGCCACGCTGATTTGCATTTCCATTTCTAGTTTAAACGCACCAACTTGTGTCGAGCTTGCACGTTATAGGGCCAAAGCGTGCCCCTGACCTGCTTCCAAGCGGGCTGTGGTGATGTCTCGCCAACGGCAGCCAACCTGTTACAACTCTCACCCTAAAATGACATGCGTGTGTTCTATTGCCAGTATATATAATGGACAGAGAATGTATAGGAGTCATGTTAAGTCACTACTGATGAAAACCCAACACTTCCTGGTTTTGCTGCTTCATGATTAAAATTACTTTTTTTCTTTCTAAATTCTTTATAACCGAGGTGGAGGCTCTCTCTGTGTTCCAATGTGATTTATTATGTCTCCAGTTTGTCTCCAGGGGGGCATAGCGGGTCGTCCCCTAATCGGAAGGTTGTGGGTTCGATCCCCTGCTCCTGGTGCCACATGTCGAAGTGTCCTTGAGCAAGATACTGAACCCCAAATTGCTCCCGATGCCGTGCATCAGTGTGTGAATGTGTATGAATGAGTTAGTGTCTGTTCAATGGACTTTGCCATCACTGAGTGAATGTGTGTGAAAGGGTGAATGTGGCACATAGTGTAAAAGCGCTTTGAGTGGTCTGAAGACTAGAAAGGCGCTATACAAGTACAGTGGAGCGTGTCCTTGAAGTAAGGGGCATATGTTTGTTGCAGCCGTTCTTACTGTTGTTCAAGCAACTACATTTTAGAAATCCTGGTATTGCCAGACTAGTGTGTAGGTGGTCGCGTCTATTGCAAACTTTTTTTTGTTTTTACACTCAACTATTCTACAGGAACTATCCCTGGTTCCTCCAGTCGAAACGCAAGTCTAGTTCCATGAGTAGCTCAAAAAGTTTTGGTCCCCTCAGAAAGGTCAGGCTGTGGAAACACTTTAAAACATTTGTCCTCCAATATTTTGGTTGTAAGCTGACACTGTTCATAAGAGTTATGGGCCCAGAGTGTAGGATTTAGTGGCATCTAGCGGTGTAGCTTCAGGTTACAACTCTATCACTTCACCCTCCTTTTTCACCAGTGTAGGAGTAACTACAGTGGCCACGAAAGGCATGAAAAACACAAAGCCCCGTCTAGAGCCAATTTTTGTTTAGGCAGTCCTGGTGTACTGTAGAAACATGGCTGCCACAACAGAAGGCTACCCGTGGCATCTGTAGCTAAAACCGTCTCATTCTGAGGTAACAAAAACACAACAAATTTGCATTGTGTTAATCAAAGTGAATGTAGATAAGTGAGTAGTTGTGCATAAGAAAACCCAATATTGTTGTCACACATGAGTTTTTATCATCCCAAATGTGTGGATTGGCTGTGCCTTATTGTTGTAGAGAGTGGGCAAAACATCTGAACTACAGTACCTGTAAAAGCAGTGTAATACACGTTTACATGCAGGATTATCTGCTCTTTAACCAACCCTATCTTCCTTTCATTACATTGTAGGTGCAGCACCCCCTGACCAACCATCAGACTGGATTCTCTTGTCTTCTGACCCAAGACAACCTGTTGAAGTTCAACACCGGCACCCCTGCGTTCTATCCATACACACAGTGACCCACGTCACAAACGAAAAGGCCACAGATAAGCACTGGATGGGGAAAATCGCTCGCATCCTGTTTCCAAGGTCGGAGAAGGACACTTCAAACCTGAAAAACCTCAGGATACAAATGGCCCGAGGAGACTCCATCTTCAACACTTAACAGCCACAGTTTTTCAAATTTTTGTTGAGGTCATTTTTAGGCCATTGCTCCAGAGAGGCCCCTATCCTCCAAGGGATTGGTTGTGGGAGACTGTTATCCAAGCCTCAGTGCTCTCTACTAGGGAAGGAAGCAAGGGGGAAGGCCCTGGAAGTCCCAAGAGAAGAGGGCTGTAAAGAAAACGGTCTGCAGCTGGGAGGCTGGCAGTTACATAACTAACAGGCGCGGTCGTCCACTAACACAGTGAAACAAGGAGACCAGTGAGGGAACTGAGTTGTTCTATGTTGCCATTGCTGGCTGATATAAGATAATACCATTATCTACACACACATTACCCTCAGCAATCAGATCAGCACTGTACCCTGTCATTTACATGGATACTAATGGATGTTCTACTGCATTTTCCCTCAGATATTTTGGAAAGAACCACAGCATTACTTCTTGCTTTTTGTCTTCCAATCATATCCCTGGTGCAGTTGGCAGGTGAGGTGGTTTGAATCAGCCACCGGCTGGGTTTAGGGATGCCCCGACACAGGAAAACCAGGCTACTCCACTGGCCCGCTTTCAGACTGCTGTTTCTAATACGAGTGCTGGACTGAAAGCAAAGTGTCTTTCTCCTCTAACAGAGAGCAAGGAGTTTTCATTTTTTATTTACAAGACTTTTTCTCCGCCCAGACTGCTGATCTCTCGGTGCTAAAAACTTTTTGCTAGCACAGACTTGGGAACAAACAAGCCCATTTTCCACTTAAGGTCTTGATCTTTTTCTAAGGTGAAGAAAGTCACGGAGGAAGGAAAATAGAAAGCCAAGTCAGATTATCATCCCAGACATTTTCTCTTTCTTTTCAGCCTTGTTTCATTTATTGCTGTTGTTCCATATTGAAAGTCTCCTACCCAAACAGGTCTACCTCTGCCAACTCTTGTACCTCACTAAACTCGTATTTATAGACCAATCAAATCAAACGGACACGTTCACAGCAAAGGTTCATCAGTTTAGCTGAGCTTTTCTGTCTGTCAGGATTTGGACTTTTACATCACCAAATCACTGATCAACTCAGTAATTGTGTTTTGACAGAAGGTTTTTTTCATCAAAATAACATGTTTTTAGCCATGTTTTTTTAATTGCCCTGTTCTCATCATTTTCACCAAGCCTTTATTCATATTGCTACACAAACGGATTCCCCCTTTTTAGAAGTGTAAGAATGATCACTTTCTGTTAGCTTGTGTTTGTAATTGATTGGCATTTTGGGTAGAACCTAGTCAAACTAGTGCTGTGTGTTTATCTGCAACTCTGTAAGAGACTGTTCGGACAGCTCTTTGTAGTCTGTGGCTTATTTGTTCATCTCGGCTTCCCACCTGGTTTTCTGGCTGACAGGAAAACAAGGCTTTTACAGCAGAGCGACTTGTAAGCTTCTTTTAATCTCACACACAGTAGATCAGGATTGACCTAAGAACCTAAGAAAACAAGCATTTGTTCCTCCTCCCATCTCAGTGTGGTGATGCAGAGGAGAGTTTTCCTCTTTATTTGTGTAAAAGAGAAAGCCTTCAACTATCGCTCCATCACTTTTGTATGTCTCCTTTTTTATTTTTTTTGCCATTTTCTATCCCCAAATCCACCCAATACACCTCAAGAAACATTTAACTCTGAATCACAAATTCCCCTGCGAAGCAGTTGCTAAACAGGCACACCCCACCACACAGAAAGTGATGCCAGGTGGCAGCAGTAAGAGTGGAGGGCGGGGTCCATCCTCGTCACCCCTCCCCCACGCCGTGGTCCCTCCTAGCAGGCCCTTGCGACCATCCCGCTACGTCCCGGTGTCGGCAGCCACTTTCTTCCTCGTCGGCTCCACCACGCTCTTCTTCTGCTTCACGTAAGTGGCACTGTCTCTCTCTCTCACACACACACACATGCGCACACATCCATTTCATCTCACAAACAGACATACATACATCATAACAAACATCATCTAAGTCAGCGGTCCCTAACCTTTTTCGCACCACGGACCAGTTTCATGTGAGACAATATTTTCACGGACCGGCCTTCAAGGTGTGGCGGATAAATACGACGAAATAAAATGATACGACCGGCATGAAAACAAATATAAAGTCCATAAAAATACAACTCAAAATTGAATTGAATTCACTGAATTAGTGGGAGCCCCGAGCCGGTCCCATCTAGGGGTAATGGGAGACAATGACACCCGAAGTGTGTTCCTTATGTCCAGTCTATTCCGTAATTTTGTTTTGGTTGCTGTCACTGCAGAAAACCCCTATTCACAAAGATAGGATGTTGCCTTGATTTTAATCCAGAACACCGGTAGAGTTGTTGTCTCAAACATAGTTTTAAGGCCACCGTCATTTTCAATCTCCAGCAGTTGATCTTCTTCTGGCACGGACAGGCTTGATTCACCTGGTTTGTTCACAAATGGATCGCGGATCCATTCTTTCGCAGTTTGTGGGTCTTTTGTTGTTGGGAAGTACCGCTCGAACTCTTTTAAAAGCAAAGACAGGTGATCGCGCACCAGCTGGGAGAATGGCGGTTCAGGCTCAGTCTCTTCCAAAATCCCTGCTAATGTTTGAAACATGTCAAATATCCCTCTGTTCACTCGCCGTTAAATTCAGGTGACATTTTTCGACTAGCCAGCATTTCCCTGTGAATGACTCCCAATCAGGTGCAACCTCCTTAACCCGAGCAGTTAATCCAGAAAGCTGTCCAGTCATAGCAGCAGCTCTGTCCGTGCATATGCCGACACAAAAGGACCAATTTAGTTTTCCTGATATGTAATCATATTCACAGACTTGAATAGTTCTGCGGCTGTGGTGTTAGCTGGCAACGATATGCACATAACGTATCCTCATGCACATCCTCCTGATATATATATCGCACATAAACAAGTAGTATTGCCTTGTTGTCAATATCAGTAGACTTGTCAACCTGGATTGCGTACCACAGTGATTTATTAATCCTCTCCAACAATTGTCTCAATGTCCTCTGCTATTTCATCAGTTCGCCTAGTGACGATTGTAGCTGAAAGAGGAACCTGTGCTATCTTCTTAACTGCGGCCTCTCCTAGAAGTTCACGGCAAACGTCCTTAGCAAGATCAATTCTTCACCAATAGTAAAAGGTTTCTTCGCCTCAGCAATACGGTTAGCCACTAAGAATGATGCTCTTGGTGCACTCACATTTGTTGATGTGGTGGCCATCAGTACTTGCTTCTGTCCTACTTGTTCACGTTTTTTTCTTTCAAAAAAGTCCAAAGGCTTGTCTTTTAATGCAGGGTGCTTGGTCTCCATGTGCCGAAGCAGTTTTCTTCATTGCCTCGTTTGCTGGCCTGTCACCACGTATTATGCAGAGCTTGGCACGTGAGAATCACCTGTGGCGATAAATCCGTATTTTAAGTAGGACTCCTGATATTGTCTTCTAAAATGCAGCTTTCTTTTTCTAAATGGACCTGGTAAATGGCGCCTTTTTAGTCTTCCGACCATTGAACTGAAACTAACTCATTCATAGACATGACACACCGATGCACAGCCTCAGGAGAAATTTGGTGTTCAGTATCTTGCTTACTGTGGCGCCTACCGGGGATAACCAACAACCTTCCGTTTGGGCGACCCGCCCTTCCCCCCCCACCTAATAAATTTTTTTTTTTTTCAACCTTCTTTTTCACCTGTGTCACAGACGGATGTAATTGGGAGAGAATCCGGTCATTTTTCAAAATAAACCATCTTTCAGACTCTGATCATCAATAGAATATTTATTTATTTATTTATTTATTTATTTTTCTGTGCGGTCCGGTACCAGATGACCGGTACCAGTGGTTGGGGACCGCTGATCTAAGTGATATAAGAGAGCAAGGCCTTGTGCCTTGTGCATGGATACTTTTTCTTGGATTGGTGATTTTACACAAGCCTTCATTGTTCAGCCCTGGAGCTGTTTTCAGAGCACCACGTCCTTAAAGCTAATATACAGTGCTGTGAAATAGTATTTGCCCCTTCCTGATTTCTTATTTGTTTGCATATTTGTCACACTTAAATGTTTTTAGATCGTCAAACCAATTTTAATAGTATACAAAGATAACCTGAGTAAATACAAAATGCAGTTATCTCAGGACACTTTTCAAATAGAGCAGGTCTAGACCGAACTCTTTATAACATTCTTTATATCAATGTGCCTGCTGTGGAGCTTTGTGAGTTTTGGGAAGGCGGGGAAGTTGGTGTTGAACCCTGTATTAAAAACTCTCACGCATCCTGCTGTAAACATATGTGTGAATTTCCTATATAACAGCATAAAATTATACATGATTTATTTTTTGGGGGGATATCTCGCCAGCCTTGCTCTATATATAAGGGTTTTTCACTGGCCAATGCCGATATTGGTCAACCACTAAATTAGAATTAATATAATTAATCAATATCTTTTTATATTAGCAATGGGTAAAATGAGTATGTATAATGTGAAAGGTGTTGCTTAAACGCGTACTGGAGTTGCCCTTTAACCCCTAGGACACCAGGATGTCCCCAACAGGAAGATTTTAGTTGGCCAACAGATATTTAACCTACTCAGACATAGAAGAGTTCATTTCTGCTCAGACTGTAACCAGGCTGTGTCTGTCCTGAGCGGGTCACACACAGCCTGGACAATTTTGTTGTCTGTCAACAAACAAGACTAGGTTAAAACCCTAATATATGGCTTGAGAGTGTACGGTTCAGTTGTGGCCACAAATAGTCAGTGGTAGTGTCTATAATATGAATTCCTGGATGTTAAATGGTCATCTGGAATATTCTGTAGCATTTGTACACGGATCTGCATTTGTATTTATTACAGTCCCTGTAACATCCACGTTTACAGCACTGCTATCCAATGGCGAGAGGTTTAAATAACCAAAATCTATACAGTGTTTTTGAGGATCAATTTTCAGTGTTCGAAAAACACTCTCTCCATGTTTCCAAGTTATCAGTACTGAGTACTGAAGTAGCATATCGCATGGTTAAATATTATAACCATTTAAAAATGTTATATTTGCACTTGGAAATGCTTTCCATTCGTATCTAATCTTGATGTTTGATTTGAAAGAGAAATTATAATGACACGACTGACACTGAGTAATAGTAAATAGTAGAGTTTTTAGGGATGCGTGTTATGGAGATTTTTCAGCTGATACGATAACCAATAATCACCTGCTTCCGCTACTGATTAGATGATAATTTCAAATTTTTGTAAAAGAAGTTTATAACCTGTAGTTTATGCATACCTAAGGGTAAGACAGACTGTAAGATGTAGTGAGCAATGAATCTTGTTTTTTTCTTTTGGGTTTACTGCTGCCAGTGTTAAAGTCCTTGCTGTCTTGTTAAAGGTAGTAGTAATCAATAAAGGCCTCCAAGTCCGCTAAATCCTACATGAGTGTAATCTGTTTTGCATAAGGCACAGGAGATGAGTCCAAAAAAATCCTGTATTTTCCTCTTAATGTCTGGGCTAATTAGCAGGAAACAGGTCGCGGCCATGTTCAATCTCACCTCCGTTGTCTTGTTCTTGCGACACTTATGCACCTGTTCATTTTGAAGTAGCAACAAGCAATTGGGAAACTCTTCACACTTGACCAATGGTGTAACTTCATCACTAACTTTCGCATTAGTACGTCCTAGACCTGCTCTATTTGAAAAGTGTCCTGAGATAACTTTTGTTATGAATTGGCGCTATACAAATAAAATTGAATTGAATTGAAAACAGAGACTTTCATATTTTGGTAGCTTGAATATAGATCCAGAACGTTTCTAAAAACAACCAGTGTGGACTGAACCATGGTCGTTTTCACATGTAAACAGCATTTTCAGACTTATCTGTCTCAGTGTGGCCCTGTGAGTGTTTCTGACAGAATGCTAAGTCAAGGGTGTTATAGACTGTCAACACTAATCTTGCTGACACCTCAGTCAGAGTGGGTTCGTGTGTGTTTTTCAGTGTGTCGTGAAGGAAGAGCAGTGGTGATTGTGAAGTGTGTGAAGCAGTGTCTGTGGGGGAAACAATGTGGATGTGGTGTAAATGTGAGAAAGTCAGATTGACAGGCGTGTGTGTGTGTGTGTGTGTGTGTGTGTGTGTGTGTGTGTGTGTGTGTGTGTGTGTGTGTGTGTGTGTGTGTGTGTGTGTGTGTGTGTGTGTGTGTGTGTGTGTGTGTGTGTGTGTGTGTGTGTGTGTGTGTGTGTGTGTGTGTGTGTGTGTGTGTGTGTGAGAAAATCTAATCTGTGTGTGTGTCCGGTCTGTGGTGGGCAGTCAGCTCTGTGCTTCAGATTAGTGAGGAGAAAATAGGCCAACATCTGTCACCCTGACAAAAGCCCATCATCTAGTCGCACTGTTTGTTTCTTCTTGAGTCTGTTAGTGTTTGTGTCCCTGCACTCACTCTCACATTTCCTCTTATTTTCTCACTACTAAATAAATACAGCACTACACAAAAAACCCGATAACTCTCTGAAAAATGACCATAAAGCAGTACAATGGTTGTAATTTATTTTGATACGTTGGCTTGTTATTTTTACGTGGGGAAAAAAATTGCCACGGATATGGACTATTTAGTTATTTATTTATTTAGTCTGCATGCAAATCGTCAAAAAAACAAACAAAAAAAACATCAGCACCGTGTCAGCCGTTTTATTTATCCCCAAAAAAGAATTTGCTTCTGCAATCAAACATAGCTGTGTGCTGTCCAAGATACGAAAATGTTTACAACCATGACTCAAAACTGTAATATGATCCAAAGTAGGGATGTTCCTGTTGACTGTATTCTGAGCGTTTCTGTACTTTTAGACTAGTCGACTAGTCTAAATTGAAATTTCTGTTTAATCATCTGCAAAATTAGTTGCAGGGCTCCAGACTAACTTCTTGCATTGGTTGCACTGGTGTGCCTTTTTTTTAGGTGCACCAGCACAAAATTTAGGTGCACCCAAATTTTTCATTGCGTTGCCTTTAACGCCATAAGGTCACCTTTTTATTGCTCTCCATAACTGTCATATAATGTGAATGATTTTTAAACAAGAATAAGGTGTAGAGAAATGCTTGTCTTTATTTGAAGCACAATTATATATAAAAAGAAAAATAATGTGTTTAAATTGCTTCACTGAGCTGAAATTGAACAGACCGCACTCCTGACAGTACACGCAGTGCATTGCGTTACGTCCTTTGTTGTACCTCAGCCAGGGAAATTGTTTCAGCCAGTCCTGTCTGAAGGAATATATTTTGACCTTTTTAATTTGGTCTCGGAGCCGGGCTCTATCCCAGACTCGGTTGTCTCCTCTTCTGGTTCCGAGTCTGATGCTGTCGCCGAAGGACGATTTTTAGACACACACAATTTAGCGCGGTGAACAGGACCACAGCCAATCAGAGGCAAAGACCCGCCCGAGCTCTGTCTCTTATTGGTTTAGAACACGATATGATCCTACCATGAGTGTGTGAGTTCGGTCACAGGAGAACACAGAGAGATGATGTGCTTGCGAAATAAATTGTGTTATGTTTTCGCCCGGGCAGCGTCAGGTACACCAGTGCGACCTAGAAAAATTATTAGTCGCACTCTCAAAAATTTTGGTCGCACTCTGGAGCCCTGAGTTGTTAGATACCCACAGTATAACATGTTACACGCATTTGAAGTTGGGGCAGTTTGTTACATTATTGCCATTTTAAATGTCACTAAGTGTGTTGGGTTAGGACTGAAATGGGCAACATATACTTTCTGCCAGATAGCGCTGTCAATGATTAGGAAGAAAATCGAAAACGAAGAGAGCTCACAGTCATGGCTGATTGATCGTTGTGGGATAACCTGATATATGATGCCTTTTTAGAGTTTTTATTTTAGATTTTTCCACCACTGGCTGGATTAACTTAATGATGTGAACAACAAAATGTAGCTGACTGCATTGGCGATGATGTGAAGTTACAGAGGATAATGTTACAGTTTTCAGGGAGCAGGTAAGCTAACGCTAAGTCAGCTAAGTAAACATGGCCTGATTTTTGGCTGACAGTTGTTTTAAAATGTGATTTCTAGTTGCTCAGTGCTTAATGTTATCCTAAATTACCATACTCTTGTATTTTCTGTGCAACTCCAGTTCCACCATCCTCTTTCCCGTGAATCGTGCAATCTCTAACAGATTAGTTGTGTGAGAGGGACCACAACCGCCCTTTCATTACAACTGAAATATAATGAGACACAGTCTTGGTCTTTGGATTTTCCTCAGGCACTGTCCCCTTTGTCTGTTTTCAGGTGCCCGTGGCTTTCAGAGCGTTTTTCAATAGCTGTGCCCATCTACAATGGAGTCATCTTCCTGTTTGTTTTGGCTAACTTCTGTATGGCCACATTCATGGACCCTGGTATCTTCCCGAGAGGTGAGTGCATGGATGGTTGAATGTGTGTGATGCTTTTTATGTCCCCAAACAGGCCACTAAATACTGTCTGCAGTATCTTTTTATATTGCTGTTGTTGCAATAATGTTAAGTTTTCCTTTTGTGTGAATGTGTATGAATGAGTTAGTTTCTGACTTTGCCATCACTGAGTGAATGTGTGTGAAAGGGTGAATGTGGCAAGTAGTGTAAAAGCGCTTTGAGTGGTAGAAAGGCGCTATACAAGTACAGGTCCATTTACCATTTTGCCTTCATTTCAGTGCCTACATTTCTTGCTTCTCTGCACACAATGAGGATTCCCTGTTACAGCTTATATATGTGCATGTGTTCTGATGTCAGGGCTCAAATGTTCATTATGGTCAATTTTCTCTGCAGCCGAGGAGGACGAGGACAAGGAGGACGATTTCCGTGCCCCCCTCTACAAGACTGTAGAGATTAGAGGGATCCAGGTCAGGATGAAGTGGTGTTCCACCTGCCGCTTCTACAGGCCGCCACGGTGCTCCCACTGCTCCGTCTGTGACAACTGTGTTGAGGTGTGCTCACACTCACCCATTCACTAGTTACATAGGATAGTGTAAAGCTCATCCAGGTTAGATTCGTTTAACAGAACTGTATCAACCATGTGCCTCCTGAAACCGTCTTTCCTTTAATGGTGGAGAGAGGAGTGTCAGTGTTTGTTTTGTTGCAAGACGGTTTGGACAGAGCTTCTCCAGCCTTCAAGGCACAAATACACCAGCAATTGGATTGATTATACGCCCGCAAAATGTTTCTGTAATAGACACGAAGACTCACTTGAAGGCATACGTTCCTGTGACAACAGGCATACCCAAAGCACATTGGGTTAATCTCAATTAATGATCAAAATGGATCAGGCTTTATATAGCTGATACCAGTCCATTAAAAAGGGTTAGGGCTAGTCTTCAGATCCATAGACCTTTTTCTGTCTGGTAAATGAGTTATTGAAGGTGATCGGGAACACGTACAAACAAGAGTACCGTAGTTTCCGGACTATAAGTCGCTCCAGAGTATAAGTCGCATTTATTTAGAAATGTATTTCACAAAATCCATGACCAAGAACAGACAGAGACTATGCAACTGGACACATAGAGGCCAAAAAGATTGAGAATTCTACCGGGAATGTTAATGAAGACGAAGGAGTGAAATTAGGTGAGCTGGGCGATATGAAGATGGCCAATTTACAAAAGATTCACTGAACAAAAATGCTGATGTGGTACATGAAAATTTAGCTAAAAATGTGGAGAATGCAATGCAGTCAAGCATTTTGGGCGATGTCTAGGCAAACGCCGGCAGCAGAGCAAATACTCGGGAGGCTACCTTATTTAGAAATTTATTTTACAGCATCCAAGACCAAGAACAGACATTCAATCAGGAAATGCTTTCTTTGTTTTCTTCATTGCAGTAAGAGTAACCTCTGCTTTTTTAAATAAAATAACACACAAAAGTTAAGCCATGGAAAAACAATTTGTGTTCTCAAATTTTAGTGCACTGCCACAACATTTGAAATTACCCAGTGTTTCCTCTATGTTGATTTTGGAGCGGCGGCCCGCAACCCCGTTGGCTGCCGCTCACATTGCAATTTAATAACAAGTAGAACTATTCAGAGGTTATTGGGGCTGTCCAGTTTAACTCCACATACTGTTGTGTTGATGGAGCTTATTGTCAAAACGTTCGCTTTCTTCCAAGTCGACTATTAAACTAACAGCTCCACCAAAAACGTCACCGCGGTGGGTCCGTTTTAATTGGACAACGTTCAACTTGTCAGTTCTCAGCTCAACGTCCTGATATCAAACATCTGGAAACATTAAAACGGTAAATATATTTGTTTGTGTCGCAGCGAAGTGGCACTTCTGTTTCATACGTAAAATGTTTGTCGACGGGACGGGACGGGGGGCGGGTGTTCGGACAGGCCTGCCCCAACTGCTAAAAAAAAATCCTAGAGAAAACACTGATTACCTGTTACTGTTACGCGTTACCTGTTCCAACGAAAACAACGTGACTGACTCATGTGCAGTGCATGCTCTGGGGGAGGGACGGAAATACACATGCGCGAAATACGCAGACTGTGGCTGTGTCCCAATTCAGGGGCTGCATCCCTGAATTGAGCTTTTTTCTATACAACGTTGCACAACAGAAAATGAAAAGAAAATCGTTTCCCTCCGATATGATACCAGCACCAGTACCAGTACCAATACCAGTATCCTTTAAAGTAATAAGTTGTTTGTTGTAAGGAGTTCGGTCTAGACCTGCTCTATTTGAAAAGTGTCCTGAGATAACTTCTGTTATGAATTGGCACTATACAAATAAAACTGAATTGAAATTGAATTGAATTAATACTCATACCAGCACCAATCGATCAGCCCATGACCTGAATCGGCCGGAGTCTCATATACATTTGATTCTGTGGTAAAACTTATAGACATGCTGTGATGGTTCATGTGCACAGTGGCACAGACATTAACTGACTACCACACACACACTAAATCATGTCATCAGTGTGTCAATTTTTTACCGTGAGGAAGTAAGGTACTGTACTTCCTGGTAACATGTAGGTGCAGACAAATGTCTTTTACTGTACTAGCTTTCTTACCACAGCGTCCTTTAACCCTCATCATATAGGACTTCGACCACCACTGTCCATGGGTGAACAACTGCATCGGCAGGAGGAACTACCGCTACTTCTTCCTGTTCCTCCTGTCTCTGACGGCTCACATCATGGCCGTGTTTGGCTTTGGCCTGCTCTTCATCCTCTACCATCGTCAGAACATTGACCGCCTGCACGCCATCGTCACGTATCTTTTAAGGACCTTTCCCATGTATTTTTGTTCCATGATTATTGGAAAAGCTGTCCATTTACACACAATAAATATAAAAACCTAATGGGCACATTATCATGAAATCTAATACATTATTCTGTATGGGCCTTCATCCGTCTGTTCAACCTGCTCTTTTATGGTATTCCTTGACCCCCTTCGCTCTCAGGCTGGCTGTAATGTGTGTTGCAGGCTTGTTCTTTATCCCAGTTGCTGGCCTCACTGGTTTCCACATAGTGCTTGTGGCCAGAGGCAGGACTACCAATGAGCAGGTAGGAAATCCAGTTTCATTATGTGTGCACCAGTGACAGGTAAAATTACAGTCTCAGAAATCCTGTAGTTTATATTTAAAAATGGATAGTAGGACATCTTGCAGATGTTAGCAAGATGTGTAACTGTAACTCTGTGTCTCTTTCTCCAGGTTACAGGGAAGTTCAGAGGAGGCGTTAACCCATTCACCAATGGCTGCTGGAAGAATGTCTCTCATGTCCTCTGCAGCTCGCAGGCACCCAGGTGCTTTTTTTCCCCTTCTGTTTTGCATACTTCTTTCTGATGCACTGTTCATTAGCACTCCATAGCCTTACAAAGGAATGCCTCCAACTTTAATCCATCAACATTCCGCAAAGAGACAGCATCGGTAATGTTTCCGACATCTTCATCCACTAATCGGAAGGTTGTTGGTTTGATCCCCATCTCCTCACACCACGTGTCGAAGTGTCCTTGAGCAAGATACGGAACCCTGAATTGCTCCTGGTGCTGTGCATCGGTGTGTGTAAATGTGTATGATTGAGTTAGTTTCTGTTCGATGGGCTTTGCTATCACTGTGTGAATGTGTGTGAAAGGGTGAATGTGGCACGTAGTGTAAAAGCGCTTTGAGTGGTCGGAAGACTGGAAAGGCGCTATACAAGTACAGGTCCATTTACCATTTACATCCAAAGACCATCATTTTGTGAGAGTGACTGAGAATTCTGAAAATGTGACAGTACTTGTCTTTCTACAGTACCACAGGTACAAAAGTTTTCATTCTTCCAGACCTGACCGGGCTGCATATACGCCTACCAGCAGCCTTTCTCCTTAATTTTAGACTCTGGCCTCCCGCCACACTTCTCTCTAACATTATGTATCGTGCCGATGCTTCACCAAAGCATCTGTCACTCCCATCTGCAATCACTCAGTGCAGAGAGAGTCGTTCTCTGGCACAGATACGGTGAATATAATGGGCTTTGGTTTCGTACGGTTACGTCATTAACGTCATTTTTTGTAATGTTGAAATGTTTTTAATAAAGGAGTGTGTGTACATGGGATCTATTGCTTTGTTTTTTGTTTTTTTACCGTGGTATCGAGACTTGTGGAATTTCACTAGTATTTGTATCGACTAATACATTTCTGGTTTTGTGGCATCTCTAGCTCAGTTTCTTGTAACAACAGTGTACTGTGTAGTGGTTGGTCTTTATGATCTAGATACTCACTGTGTCTGTGCTCACTGCAGGTATCTGGGCAGAAAGAAGTGTGTGCAGAGTGTGTGTGTGCAGCCGCCTTTTCTACGGCCACAGCTGACAGAAGCCCAGCTGGCCGCAAAGATCCTGGACAACGGCATACAGGGAGACCTGCACCGGGTAAGAACAGCAGGGCGGGTGCTCATAGGGGCAAACTTTAATGTGCCAAACAAACAAAGAATAGCTTTTTCCTCTTGGTAAACAGTGTGTTAATTAAGGGTGTTATGCCTCTAATTCAAGTCTGTGCCTGGAAAGTTGCATACAGGCACATCCAGATGGCAGCAAGAGGTTTAAAAGCAGTTTGAAATTCAAAAGGCAGAAGTCCTTTAAGGTTGTATCAGTAAACACAACCACATCTATCAGCCCAGACAGTCTGTGACGCTTCATAACAATGGCTACAGAGGAGTTGTTCATTCACTGTGCCCTGATGTCAACATTATGTACATTGTTCAGTCTCAGCAGGGTCATTATTGGGGCCAATAATGGTCTAATCTTTCAGAATAATTGTAATGTAATTTGCAGTTGTGTGTGTTATTTCTTGAGAAATTGTAATGTTCATCAGTTGTAAAACTTGGGGGAAGTAGTGCTTTGTGGAGGTTGTTGTGGACTACTCGCAGCCCGGAGTAAGCTCTGCTTTGGCTGAATGAAGTCTCACAGGCAGTAATGTATCTGCTAGGAAATTGGATTGTTGAGGTTGCTGATTGATTTTGGTTTGGCCTGGGTTCATAACATTGGATCTGAAATTGATTATTTTATAGGGGAAGTATGTTTAATTAAAAGGCATTCTACCACTTTGGCATTTTTATTTATTTACTTATTTGCAGAAATATTGCAAGCGGCTTGATATTGCATAATTTGGGTTGAATTTGTATTCATTTATTCAGGTCAAACAGAGTCAGGGTGCATGCTGGCTGACTGAAAAGATTCTACTACACTAAATGGAAGGGAACCTTAAGGCTTTAATATGTAACATTTCCACATTAAATAAACTCTAGAGCTAGATTCTATATGTAGTTGAGTTTTGTACTTACTAATGCCAAATGTTTCCAACAATGTTCAAACTCAGAGAAAGCTGACATTTTATTGTGTTTCACTGGTCATTTGTCAATTGCTTAATATCCCTTTTGGACATGCATCAACGTAGTGGTTCTTATCTGTCTTCTCTCCTCTTTCAAGTCAAAGTCCAGTCTGGAGATGATGGAGAGCCAGTCATGTGACGCTGAGCCTCCTCCTCCTCCTAAACCGGAGCTTCGCTACCCTGGAATCACCAGGGGAAACACGGAGGGTAATGTGTTCTAACTTCCTGCTGACTTTATGCAAAGATCTGCACATAAACTCTGTCTCAACTCAAAAACTAAACATTGATCTGATCTGCTCTGATATTTTTTCATTCATCTTTTCCCACCCTCCTGCAGAGTGCAGTCTACTCAACAAAGCCCCACCCACCCCCACCATGTACAAATACAGACCCACCTACAGCCCCGGCAAGAACCACACAGCGCTCACACATGCTTACGCCAACCAGGTAATGCACACATAAACACACAGGAGACAGCCAGGTGATATGCAAGGACAATAACACACAGTTGTAGACTCATATTTTTGTTTTTGTTTTTTCTTTTGATTTCCTGTGGGCCATCTTGGTTTGGTTTCTCAGTGGCTTTCTGTTGATCAGTATCAGTAAGTGATTGTTCTGAAAGCATTTTTTCCCCCTCTTATCTTCACCTATAACTTTGTTTCCTGCCCCTTTCTGTTTGTTCTGGATGTTGGTGAAATACTGTTTGAATACATTTGAGATGGTTAGTGACTGGATTAATCTATCATTTTGTTTGGACAGAATGAGTAAAAAAAAAACACAGTGTAAGATTAAATCCAATTTGTTTTGTTTAAATCATTTGATTGTAGCTGACTATATCTGGTATATAAGTTAGTTCTACTCAGTATTTGTACCCATGTCTGGTCCATATACTCCTACCTGTCAGTCCCCTGCCCCTCTGTAATACTATTTTCCTGATTCTCCTCCTTTTCTCTTTAGTTTGTTATTCCAACTTCCATCTCTTTATTCCTTTTCATTTTTTCAATTTTGTCTACAAATTCCTTTTAATCTCAGATTTTGATGCTTTAATGATCTTGTCACCTGAGCTGGTCTCAAATGGAATTTTAAAAACTTTATGTGATGCCTCAAATAGAGGCTGGTACAAAGTGAACTGTCAGAAGACAGGAATCAAATCTCTTTTTCACTCTTTTCCTGTGCTGTGGGCTTCTAGAGATAAAAGAAAGGAGTGTATATCAAGTGTTAATCTTGGTAACAAATCTTTTTTTGTCATCAAATAAATTCTTTCTCTTAATTTTATGTTGAATATTATGTCTTAATTGACCCTTCCTAAGTCCTGCCTGTTTTTGCTCTGTTCTCCAATAACAGTTGAGCAAGCCTTGTGAAAATGGCTTTAAACAAGCCCAACACATAGCATATCATAGTACAGGAAAGTTGACTGAGGGTCCAGCAGATACCAAGCTTGCTCAACTGTTATTATATAGTACAGACCAAAAAGGGCCGGACATGGGAAGGGTCAGTTTTAATGAAGGACTTGGGTGGCACTACCCTGCAACTACTTTCTATATTATGTATTTGTTGTGCAGTTGGTTAGTACTAATATTATTGACAGTGCATACATACAACTGTTATTCGTTGTGTTCTGTTGCTTTTTTAGTGACTTCTGAACCCTTGCAACACCATTGTACTAAAAATGTCGGCATGGAAATCTTAATGTATTATGTCTAATATTGAGAAAGCAAGACTTGGCACGTTTACCAATTTTAATATGAAGATGAGCTTTCAGTCACTAGACCTTCAACAAACTGCACCAATTAATTCCCAAATTGTAATTAAAATCTACAAGTTAAAATTTGAGTAAGAATAGTTTGCAAGAATGTAAGTATAAACACAACGAAGGTGTAAAGGTTAATGTCACAGACAACCTCTGTAGTCTCATGTTAACCACAGACCTTATTTCAGCCATCTTACCAAAATCCCATTGACTTCGAGGAGAGGGAAGCGGAGATGCAAAATCTACTTTCCAGATTTTAGGACTCAATCCCGCAGCACACGTTGCTGTTGGCCAGTTCTGGGTTTAGGAGCAAACCCAACATAGGAGGTTATACAGATAATACATCACAAAAAGAGAAGATAAATCACTACAGTCTCCTAATTGCTCTGATGAAGGTCCAGTGACAGACAGCTTGGCCTTATTGTTAAATACCTGCATTGGACCGAATTGTGCAGACACTTCATTTCTCCATGTTTGACATTTTTGGCCTTTCTTCATCTTAACATTGTGTTTTGATATTTTTAAAGTAATCATGTTGAATATCTAAAAAAGGGCTTTATGAACACTATCAGTGCTGACCTGTAAAGAGGCTACTTCCTGTCCAACAGAGAAACATTGCCAGCAGCAGTTGGGTTGTTGTGTCAGAGGAAGTTTCGGTGCAGCAGAAAATCATGGTTAAACTCCAATGTAGCTCTCTACTCTTATTTGCTCAGCTTCTTGTTTCTTTTCCCTCCTTCACCTTCCCTCCTCTTTCTCCTCCTCCTCCTCCTCCTCCTCCTCCTGCCTGCTCCAGTTAAGTCGAGGGGAGAGTGTCGGCAGTGCCAGGGACTCCTCCTCTTCTACCTCTTCCCTCCTCCAGGCCAGCCAGCAGCCTGGTTTCCGCTCCCAGCCCAGCCTGGACCGCAGGGACACTTCATCTGACAGAGTGGGAGGGGGAGGAGGTGGGGAGAGGAGGGAGGGCGGAAGAGAGGCGGGAGGAGGGGGCATCCCTGGTTACTCCCTCGGTGGACGCTCATATCCCTCCTTCTCTGACCCCACCGTCCTATCAGGAGTGGCGTCGCGATCTTCCAGCTCCACGCACACCTCGGCAGGTGCTGCCCACGTCTCCGAGGCAACCACAACCTCAGCCAGCTTCAAGAGCTTAGCCAATCAGACACCCCCGCCTCACCACCCATCCCGCAACGGGAGCCTGTCATATGATAACTTACTGGCAGGTGGTGAGGACTTTGACAAGGTGGTGGTGGCGGGTTCAGCAACCGCTGAGGTTTCCTCTGGAAGACCCTGCACACCGGCAGCAGGCAGCTACAACTCCCCCTTCCTGTCATCACAACAAAGAGTTGCTGAGATGCACTCCCAGTCGCCCCATCACCACCACCGCTCCTCCCACCACCACCACCACCCTTTCCTCCACCGCTCTTCCTCCTCCACGTCCTCCTCCCCACCACCTCCTCCAGAGAGGGAGTGTCTGCTGGGTGAGCCCCACCCCGGTGCTCACCCCCCACCTACCAGTCAGGCCCCAGCTCTGCCCTCCTCCTCTGCCCCGCCTCCCCCACACCATCACCACCACCATCATCACCACCACCACCACTCCCATCATCACCACCACTCCTCTTCCTCTTCCTCCACCTCCCGCCCTCCTCGCTTTGCTGTCCCTCACGCGCCGCCCCACCATGCTTATCCCTACCGCACCCGCTCCACCGACACCCCTCTGGGATCCTCCTCCACCTCCACGACTCACCCACCCCGATCTCCGCACCCCCCACCTCTGGGCAAGTCGCTCTCCTACTCGAGTGCTGCCGCTGCCGAAATGCAATACCGGCTGGTCCGAAAGGCGTCCGCGTCAGCCGGTGCAAATGCAGCGGGGGTAGGAGGAGGAGGAGGTGGAGGAGGTGGAGGGATGGGAGGAGGAGGAATACAAGCGCCGAAGTGAGTATGAGTTTCGCCTTTAGTCAGGACAATTGGTTTGCTGCTAACCCTGAAAAAAAACCACCTGCCCGCCTGAAAACCTGACCTGATTGACTGCTCCTCCTGCTCCTCCTCCTCTTCCCCTCTCTCCTCCTCCTCCTCCTGCCAGATTTCCTGTGAGTTCCTCCTTCTTCTCCCTTTGCTTGTCTTCCATTTGTGTTGTGGGGTTTCTCACTGTTACATGTACAGTGTTGTTGTGGTCTGCCTGTTTGTTCCTGTCGTTTGCATCATGTGTCCATATGCACTACACGAAATGTGTGCCCATATAAAAGACACAAAAATATTAAATGGAACCAGAACAATTCTGTTCACTGCAGCCATTAGGGCTGTCCCTTAATAATAAAGCTTGAGCATTAGTTTTTAGTTCAAGCCATTAGTAGTTCATTTATTTATTTATGTGCCTGCAAAATGCTAACGGAAAACGTGGTAATGATTCTGTATGTGTCAGAACAACTAACAGGGAGCCTTAACACGGTATAAAAATAACTTTTGAACTTCACAAAAACAAATACTTATAAGCACAATGGATAATGATCCAGAGTCAGAGTCCTGTTCAGAGCTGCTGGAAATTAGCTGGTTTCTAACAGTCTTCGAGACTGTGAGCAGCAGTCCAACGCTCTCATGCTAATTCCTATGGTAGTAATGTTAACAAAACTCCCCCCATCCTTCAAGCTCCCAGTCTGGGTAGAGTCAGCTAATAAGCTAATAGGACCTCTAAGTAGCCAATGGCAGCTAATACAGTTAGCACATGCAGCAGTGCACCAGTGACTTCCTGTGTAACAAGAGAAAAGGTTTGTGTTGCAACAATGCCCTGATACTTCCGTTCCAGTGACAAGGCGCAGCTCCCCAGCAGAGTTTGTTGATTTTGTTTTTCTGCGACTGTCCGGTTGATGAAAAGGGGGTCGACTAAAACTCTTCTCAACAACTTACAAGGGGCAGCCCTAAGTAACCATTCAACTTGATACAGCAGTGTAATTAACAATAATGGAGAAAAGGTAGAGTTCATGTTATTAACACACACAACAGGCAGTTTTACTATTCCAATACAAGTAACAATTTATGAATGAAGAAAACATAAATTCAGGTGTCCAAAAGTAACAGTAGCAAGAGTAGAACTGAAGAGGTGAACTTAGATAACTGAGCACACACGCATGGAACTTTGTTTCTTCACAGTAACGGTAACTGATGCAGCATTTTTGCATTGTAGTTCAGTATCAGATGAGTGTTCACCGAGGCAGTCAAACTTTTGCATGACGGAAATACAACTGTTTCATCTCCCAACGTGTTGCCGTGTGTCTGTCCTGTGCTTTTTCCATCCTGCGCACTATTTATTTGCAGGTACTCCACAACTGCACGGGTTTAGTTTTACCACTGTGTTTCTTTGAGTTTCATTTCATTGTGATGAAATGAGTAGAGTGTGAATGTCGTATGTGTTCGCAGCTGACCCATGGAAAATGTTTTATGATGTCCAGCATAGTGAAAATCTTAGTCTTAATGAATGTTTCACCTTCCATACTGAGATCATACTGAGAAGCTTTTTAACCAATAAGCTGTAGCATTACATGAGAACTACTGCAATACTTAGAAACATAACCCACTGAACAAAGAAAATAATGCAGTACATGTAAAACAGGCTGTTTTACATGTACTATTGGTGCAATAAATTCACTCATTCCAAACAGCAGCTGTAGCCCTTTTTTAGTGAGTGTATTTACATACAGACTGAACCCAGGTAGACTGAGGGTTGCGGTGGGAAGGTTGTTGCAGACCAAGTGCAAAAATAACAGTAGTATTTTTAATCCTGGTCCATTTGCCCATTAGGTTTGGTTCATTTGAGCTCTTGTCAAACTGCTGCTTTAGAGCGGGCCGAGACGGTCAGTTTGTTTGCAATTTAAGAGCAAACAAATTACCTGCACCATTTTTTATCGTAGATATGTGATTCTATGATTGCCAGTCAACCATGTTTATGTTCATCTTGGTCGTGAACACAAACTGGGTGACATCTAAAAGGCAACAATGTCCAGTTGTCCAGTCCAGAACTATAGGTGTGACAGCGCCTTATATGTAGTTTGTCTCATATTTTTTTGGAGGGTGTCAGATGTTTGGAAATGAAGTGGTAAAATACTAGGGCTGTGTATTTATTTCTAGAATGTAAGCAAGGAAATATATTACGATTGAAATAAAATACTAACAGTGTCATTAACTCTGGACTTCCTGTCCTGAATTTAATTCTAATTCTTTTTTTGCCTATTGTGTTTTTCTAAAATCAGGGATGAACTGATCCAGATGAAACCGCTGAGTCGGACCAACGGCGGCCAGCCCTTCTCTTCCACCTCCTCGTGCTCCGCCCCTTCCTCCCCCTCCCATCCAGTCAGTGTGTCAGCCCGGCCGGGAGTGGCCTATCCCAGCTCGGCATTGATGCAGAGCCCTGCCTATAAGCCCCAGGGTGGCGGGGTGAAGAAGGTGACGGGCGTCGGGGGCACCACCTACGAGATTTCTGTCTGAGAGTGAGCCGGCCTCTGGCTCAAGGACCAATGAGACGAAGAGGAGGTACAGCTCTTTTCTGCCTTTGAGGGAGTAAAACCACTAACCTACTGTAAACCTGGACATCTGAGGATGACTCGAACTATTTTGTCCAGATCTCACTCCTCATTGGCTAATTGACTATAGAGCAAAACTGTACTGGACTGTCCTGCCTCCAGACATACACCTCAGTAACTCTACTCGTAAAATGACAGTAAGACCTGGACTGATGTAAGCAAGAACTTGGTCGCACAGGGCTATGAAAGACATTTTTTAGGGGGGATTTCACAGGACCAAACAGGAACTATGATGTGACTCACTTTTGTGGGTTTTATCCTCACAGTAGCTCAGTAGGTAGCATGAGGCACTAGCATGGTCAGGTCTGGGTGTTACAGTATATACAAGTATAGCAGCGCAAGGCACTGCCACTGCCAGGGTGGGGAGCTTATCCCCACTGGGGCCACCAATGAGCTCTGGATGAGCTCTGCTGAGTTAGACGACTGTAGGTTTATGAAGTTTCATATGAGCACTTTTGGACTGAAGCTGCATTTAGGTAAAAGTGGACCCTTCATAAGTCCCGCCCCTTTTTGCTCTGTGCTCCAATAACAGTTGAGCAAGCCTCTGTCAGAACCATAGCCAACTTTCTCCTTTACTATACTTGGATTTTCCATGTGCTAGCCTAATCTATGTTGAAAAGACAGCCACATTTTGATGATGGTTACAACGTAGAAGTGACATACCATTTTAAGTTAGCAAAATGCTAGCTAACTAGCTTAGTGTGACCAGACCTCCCGATTTTGTCTGTGATTGTCCCAGTTCCAAGCTAGGCCTCCCGAGTCCCAAGAAATATCTGTAAAACACTACACTGTCCTTGTTTTCAACAATTACTACCAAATTGTCCCAGTTTCAACCACAAATAATATATTAATAACCAACACGAGTCATAGGATGGCGTCAAAGGCTAGAACACTTGTGGCTCTTTGTGACGGTTCGTTGTTAGCTCTCCTGCCGAAGACAGTTTTTTTTTTGAAGGCTTACTCCTTCATAAAGAAAATGCTGCAATGGTTGTGTCCATGGTGTTAAAAGGTGTGCTAAGCTCTTAAACAGTTGAGGTTTGAAGAGACATGGTCACCCTAAACTAACTAGCTAATTTACATTAATTGTTAGCTAGCTAGTTACAACTGTTAGCTAATGTTAGCAAAACGTTATGATTAATGTAGATAAGTAAGCTAGCCAGCTAGCATTTTGCTAACTTAAGATGTGACTATATGTCACTTTTATCTTTTAACCATCTTCAAAATGTGCTTGTCTTTTCAACATAGATTAGCCTAGCACATAGCATATCTCAGTAGAGGAAAGGAGGAAGTTGACTGAGGTTCAAAAAGGGGCAAGGCTTAGGAAGGGTCAATTGATGCAGATGCTTAATATTTTAACATTTCACCACTTTCACATTTAGAATGATGATGATGATGATGATAAGTATGTGGAACCTGATCAAAATCAAATGTAGAGGCCATTCAAAGTTAAGGGCTTCCCATAGACAACCAGTTCAGTGTAATGTGCAATCAGTCAAATCAGATTAAGTCATAGCAAGTTCCTAATACACAGTTCTGGCCCACTTGTCAGTTAAGCCCTGCTGGTAATAACAGCATCCACTAAATGGGACGTGGTGTGATCGCATTGGACCAAGTACACATGGCAGAACCCCCTTAACCTCGTCACTCTCCTGGAGGCTGCTGCCTCGGTCACAGCCTTCCGCTCAGTAATCAAGCAACTAGATCTACTATGGCCGCAAGACAATCTACTAGTGGCTGGACGAAGCGTTGCCGTGAACATATTCGATCGACGTCGCTGCGTGAATCGACTCGCCTTTTGATGGAGGGATGAAAATGTGACATTGAAAAAACAAAAACCAAAATGCTGGTTTCTTGGATTCATTTGTTGATTTTATTCCTAGATGTGAATATGATTCCATGTTTGTACAGGATGATGTGATTTTAAATGTGGATTTCTTTTCTTATTTTTTTAAAGTGGCATTCATAGCGGACTGCAGCATGCACTACTATTACTACTAGCCACTATAGGCCACCGTGTTTGGCTGTAGACCGTGTCGTCTGTTTGAACAAACAGGAAGTGAGGAAACTAAAGTGAACAAGGAAATCATGTTTTGGCCTTTCTGTTGTTAATGGGGTCCTTAAGACAAGGCAGATTTTTCTAGAAAACAAATTCCTTGAGCAATTGCCTTGAAAATTCAAGTTTTTTTTTATGTCACCTATTTAATTTAAAATTGTTTTATATGAATTTATAAGAAAATATAGCTATTGATAAATGAAGAGTTTTAAATATTGACTCAAAAGAGAGGGTGTGTTGTCAGTTTCAGAATCATGATAAAAAAAGAGCCGTTCCTATTTTGTTGAAGCTCCATAGCTGTTATTCTTTCAAACAATCTGAGGCGCCGTTTCCCAAATGTCCGAATTTCCAAGTTCACATCTAAGAAAAACCGGACAGGACTGTCTCAGAGCGCACGCCTTATTTCTGCAATGGTTAACTTGTATCTTCAGTCACGACTTCAGTCAGCAGTTAGCTGTAAAAACAACTGTTAGGGCCACTGTTAAAAAAAATGTAGGAAAAAATAAAATAAAATTTAATGACATGAGAATACAGTCAGAATTTCACGTTTGTAATATTAAATAAAGTCATAAGAATAAAGTCATTATTACAGGAAAACAGACATCAGTATGTCTGTGTTTTATCAGGTTGGCAGATATTGGCCTATGGTGGAATATACTCTGGAATAGAGAAGGACACCCATAAAATGGAGGTGAGTGAAAGAACCTCTTTCATTACTGTAGAATGCTCTATAGTGTTATTAAGATATTTAACTGCACAGTTATCCGTATCCGCACCGGCTAAATCTCGAAGGTAAAAATCCAGTGTCCCAAACAGCTCAAAGATCCACTGTATCGGCCGGCAATGGGGGAATTTTTCCTCTCTAAAATCCTGTATGGGTCAGGCTCTTATTTCTTGGCTGTGCATTTACATTGTACAGTTATCATTTTTCCTTGCAAAACATTTGGACTTTCTCTCACCCTCACAGTGGCCCTAACACTCTGTCACTATTCTGACTGTACACTAGATCAGCCAAATTTCTTCTGGTCTCAAAATTCATGTATAGTGAACTTCATTTGTGAATGAAGGTGCTCGAGACCCAGTTGAAAAAACTCACAGGAACTTACTTTTATATTTTGAATCAGTGTGCCATGGGGAGTTGTGGTAATGATGATGATGATGATGATGTAAAAGCCTTCCTTTTCCCTGCTAAACATTTACTGTGGCTGAAGATTTGACATCCAGAAATCATTCAAATTCAAAACTCTTCCAGCTGTTTTTTGGAATTCACAAATGTGTCAGCTTTATGGGATAAAGTCCAGCAGTTTGTTTACGGCAGATAGCGGTACTGTGAGCGCTGTACGCTGAATCTAACCTTGAAACCAACAACAGCAGCCATCTTGTTTCACTGTTTGTGAGATCACATCTACTATACATTTAGGTTTTTCTGTCTGAACCATCGACACACATCCGCCATAACATGGGCACTGACTGGTGAAGTGAATAACGCTGATTACCTGGTTATCATGGCTCCTGTAGCTCAAACTGCTGAAACAGTTAATGCTGGTTCTGATAGAAAGGTGACAGAACACTCAGTGCAGAGCACCAGGGAGCCCAGGTGATCATAATGTTATGGCTGATTGGTGTGTGTTAAGATGGATGACATGGTGGTTCTCTAAAAGTGAAGCCAAAGCATCTCTATGGCCCCCTCATGGCTGACTGCAGTATAGGTTATAAAGCCTGTTGCCTCCATGTTGGGCCAAACTAAAAAGAAAAAAGTCAATGCATTTTTTGGGGTTCGTGGTTCAGGATTTCAAATGCTGTCACCAACACAAGATGACAGCGGCTGTATCAGAGATATTTTGGGAGGAGGTGGAGACGTCCATCTTTTATGTCGGTGGTGTGAACCAGTGATATTGGGCCCAGAACTAAACTGGTGCAACAGATTGCTGGACAACCTGTTTAACAGCTGTTTGTTACTGACATAGGCTGTTCATACTGCAAGCCTTAGCACTCAATTGTTATTTATGGCTCAGATCCAACTTTCTTTTGTTTTGTTTGGCTCTTCACATTATTTTTTGAATGTGCCCCATATCAGATTCCACACTGAAATCACGCTGCAAAAAATCCAATCTGTATCTGATTTGGATCCCATGTGAAAGTCGCCCAAATCAGAACAGATCAGATTCTGTGTTATCTGTGCTGTTCACACGGTCATGAAAAAGCAACGAAGACCAGGTCACATATGAGCCCTAGTGCTCTGGAACTCTGGACTTTGAAGTTCCTTGGGGGGTCCTTTCAATTTCAAACTGGGGACGCATCGTCTTAATCCAGTCTGGGTCACCGACAGGACCACGAGTAGTATGTACACGTGTCTGAGAACTGAACAGATAATCTATGACATCACAAGAAAGGAAAGGTCTTCATTCATTTTTTGTTTTTGCTTTTGCTGTACTTTGAGCAGAGTGGACGGCAAGCGAAGGCGGTGGGCTGCAGGTGTGTGTCGGCAAGCACAGTTTCGGCAGACTTCTCCCCCTGTTGGATTGGGACGGGGCTGGGAAATAAATCAAAGAAATGACAAATATGTGTACTGTATAGCTTAACATGCGTGTGAGTGTGTTTGTGGATGGATGTGTGTACGTATGTTGTGTGGGGCTGGAGGATTGATAATAAACTTACAACAAAAAGGTGGAATGTTGTCGCTCTTTTCAATTTGAATGGATTTACAAACACAGTGAGGAAATCTGAGTAAGTGCAGTACCAGATTAAAGATACAAAAATAACTTTGTCCTATTCACTGAATCTTTCCCTACATCCTGACAGTAGAACATGAGACAGATAATCTGAAACAATCTGGTTCCTCTGGCTCCTCCTAGTGCTGCTAATGGTATTCTGAGTCCACCGGGCTCAGATGAAAACGACCAATCAGAGCTGAGAAAGATAGTTGATTGAGTCTCATTCCTAAATCGTCAACTACTGATGCTGGGAATGAGACTCAACAATCAACTTTCTTCTAGCCACCAACCCAAAGTGTCTTTCTCTGATTGGTTGTTTTCGTTGTTTCCATTTGTTGTTGTGGTGAGTGGAATTTGCTGCCAAACTGGTCGGCTCCACTGCCCACCAGGCTCCATTGATAAAACGAGTAATTTTACCTAGTAGATAATCGTAGTCTAAACTGGACAGAAACTAAATAAAAATAAATAAAAAAACATCCTTGTTAGTCTTTACACAGTTTCTCCAACAATCACCAACGCTGGTGAGGTTTAAATAAATCCTTAATTCACAGAGTTAGATGTGAAAATAGCTGAACTGACTACTATGGCTGCTAACGTTCCCCTAATCCCTGGGGACAGGGCAAAACTACATCCACTAAAAGTAGTTTTTTCCAGTCAGACTCAGGTTGTTATTGTCAGTGTCTGACAGCATTAAGGAAAGGACCCCTACAGAGATAGAGCTTTAGTTTAACCACAAACAGCCGTAATATCACTACAGGCAGAGGGAGTGACATTGTGACACAAGATGTCAGTGTCTGCTCAGACTCCACTTTATCTTTACATAGCAAATAGCTGTTTGCTGTTATATTAATGTCCTAAATCTCATATATAGAAAAGAAAAAGTTGAGTTAATTCAGCATTTATTTCAAGCCCAATCACCCTTTGTCACACACCGTGTCCTGGGAGTGACCTGCAGAGCCCTGTCCGCAGGGGTCGAGGGCCACAGACGGGCCAATAAACTGCTGTCATGTACACAGGCACAAGGCTGTGAGGCTTCAAGTGGGAGCAATAACATTTTAAAATAAATTCCAAATGTAACAGGGAGCCAGAGTAGAGAGGGGAGAACATCATCTAAACACATGCAGTGAACCACCGGACATACTGCTGACACAGGTTGTGTTCAGTAGGGTTCGGAAAGTTACCTAAACAATGTAATCATCATCATCATCATCATCATCAACAGTTCTATTAGTATAGTTGTTGGGTCTCTGTAAATAATATTATAAGAGTACCTGCTCTATTTGAAAAGTGTCCTGAGATAATATTTGTTATTATTGGCGCTATACAAATAAAACTGAATTGAATTGAATTAATTCCATACAACTACCTGTTAGAAACCTAATCCAAGTATCACAATATTAAATATTTAAAATTAAAATATTAAAGTAACCTGGTGTCTTTGTTACTTTTGGACTACCTCAACACCAAATATGCCAATAAGTACAAGAAAAGACAGATTTTACATAATTATTCTATAAGACAACAGGACAATATGACCTTGGAGAAGAAGCTTTTTGGAATCAACAATGTGTCGTCTGCTCAGACAATTTTTGAAGAAAGAAAAAGGCCTGTGATGTAAAAATATGTGAAATATTTTTTTCTAATACTGAAATTAAAATAACTGATTAACCTTGGTCCAGCAGTAACTGGCAGTGTACTGACATACCGATAATGAATATACAGTACAGTGTAAGCACAGCAGTGTACAATGCCAGGTTATCATTGAAACTCTAACTAGGTTAAAAAATATAAATAGAAAGAATAAAAACTAACTGAAATGATATTGTTTATTTACATAACTAAGTAGAATAAAATATACAGGAAAGATCTTTAGTTTTTGTCAGCATGAGGAGGCTTTATTGGGAGCCTGAGTCAATGTTTGTATTGTGTATTTTATTAATAAATCTAAAACTAACACTGAAACTAATAAAAACTAAACTAAAATTAAACATTTTTAAACAATAAAAACTAAACCGAAAGGAGCCAAACAGAAAACAAGTGTGCATCAAATACAGTTTGGGATGAACTTGTTTCTAACATCTTTACATCTGTAAAAAAAAACTATTTAGAATATATCATTATTAATAGAGGTATGCATAATATATATTTAGATTGATTCCTCTCTAAAGTGTTTCTCAAGCTGCTTTAGAACCAAAGAAATAAAACCAAACTATGTATAGCATCATATTCTTTTGCATATTGTTGCATCGCAGTAGGAGTGAATGTTATGTCGCATTGATAGTTGCTTCATGTATCGTTAATATAGCACATCGGCCTCAGTGATGGAGACGCAGGTCTGACCTCCGCCCACACTGTACAGCTGTTTGTGTTTCTCCAGGGTTCCCTTAATGGAAACACCTGGAAATTAATTAAAATGATCAGATATCTTAGAAATAATGCCCTGGAAATTTTGAACATCCTCAGTCAGATGTAAAGGGCCTACCTGGGTGCCCATTTAGTTTCTTCTTGACCATATAAAACAGCACTTGCACAACCAATGTGAGCGAGCAATTCCAATTTCCAGGATATTGTAGTCATTTTAATCTATTTCCTGGAAAACCAGTCTCTACATTTCCAGGTTTTCCAGGGAAAAAGCAGAATGGACTTTTTGCAGTGATCTTTTTCTGAGCCATTTACACATGCATACAGTCTCTTAATGATCCAATTATCATTTATTGTTGTGAACAGACGAGTTGGCTCAGAGAAAAGTCAAACTCATTTGTGTGAAGAATGAAGGCTCCATTGAACTGCTTCATGTGCACGTTGTTTTATTGCATGAATAACAAAAACAGGCTCCTCTGAGGTGTTTTAAGCAGAATTCTCCATCCATGTACAGCAAATATACATACAAGCATCGGAATGCAGCTCAAATGAAATGCAACATGACAAAAGGTCAAATCAAAAACAAGTGTACAGTGCATAACAAAAACAGTTTTAGTAATAAAACAATGATTAAAGAATTAACAGTGTCTTCAAAAAAATCTAAACAGTTCATGTGAATATATTTAGCAGTTTACTACAACAGGGAAAAGAGCTCAAAATCCTGATTAGGAATGTTATCAATGAGAAAAAACTGGAAATAATGTGGAAAATGCAGTCAAATGCCTGAAAGACTTGAAGACCAGAAGAAGCAGCTCAGTGCCTTTCAACACATCCTCTCTCATAATCAACAATTAAAGGCAATTTATTCCAAAAATACAAAACATAAATAAATAAAAACAAAAGTGGAATGTGACGTCTCATTAGGAACAGACTTCAGCCTGAAGCTGCAAACATGCTCTCAGTTCACCATCATGCTAATCACCAGTTAGGGAGTAAAGAGCACAAAGCCGGTGTGAAGCTTCCTGGATCCATTCCATGTGTTTAAAACCTTACAACATTATCACTGGATAGGATCCAAAGTACCGCAGCTATGGAAAAGCACATCAATCCGTTTTTTAACCCAAGGCCACACAGATGGAACAATGGATCCTATTTTGTGCACCGGTATCAAAAGAGGTTTCAAGTATGGTTTTTTTATACGAGTATTGTATGGAAGTTTAACATTCTGGTATGGTGGAAACCTTTGAGACAGTCAGGTTCCTCTCTGTTTGAGAGAAAAATACACTGAATAAAAAACAGACAAAGGAGAGCTGGAATCTGAAACAAATCTAATGAAACTGATGAATGCTGTGTGAGGGAAGGTTGGATGACAGCAGAGCTCACAATAAAGTCCACAGGGATGAACAGGGATGCTCTCTGACTATTAGTGAACTTGTCTAACACCGCCCGGCTCATGCAGATTTGTTGAGTTAAACAAGCACTCCCGTATTGTATCTCTCACTTCAATTTCAACCAAAACCAGCAGAAACCTGAATGTACTGTTTAACACTGCCAATGACTTCTATGTGAGGTCAGCCTACGGCAGAACCAGCGGGTTATAACTTAGTTTACATGAATATACAGTTAATCATTAAAAAATCTACTCTGGATTAAATTAAATTAAATTATCTAGATCAGAAACAACAACAAAGTAGCATCACATTCACTGCTCCCTTACTGTTGGTTAGTTAACTGACTCTACATTAGCAGTCACTCAGACTTCGACCATCAGAAACATTCCCAGGCCTTACACTGATATACTGGACCAGGGTTTAACATCACAACCCCTAAAGCTGGTTGACTGTGTCCCGGTTTGCTCCTGCTCTAAAGTGTTCTTTTTATTCTTTAATAAAGGGACAACAGACTGGGTTTACAGGAGCTTCGGTGTTAAATGGTGCGGTACTGTGGCAACTTTAAGAATAAAACGCTCTCTGTTGTTCTTTCAGTCCTGTTTTGATTCTCGGGTGAACAAACTGAACACTGACGAGGAGAGGGGAAGAAGAGCCACAAGTTTCATCCAGAAGTCCCAGCCAAGTGATACCAGCCATCTTTATTTGTCCTTCTTGGTTTCGGAGTCCTCCGCCTGGGCCTCCTCTCCTTGTTGCTCCGGCTCGTCCTCCTCAGGGACCGGTGGGAACTGGGATTGGCCGACCTTCTCTCCTTTAGTCTTGTTGAGCTTCTTGGATTTCTGGTAGAGCTCGTTCAGGTTGAACTCTCGGATGATGTTCTCCTGGTTGGCGAGAGACAGAGGCCGTTATTGATAGCAGTTGGTTTGAATTTGACAGTTTGAATGAACAAAAACATGAAACCCATTTAGTGCCTCACTAAAGCAGACAACTGGAGGTGTGTTACTGTAACCACATAAGTTGGTCCCTGACAGTGCACGGTTTCTGCAGGTTTCTACACAATGAAGATTAAAACCTATTCTTTGGTCTGTTTTAAGATGTCACCTTGGGCTCTCCATTTTCTGACATTATATAGACGCTGGGTATGGTTCGATCCCCGGCTCCTCCTGCTGCATGTCGAAGTATCCTTGAGCAAGATACTGAACCCCAAATTGCTCTTGATGCCGTGCATCTGTGTGTGAATGAATGCGTTTCTGTTTGATGGGCTTTGCCATCACTGAGTGAATGTGTGTGAAAGGGTGAATGTGGCATGTAGTGTAAAAGCGCTTTGAGTGGTCAGAAGACTAGAAAGGCGCTATACAAGTACAGGTCCATTTACCATTTTTTTCTCATTTATATTCTCCGGACTAATATACAAGATAGGGGGCCACTGTAATTATTCTGTAATCATAAATCTAAAGTGTGTGTGTGTATTATACATTATATAATATTATTCCTGTAAATAAGTTATTATTAACAACCCATTATTTATTGGCTATGATTTATTTGAAGAGTCAGAACTGTTTGTTGTTGTTGTTGTTGTTGTTGTTGTTGTTGATGTTGGTTAGATCAGAGCTATGGAATATTAAAATCAGCCATCTTTGCTCACTAGATCTCAGTCTTAACTTAACTTACCCCCTAAACTACAGTTAAGGGGGTAAGTTCACTCAGTTCACTGAGACGAATAAGAAGCTTCAGCAGTCTGTGTTAAAACAAGTGGAATGTTACAGCTGTGAAGTGTTCTGTCCAGTCTGACCTCAGTGAAGCTCCAGGACACAGCTCTACCCTTCTTATCCACCTGGGGGCGCCGCATCACCTCCTTCCCTCCCTGAAACAACACCAAGGAGGGAAGCTGTTTGGACAGCGGAGACGCAGACACCTTGTACCTACAGAACAGAATTCAGTCCATGAGATGACATATTCACACATCCTCTCTGACAAAATAAAAGCCCATCAAAAAAGACAAACCTATTAAAAACCAAAGAAAAAAAAGTCTTACTTCTTGGAAACCTCTCCATAACGTCCGATGTCCACTTTGCCAAACTTGAGGCCAGAACAGTTGTACCTGAAACACAAAACAAAGAAGTAGCTTAAGTTCTCTCATTGGTGTCACTGGGTGCACTGTACACTTTGACTGAGTGGCTGGATGGAGTCTTACTTGAGAGAGAGATCAGCATAGACCGACGCGAAGGACTGGCACTCCGGAGACCAGTTGGCAAAGAATTCAACGATCCATGTCACACGACTGTCTCTTTCCAGCTCATCCTGGACAGACAGACAGACACTTTAGATTTAGGATTAAAGAAACAAGATCTTTGCTCTTGGTCATGGACACACTACCACTTTTACTCACATCAATGGTTTTGTCACTGAAGTATTTGATGTACTCTGGTCCCATGTAAAGAGGAGGCTTGCAGGTCATCAAGAACACTGAAACACACAAAGAACCAGCAGAAGAGGATGACACCAGGACTTTGTCTATGGTATTCTAGCAGAATTAGTGCTGAAATGATTTTAAGGCTGTACCCAACTGAGAAATTCTGCCGAATCAGATTAGGCTGTTCAGTACAAAGCTTTGACTGTTGTTCCTTGTTTTTTCAGTCCAGTGCCATATTAAACTCCTTTTACTTCAGTTCCCGCAGTGGCAACTCCACTACATGAGTCTCATGTTATAGCCTACCTCATATTTTAATACCTTTCCTCATCTGTGATGTGAAAACCTCAAATTTCCATTTCCAATGTCCTGCCTGGCTGCTGACAGTGCTGTCAGTACAAAGAGACAATCCCAATTGACAGCAGTGGAGGAGGTTGGACCACAGTCTGGCTGAAAAGTGTGCAGCGTTGAGGCAGCATCTGCCCCGCTGTTGTTCTTACAGTTGTGGATAACGTAATGACTGTGACAGGCCTAAGTCTGTCAGTGGCTCTCCAAGCCCTTTGGTCCTTTTTAATCAGACGTCACTAAAACAGGAAGAAAGGGTGCATCTTCTGGGCAAATTCATTCTTGCTTGGTGCTCTAGTGCAGTGTTACTCAAATGGGGGTATTCTGTCAGACAGAATATGGTTTTACCTCAATGAACTGCAACCCTCCCAAAGCGTTGTGCTTTTACAGCTACAAGGTTTAATAATCTGACACTGATGGCACGGCGCTGCATTGCACCTCTTTACAGTTCCTCCAGAAAAACGCGATTATGCGATCGCATAATTCAATGCATAATCAGTCAAAGTCTGCATATTTATGCGGGGGGTGCATTTTTTTCAAATACGCCGCAGTTTCGCCACATTAATTGACGATTTCCATGCAAAATATGCGGGGCTTGCATGATTTCATAATGCAAAAAAGTCACACATATATCTTAGCAGACAGTTGAAAAATGTTGTGTTTACTTCACACAAGAGCAGCCATTTTCCCCTGTTGCCATGGGAACGTTATGAAGTGATGTAATTATGCGACGTGAACATCATCCAAAAGCTGCAAACCCCGTGATGAAGCCGCAGTTTTTGCAAGTTCCCACAATTTCATCGCATAAATATCCCGCATATCCCATTGCGTTTTTTAAGAAAACGTGCCGCATAATCAAGGATTTTTGCCCGCAACAATCACAAAAAAACTCCCCGTTTTTCTGGAAGGACTGTCTTTATATAGGCTTCTGTTTTCTACTCAGGGGGTAAAATGGGTACCCACTTTATCATTTTGTTATTGAAAAGTTTGAGAACCACTGCTTGTGAGCTAGTTGAGCATATGGGGCAGCAGGGCGGAGTATGTGGGGCAGAGGCTAAAAAAACTATTCTGTGTGTGTGTGTGTGTGTGTGTGTGTGTGTGTGTGTGCGCGCGCTGTCAGCCACTGCAACAGTGTGGCTCACTGATGTGTTTTTAAGCTCTATGGCACAGAGGAAGAAGATCTATCAGGCTTTGATACACATACAGTGATTGTTACATTCAGTGTTGGTTTGGATATTTGAACTGGGATTGTTGACAATAAGAAAATAATGTAACGTCACCAGACTTTAAGCCTCTCCTGACAAGCTGGACTTTGCTGTCTTTTTTACATGTGGATTGATAAGTCAGCTGATGTACATGTGTGGTGTGGAGGTTGGACTGACCTATGCAGAGGGTCAGGTAGAGCAGTCCCATCCTGATGTCCAGTCTGAAGAACAGGATGACGTTGGCCACTTTGCTGAACAGGATGATGTTGCCAACATGCTGCTCCACAGTTACTGACATTAACACATTAACACATTAACAGATACACAGACACTTTTCACTGTTTAATCCAAACTCCATAGAAAACATTTAAATTAGTGAGAGATGATGATTCTTAAGTGCAGTTTCTAAGATGCAACCACTGTGCGTTTTTTCTAACGGAATATGAGAAAAAGCTGATATTCAGTGAAATTCAGTCTATAATATAATGCACTAAAACACAGGAGGAAAATTCAAGACATTTAATGAGTTTCTTCTAGAATTGTATTCCTGTCACAGTGGGGAAAAACATGAGACAACACAATTATCCACTGAAAACCCAGATCTTATAGCTGGAAGGTTCTGGGATATACCATTATCATCCACACATCCAATTATAACATGACATACAGTGGATATAAAAAGTCTACACAGCCCTGTTAAAATGCCAGGTTTTTGTGATGTAAAAAATGAGACGGATAAATCATGTCAGGACTTTTTTCACCTTTAATGTGACCTATAATGTGAACAATTTAATTAAAAAAACAAACTGAAAACACACTAAAACTACAACAGTGATAGGAGCTGCCATGACAGGCTGCCGTTGTCACCGGCGCCATTTCCACTGATCAAAAGAGGGCTGTACACAGGCGATGCCCTCGCAATCTCACAGATTTGGAGCGCTTTTGTAAAGAAGAGTGGGCAAAGATGTGCCATGCTAATAGACTCCTACAGACTGAGTGCTGTAATAAAATCAAAAGGTGCTTCAATGAAGTATTCGTTTAACGGTGTGCACACTTACGCAACCAGGTTATTGTAGTTTATTTTTAATTTGTCCCCCTAAAAAGATTTGTTTGTTTTTTTAATTTTATTTTGTACCTTCTATCAATAAGATCCCTCTGATGCTTTGGAAGCTCTCTGCGGACCATGGCTTTTGCTCTGAGATGCAACTGAGAAAATGTCAGGAAAGTCCTACTAGAACAGCTGAACTTTATTTGGGATTAATCCGAGTCACTTTAAATGATGGTAGGTGTGTACTGACTACTATTTAACATGAGTTTGAATGCGATTGGTTAATTCTGAACACAGCCACATCCCCAGTTATAAGGGTGTGCACACTTATGCAACCAGGTTATTGTAAGTTTTTTTGTTTGTTTTTTTAATTAAATTGTTCACATTATAGGTCACATTAAAGGTGGAAAAAGTCCTGACATGATTTATCCGTCTCATTTTTTTACATAACAAAAACCTGGCATTTTAACAGGGCTGTGTAGACTTTTTATATCCACTGTATGTCATGCTGATTCAAGAATTCACAACAAAATAAAAGACATTTACTCACTCGCTCGTCTGTTTTTCATCATGACGATGGCACTGAGGAACATGAGGATCTCCACCTCTCTCTGAGGACACAAAGAGGATGTCTTAAACTGTGCCAGCCAAGTTAGTTAGTTAGTTCATACTGATTGGATCCTTCAAGAATTGTACCAACATGTTTTGATCCAAGACATTAAAACTGCTGTAACAACATCTCTAGAGCTGCAATGATCAGTCAATGATCAGTCAACGATGAAATAAATCGCCAACTAGTTTGAACATCAATTAATCATTTAGTCACTATTAAAAGGAAAAATGTCAAAATTCTGATTTCAGCTTCTCCCATGTGCATTTTTTTCTGTGTTCTCTAGTCATCTGTGGCATTACACTGAATATGGGTGGTGGACATCCCCTTGGGCAACCTTGGAAGGCCTGGTCAACCCTTTTCACCATTTTCAGGACCAAAAAACGAATCAATTAATCTGGAAAATGATCAAAAGATTCATCAATAATGAAAGTAATAGTTACTCGCAGCCCACAGGTGATAAAACATATTTGAGAGCATTTACATCAATGTGGGACACTGATGTCACACTACCTGGTGATTTGAAAGATGAGGCACATGAACGCCTCATAAAAGCAGACCTGTGGACATTTTGTGACTTTGTGTGATTATTGTATTATGTATCAGTATGGGGACAGACAGAATGGAGGCAGGGTGAGCCAATAATGGTAAAGGCAATGTACACAATATTTTCTTGCTAGTTTCATTAATTACAGCATTACTTAGTGCATTGAACTACACTCCACAGTGCATGGAGGCAGGGGTGCACACAACCACATGCAAGCATCTCTTCGTGATGAGAAAATACTTTATCAAGTCAGGACATCTGCAGCAGCTACAATAAAATCAAGGAGGCCGCCGTTCCCTTCGTGTCTAAGCTGGCCAAACTCCATGGAAAAATCTAAGCGTTTTAAGGCATTTTGCCTGCCAATATGGATTCATGTGTTGGGGCCTGAGATATACGACCTTTAACAGTTTAGTTGGGATCTATTATTAAATTCGGCAATCAGTCAATACACGATATGGCTTAAGGTTCTATAAAAACATTGCCTCCAGCATTGATTACCGCTGTAACGGTACAACGTTAAAGGACGTCATTCATTTAGCTAACGTTAGCTAGCTAAACTAACGTTAGTACTAACGTTAAATGGCGTATAATGCGACTAGCTATAAGTAGTTTCTGTAATGAAACACACGCTGATTTAAAGAGTATTTTCGAGCCGTATATAATATAATACCCTATCTATTTCCAGTGAGTTATAATGAAGTTGTTTGACAAGAGCATATCTGCCAATAAGTAAAACAGTATGAATTTGCAGTTTTTTGACCGCAGTTCGGCCTCTCATTCTCTCCCTGTGGCTACGAACGGCTAATGGCACCTAGCCCCTGCAGTCAGCCTGTCCAACGACCCACCGCCGTGTCCGTCCGCCGTGTCCGTCCGCTGACCGGCTAGCCTGCTAACGTTGGCTGATAAAAAAGCAACGAGAAGCAATTTGTGACTTTTCGCCATTTTCTACGCACCCAGTCAAAGTCGCAGGAGTTGCCGTCCTCTCGCTGTGTGGACAGATTGTCGCAGATGCCAGGCGTCTTGCGGACAGCTAGAAAGGCTATAGACATGAAGAGAGAAGCTATGTAGTAGGGCTTCAGCAGCCACTTGTACACCTGCGGCAGGTGGTACAGGAACGCAAATAACGGCGTTAGTAGAGCCATTTTCTTTCTAACTGACAGCTAATGGGAACCCCGAGCAGACCGAGGCAGCCGGGGATGAAGCCGTTAGCTTGATGTGAACGCTTGACGTTAGCTAGCTTGATGCTGAACAGTGTAAAGGTAGCCAGAATAACAACTTCCGGTTTAGATATAAAAAAATTAAACCATTTCTATTTAAATGCCATTTACCGTGTGACGCGTACGTGCGTTTTGTTGTATATATAAAATGTATTTTACATAAATATATTATTTTGCTTTATATTCTAATACGTTTTTTTGTTCTTTACACCGTTTTCACTCACATTTTAACATGCATCTGCTTTAAATGTGAAGGTAGAAGACCCAACTTCCTGTCTGACCGTGGTTAACTGCTGGCAGCTTGCCTCAGCTTTGCGGTTTGTAGTCGGCAAAACTGGAAAGAAATCGCTTTCAAGGGGCGGAAATTGGTGCGGAGGTCAATCCGGACGAATGTGTTATAACGGGCGCTGATTGGTCAGGGCAGAGAGCAGGTTGCAGAGAACACTGCTGATTGGTTCATTGCGGTAGAATATCACCTACCCCATCTCAGGGCTTGGGAATTGTATTCATTTGGGGTCCTTTTGTCTAAAGTGGAAGTAGCAGGAGCCTGAGACCAGAGTGAGAGCTAGAACAAATATCCAAGGGGTACAGCAGGGGGCACTAAAGGCAAGTGGCAACGCAGTCGTAGTGTTGATAAGAAATCACAAAAATAGTGCATTCTTCTCGATGGAAGCCCATTTACGCATCCACTTTCACAGAGTACTCCAGCCAGTCCCTCCTCTGGTCCCCAGGCAGCAAGAACACATCTCTCTTACTCCCAGACAGGGAGCCTGTGGTGTAGGTCGGAGACTGAACTGTCAATCCCATCCTCTGTCAAACCCTCCATGGCAGGATGTAGCATTAAAGGTCCAGAGTGTAACATTGAGGAGGATCTACTGTCAGAAATGGAATATATTATTCACAGGTATGTTTTCATTAGTGTATAATCACCTGAATGTAGGGATTGTTGTGTTTTTGTTACCTTAGAGTTAGATTTAATTTATATCTACTGACACTGTGGGTTGCCTTCCATGTCCACCATGTAGCCCAGTAACCCAGAAGGGACAAAGCAAACACTGGCTGGAAATAAAGGCATGCACCCATGCTTCCTCATGCTTCCTCATGCTTGTTTTATTGATTCATTTGACCAAAGCTAAAACATTTTATGTATATTTTTATTTTATTTAGTTTTGCTCTCAATATAATTTTAGATTTCATTTTTTCTAAAGTTTTTATTTTTATTTCAGTGAGCTAAAATGTTTTTTCATACGTACTTTTAGTTTTTAGTTTAGTTTTAGCTCACTATAGATGCTATATAAGAGAAAAAACTCAATTAAAACTAAATCTCAATTCAGTGTCTAAAGGCATTTTCCGGTGTTCTACGGCCGTGAAGAAGATTTTTAAGCCATTTAATGCCACAAAGCTTGGAGCAACCTTGTAAAATCTACTTTAATGAAAATATTATTACATACATTTGTTTTGCATAAAAACACCAAAAGTAACAGTATGATATTCCAAAACAGATATTACGGTCTTTGTAACTAACCACATGCATTCTGTCCCAGAAAAGTTTAACAATCTTACAGGTGTAGAAAAGATCTTCCTGAGATTCAATATCTTTTTGATAAAATGTACACACGTTACTATCTAAATGAAAAGTGCATGGATATATACTGGTAACTGTTTTGAAATGAACCTTCTTCCCTTTAGGTAACAACAGAAATGGCAGTGTCCACTCTTGAAAACCTTTGAGATAAAACATTCTTTTCAAAATGTTGACATTTTCACATCACATTTACTATCTAAGAAATTGTAATTAGCATTCTGGGTGAAGAAACTGTAGGTATTTGTTTGTTGTATGTGATGATATGTATGATATGTAAACTCCTCCCACACCAAAGGAAGTGAACCAAGACTGTGAGACGTAAACAGAGCCTCAACAAATATCTTCAAACAACCCAAACATGATTGGACTAATCAGACGCATTTCTTCTGGCTTTGTGCTTTATTCACATCATACAATAGTTGATGGCAATATTAAGAGCGTCTGTATTTTGAAGGACATTAAAAAATGAGAGTGCACCTGTAAAAGGTGGATAAACCATCACAGAAAAAAACACATAGGCCTACTTCCTCATTAAACCTGAGTAGCGTGTAACCTTGCAGGTAGTTTCCTACCACCACCAGCAGTCAGGCTGTTTGTTTGTTTACATCCTTTTTTTTTTCAGAGGAGGTAAGTTGTTGTTATTGTACTTTTGTTTCAGGTATCTGTACTTTCCTTGAGTATTTCTTTTCTGACAACTTTTTACTTTCACTCCTTTTATAATTACAACATTTAGTCTATAATGATGTGGAAATGCATCTTCTTTTAGTCAAATAACATCTTTGGGGAGCACCCCCAACCCCCCAGTGTAAGCTCCTACACATACAGATATGTGCATGGCACCATAAAGCAATTCAAGCAGTTACAATAGGGCAACCAAATGGCCAGCAGCCCTGGATGATGATTAATATTACTCAGATTGTTGTACCATACTTTTTAACTTTTACTTTAGTAAAGAATGTGTGTACTCTTTGACAATTTAAATCTCATATTTGAACCTGTGACAATCACACTGAACCACCGAGCTGTGACGAGGACCTCAGGATGACTGATTTGATGAAGAAAACATACTCAATGGGCATTCATTCGAACACAGGTAAATTGATCTGCAGCATTCGTCACTCACACACTCCCACACACACACACACACACACACACTTCACTGGCAGACATTAAGAGACTTGTGCTGTTATGTGGAAGGTGTTGGGTTTTTTTTCTCTCATGCAAGAAGACAAGACATTACATGTGATTATGTAACTGTACTAGTGTGACTATTATTTCAATGTAAATGTCTGAGCACAAACATAATGAAGACAAATTAAGATGTGCCAGAGACCAGTAGGCGAGCGCGAGACGCCGAAATGGATGCCAATAATATTCTGAATGGAAAGTTTACTTTTAAAAAGTTGCCAAATGGTTCCATTGACAAGACCAAAGTGATCTGTGTGTTTTGTCGTTGTGAACTGAGCTATCATCGCAGCACGTCCAGTCTGAAATACCACTTGATGGCCAAGCACACAGCTGATGTGAATTCTCCTCCCCCTCGTCAAAGCAAAGTGACAATGGATGACTTCAGACAGAAGCTCATGGATACCACAACTAAGAACAAAGTTACTGCAGCCATAGCTAAATGGGTGGCTACTGCATGTAGGCCTGTTAACGTTGTGGAGGACGAGGGTCTAGTATTTTTCTCAGCCTTTTATTGATGGACAGTGTTACATTGTGTGATTGTCATTGAGAGATTATTTGCTCCAAGTGAGAATGTTAGTGTGAAATTGAACACTACAGTATATGCCAATGTTGTTTTCAATAAAAACAACATTTGCACAAAGCAAGCCGATCCACTTTTCCATGTTTATAAGAGCATTAAAATGAGAAAACATAATGGGACAAAAAGAAATCAAGGGACATTTAGAATAGATAAAAATGTGCGATTAATTGCGAGTTAACTATGACATTAGTGCGATCAATTGCGATTAAATATTTTAATCATTTGACAGCACTAGATTAAAATACATTTAATTCATCTTAATTAATACATTTGACTTAAAATGTAACCCCCCCCCCAAAAAAACCCCAACTTAATTTACTTAGATTATGTCATATTTTTAAATTCAAATTTTTGTTTGTATCATGGTAGTTGGGCTTTTTGTTGTATTTGTTGTTGTTTTATTTGAAAAAGATCTGACTCTTTGGTTTGATAAAGAGTTCGGTCTAGACCTGCTCTATTTGAAAAGTGTCCTGAGATAACTTCTGTTATGAATTGGCGCTATACAAATAAAATTGAATTGAATTGAATTAAATCTAAAACATGTATCCCCATTGCCAAGTGAAAAGCTGCAATTAATCCACCTGCCTTGAACGCAGCACATGTGGTATAGGAATCTGAACTGACAGCCTGTGTGACTCATCTGGATACTGGGTTTGGATCCATGAGCTCATCACGTACATTTGTTGCTCAGTTTGCTGTAATAGACATTTTGAACTGTCAAAGCAAATCTCAGTTCCATTAAGTGTCCCAGTAACAGTGACAGTGAACCAGCATGCCCAATGGATGTTTCCGAATGTGACACCACGAAGCCAGTTAGTGGGATAAGGAACAGAAGTTAACATTTGTCAACATTTACTTTATCTAGATTCTAGATCTAGAGAAATATTCATGGAGTGGCAGGGAGACTTAGATATAGAATATAGAATACAGACAGAGGCATGTTGATGTTATTTTACTTGAGAGGCCATTGTGTTTGAATAGTTGTTCTTCTGTTTTATTGTGGATTTTTTTTGCATATTATGTTGTATATATTATATTTAATATATGCAGGTTGTGATATTGTACAGCTGCTACCTTGGTCAGGTCTCTCTTATAAAAGAGATTATTGAGCTCAATGCGACTTTGTGGTAAAATAAGAATAAAATAAAACATATATCAATATTTGCTTGGAAAAGCCCCCAAATGAAGATATTTGAACTCACATTATCGTGACTCATCAGTAAAGCCCTGAACAGAAGTATCTAAAGGTGGCATTAGAAATCAATACATTGTGAAAACAAAAGTGAGTCATAAAACAAGGATCTATTGCCCCCCTGAATGTAACCACACCATGATGTCATCCCCACAGCATCACTGTTAACCCTTCATTATTTTGTCAAAAAAATAAACAAATTGTTTATGGTATTATTCAGTTGTGGTATATCAAACATATTCTGTATATTTGATTTGCTAAAATGACATGGGAATCCAGATGATTACATTGCTGTTGATTGATTCACTGTTAAAGCCACCAGCCTGGTGCTACTGTGGGCCTGCACAGTTCCCTCATCACTTCCTCCAACTGACAGGAAACAGGAGGAGGAAGAGTAGTAGGAGGAATTAAGATGAGATTAGATCAGATTAAGATGCTCTTTCATTTATGAATTTATTTTAAAAATATATATACAGCGTTTTTATTATTATTATTATTAAAGTGTTTTTAATTATCATTATGGTTATTTTTAAATACAATTATTGTCTTGTGTATTTATTTATTTATTTATTTATTTATTCTAAAATCAAAATGTGTGTCACTGTCAGAGCTCCACTTCCGGCACAGCAGCTGGTCTGAGATCGGTTTTCTTTGTTGTGGATCTCTCGTGCTCCGAGCCTGCGGTCGGACAGTAGAAACTGATTTCAGGTCGGTTGTCAGGGTTTGACTCTGCCTTCTTATCTCCTCCAATCAGAGCCGGCCAGTCAGCCCTGACGTATGCGTGCCAGCTGTCAGACTGCACACAGTCAGAGCCAAACAGACAGGAAATGTGACATTGTCTTCAAAATAAGAGGCTTAAAGGGATGAAATAAAAAAAAGTGAAGCTCGGTCCTTCGGATAATCATATGAAAGGAAATGTACCATCAATTAAAAATGACTTTGAATTTTTATTCCAAACATACATTTTATATATACGTCTTAATCAAGCGCAACCTATCTGAAGCCAACACAGCAGTACCAAAAACTGCACTTCTTCTAACGGCCACTTGAGGCTGGCCCCCATCAGTGAGTCAATTTCCATGAGGCCCCATATTAAAATGCCCAACTTTACAGCAGAAATAAACATGTTTACAATCTGGCACTAAAAATGCGTTTGGTCTCTATGGCTTATTTTCCCGTTCATGACAACTGTACGGGGGTGAAACTTTATATCACTCACCCCTTTAAAATGATCAAGTCATCAATCAAGTTATGCATAATTAAGGGCACGGCCGCTTTGAGTGACAAGAGGGTTTTTTCAGTAACCAGGCTTCATTCAGCAACCTCAGCCCTACCCACGCTTCACCCCTTTACCCATTTTTGGATAAGCCGGGCTGGTGGAGTCAGGACTGCCAAGATGGCGACGGCCAGATCCGACCACACTGAGCTTCACAAAGGCTCTTCAGAAACCTATGGGGGACATCACGGAGACTTTGACTATTTTTAATTATACATATTTCAATTTAAATTTTATTTGTATAGCGCCAATTCATAACAGAAGTTATCTCAGGGCACTTTTCAAATAGAGCAGGTCTAGACCGAACTCTTTAAAACATTATTTACAGAGACCCAACAGTACCACCATGAGCAAGACCTTGGAGACAAGGGCAAGGAAAAACTGCCTGTTAAAAGGCAGAAACCTAGGACAGATCCTTCGGCTCTAGGTGGGTGGTCGTCTGCCTCGAGAGAGAGAGAGAGAGAGAGAGAGAGAGAGAGAGAGAGAGACAGACAGACAGACAGACAGACAGACAGACAGTTGCACAGCAACAACAGTAGCAGCAACTACACTAATAGTACTGACTGATGATGATGAACATGAAGAAGACGACGACGACAACAACATATATGGTCTACACCTATGGTATTAATACAGGCCTGGAGGGGGGGATCTTTAAAAAAAGACCCACCATTTAACACAAACTTGTTGAGTGAGAAAGCTTCTATCTATATATCATTTATAATATGGATAACCTTTTATTGAAATTCAAACTACACTTTTCTTTCAAGCACAACCCAGGGGTCGGTTAGGCTTAACGGAAGGCTGTTCTTGATTTTCAGGCATGTAAGAAAAATAAATGAAAATAGACGCAGTAGGCCTATATCTCAGCATTTGACTGACTTCTGTGAAGAAAAATAAATGCAAAGTAAATTGTCTGATAGAACAATGGCCAAGCATCAGGGACAATAAAACACAGAATTTGTCAGAAATGTGTTAAAAATTATAAAAATACATAATAGAGACAGAAAATAAAAACAAAATAAAAAGTTCCCTAAACAAGAAATAATCTGCTAAAAATTCACCCAAATCACCTGTTTTATGCAAGCTACCTGCAGTTACTGAGTTCATTATTTGGGTTCATTGTACAGTTTGAATATAATATGAAATATCCATAAAATATGTCACAGAGTCAGGGGTCATCAGTCTACTCAATGATAGAAAAGGGGCTCCATAAAGAAAACGTTGGGAACCACTGGCATGTACGACTCTTTAGGTTGAAAAGCTTTTATTGTGAAACCTCTAACAGGAAGTCCTATGTATCACTCTCGTTAGCTTGACTTGACATGGCTGATTCACCATGGTAGTCGTCCCCAACAAGCGGCTCGCGAAGCAGGGATCCAGACGGGATTATCAACCGCAGACACCGCCGGGGAGCAGAGCGACGTTTCAGGCTCCGGTTCACCTCAAGCACTCGGACCGCGTCGACGTTTACATCCGGACCGACGTGAGGACACAGGTAAGCCGTCCACTCTGCCTCTGCACCCGCTTGTCATTGACAGCTCCCGTTATTAACAGCAGCTAGCCGAGTTTTTTTAAATTGTATTTTATTGGCCGGGTGAAATACGCTATATGTATCCTCCGGTTTATTTAGCTCCGGTCAAACTATTATTTACAATACGCAGTTGTTAAAAAAAGATAAAAACATGGTTGACGGAGGCCTGTAATTATCTGTAAGCCTAACAGTGCTGCGGGTCGATGTTACCCTGCGAGCGGTGATTCCCTGCGGCTACTAGCCCCATGGCTACCGGACACAGCCGCCCGCAGGGAGAGCAGGGTCCGCTGTGTGTGCTGGTAGTACAGCCCCGGTAGCATCAAGCATTGTGCGGTCCCTCTAATGTAACTGCAGCTGCTGTGTTATATTCTCAACTGTAACCGTCTCATAATACTTCCACAGGGACCTTTACATGGCAGCTGAGTGCTCGGCCCTCCTACCCTCTCCCGGTACCGTGCGGCCGCAGCATCCATCATCTCCGCCTCCAAGCTAACGGGATGACGGAGGGGAACCGAGCCTCCTCACGTACCAACACGGTGGGTGAGGCGACGTTCAGGGGCTGTGGGAATTCTTAAAAACCGCCGTGGCAGCGACTTTGAAGAGAGATTTGAAGTCTTCTCTAGTTTCCTGTCAAAGCTCAGGTTGGAGCAGGAGGTGGGAGTTCAGGGTCTTGCTCAGGGGCACTTTGGCAGCTTGGGTGAATGGGAGGATGATGGACCCTACTCTTCATCTTCACCTCAAATGAGTGGAATGAGAGGACGAGGAACTACTGAGAAATGTGTCTCACTAAAGTAAAAGTACAGATCATGTTTGTTCTATATTGTTGTATATTTTGATGATCTGAGCCTGGAGAGCAGCTACAATCACAGATACATTATCGGGTCATGAGGTTGTCCTCATAACCCACAGAAGACACTTTGATCATTCTGACACCACGATGGTGGGAGCCACCGTCGCCTTGTGCCCCAGGACTACTGCGGTCTAACAGAAATTCTGGTTCTGGAGCGTGGTGCTCTGCCAGCACCATGGACTACCACGCCGAGTGCTGCTTCTGTGACCCCGAAGAGGGTCACGGTGGCCCGGATGAGCCGCCGCTCCACAGCATCCACGCACCCAACCGAATCCGCCCATCCTCGTACCGAGCCCTGAGGAGCGCCGTGTCTAGCCTGGCTCGCATCGACGACTTCTTCTGCGAGAAGATCGGTTCGGGCTTCTTCTCTGAGGTCTTCAAGGTACGTGAGCCGGTCTGCTGATTCAACTGCAAGCTCTCAGTGGTGGAAGTGATCCTCCAGTAATCATCCAGGTTCTACAGTTCAGTTCAGAACATTTCATACCCCATCTGTGTTAAAGTTGTTGTGGTTTTCACACTAGGGGACAACAGGGATCCTTCACAAGGAGTAATCCCGGAGTCTGTTTCCAAACTGTTTCATCAGGAGTCATTAATAACACCACCAATAACAAGCACATCTTGTTTAATTAGGTAGTATTAAGCACAAAGGGCAACCATTTACAGCATACTGCCATTAGAACCTGAGCACAGTTAGCTGATAATGATCCTGATCAGCCAGCATCAGTAATCAATACACATATTATTAAAGCATTAATCAAACTAATAACTAGCAGCAGTCAACATCAGACAACCTCACCATACTTTAGCAGTTAGCTAGTGTTTCTGTAGCGGTTCCAAAATGTAAAACATTATACATATTAGCATAAAGCTCCCTGCACCAAACTCCCTTGAAGAAATATCACATTTTAACAATTCCTAACGGACTCGTAAAAACACGTAACTGTAGAAACACGAGCTGAAGGCCGTCATGTGTCAGACAGTCTGACTGTCAATTGTGTGTGTGACGGTATTTGAGTCGTTTTTTCATGCTGTTACCATAGTAACTACCTGGTTGCTGCTTCCTGTCTGGTGCAGAAGAGAGACTGCTCTCATTGGCTGTAGCTCATTGCATGGCTCCCTGACACAACCTGATATTTAGCCTGCTAGATATTTTGCGGACATCTGCGAGGCCATGGGTCTTTGAACAGTTCACACATGGCAAGTTGTCAGCGAATGAAGAATCAGGCCTAAAGGGCATTAGGATTTTGGAATGTCTGGAAAGATGCAGCTCCCCCTTGTGGCAATTCAAAATAAATCAGGAAATCATTTTGGACTGTACGATAGCGAACTAGACAGCTGTTTCAATTTATTCATGTGTAAATATTTACAAATATCTCCATAATACAGTCCTGGAACCTAGTTTGTTTGAAAATTGCTTGTCTGACCAAACAGATGGAACAATCTGATACACCGGTTCTTCATTTTCATGTATCAATTAGTTTAGTAAATTAATTTTAATAAATGAATAGTTTCAAGACTTTTTTTTTTACGTCTGATTTCAGCTTCTCAAATGTTAATATTTTATGCTTGCTTAAGTCCTCTATGAAAGTAAACTGAATGTCTTTGGGTTGTGGACAAAACAAGACATTTGAGGACGTCACCTTGGGTTTTGGGAAAATAGTAGTTTAATGGTAGTTAATAGTATCAATACTTCATTGGATCCAATGAAGTATTGATACTATTAACAACCTTTGACACTGTAATTAACAAACAAAAAATTGCCATAGGTTTAACCACCAGCATCTAATTAAACTTTGCTGAAAAGGTATTTTTAAGTAAAGGGCCATCCACAAATCCTCTGTCGTCATGATGTTTGCAAATCCTGATATAAACCTTCATTCAGTCCACCATATTCTCATATCCGGTCCTCTTCTTCCAACCTCCTACTGTATATACTGTAAATGTTGCTGCCATAACTTCCCAGAGTTGTAAAATTCTTCCTTATACTGCTCTAGAGAGTGCAGAGCAGTGATTTGCGGTCTGATAAACCTTTAAACTCATGGATCTTTCTCCCAAATCTGCTATTTCATGGTCTCACCTGCACCTGAAGCAACACACCCCCACCAGTGTCTAGCGACCCCTCTTGCTGTCTTCTAATCGCAGTGTTGTTTTTGATCTGAAAGCCCAGCGAGCAGGAAAGTGGTAATCTTCATGGCCCCCCACCTGCACCACTTCCCCTGGAGTGAAGGCAGCTCAATCTCATTAAGGAAATCTGCCCTATGACTACAGTGTGGAGCTTTGTGTGTGTCACTGCTGCTGCTACCTACAACAAATACCCTAAAGTATAGGCTGATTCAACCAAAGTAGCTAGAGTTGTTCTGATATTGATACCAGTATAAGAAATTCTGCAACAATTTTGCCTAAAATGTGGTAAATTGTGGTATCGGCGAGTATATGTGTCTGTGCATGATCAGATAAATAACACGTAATTTATTAGTCCCTAAACGGGAGCCTGCCACTTTCCAGTAGTATCCAGTTCACCATTTTTTCCCCCAGGATTGCAAAGTTATGACGTGTCCTACTGTGTCCTGTCATATTTAGGCTTAGAAGTAGTCTTAAGTGGTCGAGGCAGAGGGCCACCCACCTAGAGCCTGTCTGAGATTTCTGCCTCTTAAAAGGAAGTTCATCCTTTAACTGGGTGAGTAATGAAATGTATCAGTAACCCTAACCCTAGGTCTGAAGATAGACTTCCAAGAACTGCTAGATTGTAGGTTTTTACAGACTGCTAAGCAGAATCCTAAAATAATGATTCAAAAAAATAATAATCTGAATGATCAGTCATCACCATCATAGAGACAGGGACATCATCACTGTATGATTAGAAACACCAGCACTGTAGGTTGAGCTGTTGAAAGAAGTCCTTTCTGTGTGTAGAAATGTTGAACAGTTTTTTACTGTGGGTAGAAACGCTGTGGTGCTGAACATTTCAACTGAAGCAAATACAGTATGAAACATTCCAAAACTGTCTGAACAAATAAGAAGAGGAGAATACTTGTGGTTCAAGCTTCAGTGTTCAATACTTGACTGTTTCGGTGTCGGTCTTGGTACTGTTCGGTGACCAAAGACAGTGCTGAAGTTTAATACCGAGCCCTAGCTCTGACACTGGTGATGATTTCACATGGTGCATAATGCACAGGTCTGATTGAGCTCAACATGGTCTCCACCAAAGAACTGGTTCCTGATGGGTCCTGACTGTAGCTCTGCTAATGCGTCCTACTGATGTTTATTTCATTAGTTTGGTACATACTGTGTACACACACTGCATCGGTTTCCTCCAGATGTGCTTGTGTCACGTGTTTCTGTTGTATCTGTTTCATGTTTTTCACACATGTAGATAAATGTTTGTTTCTGTGTTGTGTGTGTTTTGTATGGATAAACTGTGTGTGTGTGTGTGTGTGTGTGTGTGTGTGTGTGTGTGTGTGTGTGTGTGTGTGTGTGTGTGTGTGTGTGTGTGTGTGTGTGTGTGTGTGTGTGTTGTCTGCCTGTGTATGAAAGGTGACAGTAGGGCCTGTCCTCCAATAAGACTAAGTAGATTAATCACATACCGCCTGTGTGTGTGTGTGGTGTGTGTGTGTGTGTGTGTGTGTGTGTGTGTGTGTGTGTGTGTACTTTCACTGCTTCCCACTGCTCTTGTATGTGTCTCTCTCTGTATGTTTGTAAATAAATTTACACACCCACACCTGAAACATCAGAAAGCAGGGTTGAATAGAATATTACTTTTTAAAGTCTCGAAGAAACTGGACAAAAAGGACCTGTATCCAGAAAGATCCAATGGTATCCAAGTTTATGAAAAAGTATCCAGATCTGTACATCATTTTATATAAAATATATATATATAAAATGTCAAAGATCCAGTCTGTAATCTTCTGTATACTGACAGTATCTGTCTGTATAAAAACATATCACCGTATTTTGTGCATTTATTCCAGTACTAAAGCATGTTAATAATATTAACTGTATATTCAATGGAACTTCATACTTCACTGTAAAACCCAGTGAGTTAGTTCAACTCAAAATGTAAACACATTTGATTTAAATATATTCTTTTTATATATATATATTTAGATTTTATATTTAAGTATTTTTTAAGGTAACTTGGATAAAACTAATTAATTGTACCTATTTCATTCAGTTAATTGAACTGACAACTAATGAGTAGATCTCAGTCATATGCAGCAATTCTCCAAACTTATTTATCTTATTTAAGTTTATCTGAATAAAGTAAGACATCTTCTTCATACATGTTACCACTTAAGTTGAATTTACTCAGTTCCTTTAGTTCCGCTAAAGCAAATCATTACATTACCTGTCGAAACGGCTAACCTGATAAAAACAACGTACAAATAATTGATTATCAAAATAGTAGCCAACTAATTTTCTGTGGATCAACTAATTTTCAATTCAGTTCAATTCAATTGTATTTGTATAGCGCCAATTCATAACAGAAGTTATCTCAGGACACTTTTAAAATAGAGCAGGTCTAGACCGAACTCCTTATAACACTAATCTAATTGTTACTGCTGTAAATAAGTTAACTATTGCCTACTTTATGTGACTAACATCAAATCTTTGCACTTATTTATTACTCATTATTTGGATGCATGATGATTTATAAACTGAAATAAAAGCAAAAATGGAAAAATCGCAGGCATTATAGCACAGTGGGGCTTACATATTTGTAATGATATAAAGTCATCTTCAATAAATTGAGCTATAAATTGAGCAAACTGGAATTATATCACCAATGTTGCACACATTTAAGTTTGTTAAAACAGTTAATACTTCAACAGTTCATTTTTGCGTTTGGTTTAATTCATGGGATTGAGTGATGTTGTTTGGAGGATTAAGTTATGTTAACTTATTTCATTTATTAAGATATGCTTGTTTCAGTTAAAACTGTTGGAATTATTGACCACTCTCCCTCACAGCCCGCATTGCGCAGTTTTTATTTCTTCTGCACCTGTCCGACTGATGAAAAGTGCGTTGACTAAGACTCTTCTCATCGACTAACAATTAAGTTGACTACTAAGGGCCATTTTTACATAATATCATTTACCAAACCCAAAATGGGGGCCCTGGCCATAAACCAATTCCTTTTTGTCGCCCTTGGCATGGAAAAGTTTGGGAACCCCTAGTGTAAAGAACACACCACCATATGTATAAAGTGAAAAAAGTTGACTTTTTTATGCAACCATAACAGGATCTGCATTTGTTTTAATCACAGTCCCTGTATCACAGCCTTCAGTTTACAACAGTCTAACAAAAATGGATGCAGTGTTTTTCAGAATTGATAAAATACTGCAAAACAAAATATTGCGATACTCAGGTAGAGCCATATTTTCTTACACCCTGGATTGTTTCCCACTGAACTTATTGAAGCCATCCCCAGAACCACCAATCAATCACAATTCATTTCAGATGCACACAGTTTATCATTGTTACTGTTTATTACTATTACCCAGCCTACTGTTTTACTCTGCGTTGTGTGTCGGCGTGTTTGTACGTGCCTCCTGTAGGCTTCAGTAATGTCCTGGTGGATTTGTGCAGATCAGGAGGAGTGATGGGAAATCCAGAAAGCCTATTAGTGCCACGCTATTAATACACACACACACACGCACACAAACACACAGACACAGATGCATACACTTGCAGACACTGGCTGAACTTTGCAGACATACATTACCAGTCAATGACTTGACCCTCCAGTCACACACGAGCACAGACCTTACTGTATGCCGGCAGCTTAAGCACATATTTATGTACTGTGCCACAGTGAGACTCTGCTGTATGAAGTATAAATGTCTAAGGGAGTGTTTCTAGTGCGTACCACCTAAGAAAATATCAGGCTCTTCAAGAAGCACCATTATCGCTGAGATTAAAATACAGAAGGGTAGGCCGACCCTGTTCAGCTACAGACAGCTCAGGTTTATTCCTAATACGAAGAGTCTTTATTGCTGACTGATGTTGAGACCTGAACGGAACTGGTTCAAGAATCAGAGCTAGATTGGTAGAAAAAGGGTTCTCCTGGTCCCTGTTTGGAGCAACGATTTGACCTCTGCTTATTATTTTACCGTTACAGTTTAGCTTCTAACTAATGTACGTGCATGCTACATGCATGAGCGTGACTATGTAGCAGGCTGATTTGGAACAAAGTATTACAGGAAATGAAAAACTTACTTTAAATGACATTTTAGTGATCTCATAGTCTTATAAGTATTTATATACGAAATGTTTTAGTATTATGTCTTTTTTAATTAATTAATTAAATTTTTTCTTTATTTGTCAGAGATTCACACTAACACTAGAAGGAGCACATGTACCATCCATTGAGATGGACGTCTCCACTTCCTCCCACTGTACAAAAAGGAAGCCAAAATATCAGACCAATGCCAGACCAAAAGAAATCAACAACAGCTGACCTACAGCTTCAACATTACTGTTCTTTGTAAACAAAGTCCAAAGCCTGTATCATACAATCCAGTGCTGTGAATGATATGAGTTTATTGAACCTGGAAACACATTCACTGACACACATTTGAACTATTTTCTTTCTACATATCACTGCGCAGAAAAAAGTGTGCACCCGCTCGTGGAGAGGCTGTGACGGCGCAGGACGCAGACATTAATGTTGCCACTGAGATAGCTGACGTTCAGCTACGGTTGGTGGGTGTAGGTCAGTAGAAAGAAAATAGTTCCTGCATGAAACTGCTCAACAAGGTGTTGGGGTTATCTTGAGGAACTGGGGACATGTGTCCTGTGACTGTTTTGCGTGTCCTGCGTGAGAAAGGTCACACCTCGGTCTCCCTCTGCGTGACTCGCTGTCTCACTGTAAACCTTCTCTGGTTGTTTTCCAGGTGCAGCATCGGATCACAGGGCAGGTGATGGCGCTGAAAATGAACACGCTGGCTAGCAACAAAGCTAACATGCTACGAGAAGTGCAGCTCCTGAACAGGCTTTGCCACCCCAACATACTCAGGTAGGTAATGTTTTTATCTAAAAACACACTTCCAGCGTAAAAGAGTACTGTATCTGACGGCTGTTTTTATTCAGTGAAATATACATTTGTGATGCAAAAAGTATTATTCCCACACTAATCGCGAATCATCGGTCAAAATAATATAATAATGTTTTATATCTTCTCCTTTCTGACTGTCAGGAGTTGAAAATCTGTATGTTCGTGGAAAGAAATCCTGTATGTGATAGTATTATTATTCTTGGTATTAAGTCAACTGTTGCTTAGAAAATCAGTTTTCTTTGAATATAGATTAGTCCTGGGGTGGGCAGTTATTGTCCATGGTGGTGCCACATGAGAAATTGATCAGGTGGCTGTGGGCTGGACAGAAATGTGATGGAATCAGTAGGTCATTTTTATAAAAATAACTTATTCTGAAAACAATTCTGAAAAAATGTACTACTGTCAGGATATAGTGAAAGTTTCAGCAAACATGACAAAAAAATATTTTCCGTTACCTCCTGCAGCTTTAACGTAAAAAATATTGTTATTATTATTATTATATACATTATTATTATTACCAATGAACACAGCAGTGACCCCTTTCAGAATGAAGGCCCAAAATTGGTTTAATGGTAGGCTATGGTAGGTTTTTGTTAGATTTGCAATAGTTCTCGGTGCTTGTGATGGTCTTGAACCTTTGTGTCGGATTGGATTTAAGACACAGCTGGAGAGGTGGTGCTGTAAACTTGAATGTGGCTCCTGATGAACACACCTTGAAAATATTCCATCACTCAGTTCACATTGTTGCCACCAGGGGTCGCCAGAGTCAACAGATAACAAGCCCTGCCTATAGGGGTTTTGAAGTGCTGGATGGGATCATGGGAATGTGGGAAAATGATCAACCTCCAATATTTTAAATCATGTTTCTTCACCTGTCCTCAGGTTTCTTGGCGTTTGTGTGCATGAAGGTCAACTCCATGCTCTGACTGAGGTAAAACCACCACTCGTCTCTGCCCTTTCCCCCTTATTCTTCACCCTGTTTCATTCATACACACTCTTCAACAATATCTGGAGATGAGGTCCACATTTTGATATATTGGACAGTCCTAGTGATACAGCTACCACTGAACCTGACCACGTCTGCATGTATTCTAGTACTCATTCCCAAAATGGGAAGTTTGCACTCCTGAATCACATGCAGAAATGTTTCTGCCTGACATTTCCACAGCTATGCTATGATATAACATAGCTGTGGGGGGTTTTGTTTGAGATTGAATTATCAAATGTTAAGTAAGAGACACACACACACACACACACACACACACACACACAGTGGATTGTACATGTGTGGTTACACTGCACGTGACACATGAAAGAACTGAAACACCACATGGCAAAATACTTTCATGTTGGAATAACTGGTATACAAGGTGGTTTACCAGAGGATTCTCCCAAACTGCTGATGTTTACATGCTGCGCAGTGGTTACTATGGTTACCACAGAGGCTGGACGATGCTGCCCTCGCCACCAGAGGACTCTGATTACTGTAAACTGTACTGAACAGTTTCATCTGATGCTAAGTAACACCAGTAAGCCTAATAGTAGTGGCTCATCATAAACTGTGTGGAGTTGTGCTCATATTACAGTAACATATATCATGTTAATATAACAGTAAAATGACTGAGGAGGCTGTAAAAACAATCACGGCAACAAGAGGGTGGGAAATCTGTGACCACAGCAGTGGTGGTGGATGTGTTCCCTCCCTTCACTTACGTAAGATTACTGTATGTGCATATAATCACTAAAATGTAGTTAATGCTGTTATATCATTAGATTATTCTGACAGGCATTAATGTAAAAGCAGGATTTTATTGTTGCAGTTGGTTGAGGTGGAGCTCATTTTCAACTATTTTATTAGTAATTATTATGGATTATTTTCTCCATGAATCCATTGATTGATTACTTTGTAAAATTTTGGACAATCTTGAGAAATGCCATCACAATTACCCAGAACCCTTTAGAATCAATTTAAAGATTTGAATGATCACTTTTGAGGCCCCATGGGACTGGCAGAGTATATCAGTCACTGTCTAATTCCATAAGAGCCTAAGTGCGGCCTGAGATCATCCGGTGCCCTTTTAAGAGATTCCAAGATCTAGAGTGAAATCCAGAGGCTGCCCCATCGCTCCGGAACGAGCCACATTTTTGTCCTCTTTTAAACGTGCAATATGTAATTTCTCCCCCCCTCCCCTCTCCCCTCTTCCCTCTTTAGTATATAAACGGAGGCAACCTGGAGCAGCTGTTGGACAGTGACCTGTACCTGTCGTGGGGCGTCAGGATCGGACTGTCTCTGGATATCGCCCGAGGGCTGCAGTACCTGCACAGCAAGGGCATATTTCACAGAGACCTCACCTCCAAGGTACCTTAGAGTTTCTATTTAAAAAAGTATTAATAATTAATAAACTGTATTAATTTGGAGAAGTCTTCAAAATGAGTCTTCTGCCTGCATGAAACAGTGAATTCAGATTACTTTATTGTCCATTAAATTTAAATAAAGTGGAAATCTTCTTTGGGGTTGGCACATGGGACAACACATTGTTATCACAACAATACATGACACAACGACACAAATTTAAAAAAATTAAGACAAGAAATGAAAGTTCTAACTGCATTTATTACATGGTCCCATGACGTCTTCAAGTTCTCATTCATTTTTATCATTGACTCTGCTAACATGTGTTCATATGATACTACTGCTAACATAGAATACATCCAATTTTTAATATCTGGAGATGAGGTCCACCTTTTGATATATTGGACAGTCCTAGTGATACAGCTACCACTAAACCTAACCACATTCCCAAAATGGGAAGTTTGCACTCCTGAACCACATGCAGAAATATTTCCACAGCTATGCTGTTTTTAATGTTTGTCTCAAGATCTGGAACTCCGTCCTAGGTTGAACATACTCTGTAGAAAAGCTCCTCAGAGTGGAGGTAAATCATGCCTATTGCTACATAAAAGACTGCCTAACACTTCTTAGATCATCTTTCACCAAACTTTAGCAAGAGTTAGAGGACAGTATGGTGGGTTGTACATCCCAACTGGCACATCTGATCTCCTGTCTGTTTCCTGTGCAGAACTGCCTGGTGCGCTGTGATAACAGCACGTTCACTGCTGTGGTGGGAGACTTCGGCCTGGCAGAGAAGATCCCTGATTACAGGTGAGAAATAGACGTGTCACAGACCAGTAATTGACACAGATCTAACTCAAACATGTAGAGGCAGAGCTGATTGATTTGATCATAAGAGATCTGTATTCACTGAGGAGGCCAGTATAAATCTGTGTCACTAAAAGGTTATTCTCAGCGTCAAAGTCAGTGCTTGACCCCTTTCAGCCTGTTTTGTGTATTATATGTTGATGAATTAGGACCTGTGTCCAAATAGTGCTCTTTTCTAGCGGAAAAACAGCTGACAGGGCGCTGGGGAGAGCTGGGATAATTACCGGTGATAGAAAAAAAGAACGCTGCACACAAGTTCGTGTGCTTTCTCGTCTCGCAGGTTCTTATCGATCCTGGTGGAGCCTCCTGCCATGGTCCTGCTAGATTGCCATTGCCAATACTGTTGTTACTGTGCGTCTGTCTGTCTCTCTCTCTCTCTCTCTCTCTCTCTCTCTCTCTCTCTCTCTCTCTCTCACCCCAACTGGTCGAGACAGACGACCACCCACCTAGAGCCGGAGGATCTGTCCTAGGTTTCTGCCTTTTAACAGGCAGTTTTTCCTTGCCCTTGTCGCCAAGTGCTTGCTCATGGTGGTACTGTTGGGTCTCTGTAATTAATGTTTTAAAGAGTTCGGTCTAGACCTGCTCTATTTGAAAAGTGTCCTGAGATAACTTCTGTTATGAATTGGAGCTATACAAATAAAATTGAATTGAATTGAAAGTTTGTCAGATTCAGCGTAGGACAGGTCAGGACTTCTCAATCCTGGGAAAAAAATGAAGTGGCTGGGTCCCGTTTTGGTGCTAATAAATTACGTGGTATTACTTTAGGCAGTATCGGAACAACTCTAGTTGCAAGACTGTTGCATTGGATTGCATTAGATTGGACAGTGGGGTCTACTTTGAGACTATACAGGTAATCTAGAATATACAAAATATTCTAGCTCGCAGTATATTCTGACTAGCGTAGTGACTCTGAATGGCCACCTGACCTCACAGGAAACTTTGGTGTCTTTGCAGTGACGGTGTGGGGAAGCAGCCTCTGGCCATCGTGGGCTCTCCTTACTGGATGGCCCCTGAAGTTCTGAGAGGGGAGCTGTACAATGAGAAGGTAAAGCTGCTTCATCTGTGGTTTCTGCACCTACTGGAGTAGAGTACTTCAAACAACGCTGTGTCACTTTTGAAAGAAGAAATAACACATACGTCGTCTAACAAATAAAAAGCTGAATTATAAGAAATAAAAAACACCCTTGGTCACACCTTTCCAGATATTCCCAAATCCTAATCCTGTCATCATGGCTGAAGGTTTCAGCTTGCCCGTTGTATCCCCCCAAAAAAACATTTAAATTGGATGTGTGGAAATAGTATAGATTCCAAAATACAGGACAGAGAGATAAGATTCCTATCTGTGATGCAATAAAAAAAGTGTTTTTCTAAACAAAATCTAAGTTAAAGTGATTCCAGTATGTTTTAGTGCAGTAAAAGTATGGAATATATTTTCACAATCGCGATAATATCGTGTACCGCAATTATTTTGGCCAAAATAATGGTAACATGACATTTTCATATCGTCCGTGCCTAATCAATGCACTGGTACCATCTTGTGTTTTTGATGTGTAATCTGTATGGATGGTGCGAGGTGTGTCACCACTAGTGAGTCAGCATGAAATCTAATAGCAACAATCCTAAATAATAGATAATTAACACTCTGGTGAATGTATGTACGGGCCAAAATAATACTGGTAATGTTACTCAATACCATTCTACTGATGAAGAGTCTTCACCGTCTTCGAGCGCTCACACTGTCTCATTACGGAAATATAATCGACATAGACTCCAAACTGTTTTTGTCGTTTGGAGTATGACCAGGTGTTCCATTCAACAGAGTATTGGAATATTTCAGCCAATGCCATTAGGCTCAGAGACAGAGCGGGTCGTCCACTGATCGGAAGGTTGTTGGTTTGATCCCCGGCTCCTCTTGCTGCATGTCGAAGTATCCTTGAGCAAGATACTGAACCCCAAATTGCTCCTAATGCTGCATCGGTGTGTGAGTGTGTATGAATGAGTTAGTTTCTGTTCGATGGGCTTTACCATTATTGAGTGAATGTGTGTGAAAGGGTGAATGTGGCATGTAGTGTAAAAGCGCTTTGAGTGGTCGAAAGACTAGAAAGGCGTTATACAAGTACAGGTCCATTTACATATTACATACAAAAATCATGTAGTGAAGGATATCAGGGAGATTTTCCAATATTTTATGAGACAGAGCTTTAACTAAAAAAAACTAAAACAAAAAAAAAACCCAATCCTTCCATAATGCTGCAGTTTCTGCAATGTGAGCTTGAGCCCTATGCACATGATCAGAGCTAACACCCAGGACAGAGCTGACGTGCACTTCCCGTCCTCTGCCCAGGTGGACGTGTTTGCGTACGGCATCATCCTGTGTGAGATCATCGCCCGCATTGAAGCTGATCCTGACTTCTTACCCAGGACGGAGGTAGGAGGAGCACCAGTGCTTTTATCTGTCAACCAGAAACTCCATCCCACTGTGCCCTATGGTTCAGTTTAGCTCTCATGTCTCCCTCATTGACAGAAACATGTTGCTACTTTTATATTATATTTTCTATGTTTGTGTTCCAAATAGCTCTTTAAGACTTGTTGAAAATAAAACAATATAGAGAGCCATAAATGTAAAGTATTTCATACTTCCATCGCAACGTAATTTCATTATGATGCAAATCCAAATGACAAAATAAAGTCTGTCTGTCTAAGTTGATATACAGTGACTTTTATTTAATATTTGTAACACAGCAACAAGACATGAAGGAATCAATATATTACACTGAGTCACAGTCACTGTGTGTGTGTGTGTGTGTGTGTGTGTGTAGGACTTTGGTCTGGACGTGGATGCATTTGAGAACATGGTTGGGGATTGTCCACCTGCGTTCTTTAGCCTCGCTGTCGCCTGCTGTAACGTAAGTACACGCACACACTGTGCCATATAATCCCAAAGTGTTTTCAGTTTCCTATTTACTCATATCTGACATCATCAGAAGGGTCCAACTGCAGAACACCCTGAAGCCTTCCATTTTACTTTAATTCATTTACACACTGTTTTGTTTAATAGCTACACTAAACATTTCTAAACGTTAAATTGTGCTCAGCGAGACTCATTCACCTCTCATAATGTTCTTATAATGTGGGAAACAAACCAAATTCACCTGTATTATGGTGTCAAATTCCTCCAGATGAAAAAAGCGGTAGTGCAGTTGTGCCCTGGAGTTAACTGGATTTTTATACTCAACTACTCAATGCTCAAACCCTATCGGCTCACAGAAGAGGGGCCTCAGTTGAAAGCATGTCACCAAGTTGATGTGAAGATAGTCATTAACATCAGTGTGTATGTGTGGATCTTTTTTCAGATGAGTGCAGAGGCTCGTCCATCGTTCTCTGACATTGTCTTCACATTGGAGGACATGGATAGAGAAGAAGAAGAAGAAGAGAAGCCCATTGCACTTGGTAAAAGGATCAAATGTTTTTGTATGCATTCAGTTAATACTACAGACGTGTTTCACAGCACCCCCGATATGTGTGCTCACACAAGGCTGTTTTTCTTAAATACTGAGGTCTGTCTCCCACCTTTGATCTAAACTTTCACATAGTTAGTGCATCTTAGATATAAAATAGTATTCTGCCTGGCAAAAAGGGCAAAAATCAAGATATTGAATGAAGTACTCTATTTGTGGTATCTGGTATTGTAATTTCTGAACCATATCCAGCCCAAATTAACCCCGCTCTTCCTCTTTGGATATTGAACATTTATTTAGGGATTTTTGATGCTTTAAGACAACTTTAAGATCAAAGCAGAAACCATTTAAGCCCTTATCCTGTCAGTTGATATTGTGCTTTAATGCTGCTTATTTTCACTATCCACTAATGATAAAAGTAGAACAAACCATTGAACACACTGGGGCACTGGCGTACTGGGAGTAGTTGCCCACTTTGCCCTGTTGGTAGTCCGGCCCTTGGCTACAGTTTCTCACATCCTATAACTGCCACAACTGTCGAAGATGGGTTTCTGGTCCCATGGAAAGTTAGCTTACTTCAGGGCTGAATCTGAATCTGAATTTTTAGTATTGTCATTTACCTATTTCTGCATGTACTGAAGCAAAGACACCTTCTCCACAGCTCAATAACAGTACTACACAATTTTATTTTATTCAAAACCAGTGTGAGAATATGATGGAAAAGCCTCATTTACACCTAAAGGTTAGGGTTACAGGTTAGGGTGGCTTGTACATTTAGTGTTGTTCTACTAAAAAATAGTACCGTATAACACTAGTAACACTGCCTAGGAATTTTAAAATCATGGTAACATCTTCAACCCTGATGCAGAGTCTTGTTCATTTCCCACCTTGCTTACACGTCTGTCTCCCCCCTTCCCTTGCTCAGAGCCAGTGGCGGCAGATGTCAGTCCATACCGGCGCCGCAGCTCTCCTTGTCACCAAACTGACCACAGCCAGCAACGGCAAGGCTTGGCGAGGAGCCTGTCGGACGTGTTACCCCCGGCAACCCTGACCCCTCCGCTCCTCGGAACTCCTGCGCGGGTCAACCCCTTCTCGCTCAGACAGGACCTGAATGGGGGGAGGTGTAAACTCTTAGACACGCCCAGTAAGTCCGTCATCTCCCTGACCTTCACCCTCCCAGCGCTGCGTGACCCATGTGCCTCTCCCAACCTTCTCAGAGGGATGCTGGGGACGCGAGCACTGCCGAGGAGATGTCAGTCGCTCCCCTGTACCCCTGAGCTTAGCCGAACTGTAGCCTTGTCAAGAGACACGGAGGGGAGGGAGGAGGAAAACAATGAGGACGACAGAGTGGCAGCAATTAAAGGAGGGACTGGGGGTGATACGGAGGATGACATGAGGAAGAAGACAGGAGAGTTAGAAAAGGTGGGTGAAAGGTTGCGGGTAGAGCATGTGGAGATAACTGGGAAGAGAAAGTTGTTGAAGGAGGAGGATGGGATGGGAGAGGATTCAGGTCTTCCCGTCGAGCTGGAGATGGTGTCTCTGGAACGGCTAGAGGAGGAGGAGGAGGAGGAGGAGGAGGAAGAAGAGGAGAGTGTTTGTCTAACAGAACCCATGGACTGTACCAAGTCTCCAGAGCCAGCAGAGGGAGTCTTGGACTCCACAACCCTGCTCACCTCCTCTTCCTCCTCATCCTTAAAGACCAACGGCTGGCGACTTCCCATCTCCAACGGACCACCCTCTTTGCCTCCTCTTCCACGACTGGACAACAACAACGGCTCAGCCCTTGTGATTGGCCAGCAGGTCCAGTGGGGTGGAGGAGGCCGGGCTAATGGTTACAGCGAAGCCCAGGTCCTGTCCTCTGATCCTAGCAACTCCTCTGAGCAGGATGAGGTCATTTCCTGTCCGGGCTGCTGTCTGGTGGGTCTGAGTTTCCCCTCGGTGTGCCTCCGTGGTTCAGCTGCTGTGCCTGCCCCCCGCCGAAGGGCTTCGTTACCACGGCAGCGGCCCTACCGGAATCTCAACGGTACCATAACCGGCGGCAGCACTTCCTCATCAACAACAGCTACCGCGGCAACCAAAGCTCTACTGTGTCGCAGCACAAATGGACTAGTTGTTGCCGGGCCCTCAGTGCCATGTGAACCCGGTCGGTCCCTGCCGGAGGCCCAGACATAAGCCGGCTCAGAGGGGATTTAGTTTTGAACTTGTGACATGCACTGGCACTAAATGTTGGTGGACAAACAGAGCAACACTAGATGTTGCTCTGCTAATGCTGAGAACCCAGTACTGACCCCAACCCCTGAGATGTGGTGTTAATTCTTTGCAGTCACAGCAAACCGTAGTAGCTGGTGATTAGAGCTCCACCTGGTGGACTGGAGGATTAAACGCAACAAATCGCTGCAACAGTGAAGAGCGGTTGTTGTGTAAAGGTAGAGGTGGGTAAGAGGCAGAATACAGCTGAACCAGACGGGCTTCAAACAAAGTGGGCTATAAACTGGTCTACATCTCATTACTGCCACTGTAATGGTGCTGATCCAAACAAAGCAGCTACTCCGACTTACACGCCCCATCTCTGTTCAACCAAATCAAACTGTGAGAATGGAATATAGCGCAGACCGGCTAACTTCTGGTTTAGCTTTATGGTGATAAAAGGACAAAGTAACAGTGCTGTTTCATTTTCATTTGGTAGGGGGAGCAGTGCACAGTATCGTGTGGTCTTTAAATGAACTGCTGCCATTTCTTGTAAATGCTTAAGAGGAATGCAAGTGAAAGTGCAGTGGAACTTGCAAATGGAAGATAAATGATTGATCAGTAACCAGTGCAGTTATTTTGTGGGTGTGGTCAAAAATCTCTGTTCAACCAAATCAAACTGTGTGTGCTGGCTTCCATTCTGGAAGCTGTCGTGAAAAAAAAAAAAGCATGTGGCTGATTTAACAAGCTAAGTATACTTGCAGTTTGATGGTCATGGTTATCGGTAATAATAACACTGTACTCATCAGGGTAATTACTGAGATCTGTGACATGATTAAAAAGAAGTGAGCGACGTCCAGGTTAGTGAGTCGATTTGGAAGAAAAATAATGACCCAAACTGGCCATTGTAAACATTCACCACAGTTAACAGACTGACCCTCTTCTTTTATTTTGCATGGCAGGCCTGGCACTGCACTGTTGAGCCCAGGCTCTATGTGGAGTGAACAGAAAATGACATGTGAATGGGGTTTACTTCTGCCAGCAGTGTGGCTGCAGGTACATATATGAAAACACTGTTTTTGATTCTATTTATTTGATTAACAGTAGCTACATGGGAAATATTTATAAAATGAATAAAGATGATTTACTTCTTACATTTTTATAGCAGTTGAGCTGTATAAAAGTGTGTGAGTGAGTGAGTGAGTGAGTGAGTGAGTGAGAGATATCTGTTGCTAAAGGGAGAAACTCTTCCTGTTCTTGTCATGTAAATTCTTCATTTTTGCACTTCAGTTTGGAGCACTTTGCAGTAAGACACCAGGCTTTGACTAGACGGTGCTTTATTTAAATCTGTGCTACTGGTGTTTTATATGTGTGTGTGCTTCTGGCCCCACAAACTACACAGCTTTCACCCTTCATCTGACATCTACTCCCCCTCACATGTATCTTGTGTGTGTACATGTACATTTTGATGACACTGTTGTAACTTAAAAAGTGGCATGTGAAGAAGCAGGTATGGATATTTATTGTACAGATCATTCCACACACTGTGTGTGTACAGGATGTGTTTTTGAGCAAAAAGTAGAGCGATGAATACTCACAGGAGAACTTTTATCCTGTCATTTCTGAAGATTACCCATGGTTCCCTGCTTCATATCTTTAATTGTATCTGATTCTATACAGCTGGAAACCTGCGTGCAATAATCTGGTAATAAACAAACATGGTTGTGAATAACCCTCTGTGTTGTTTTTTATTCTTTTTAGCTAAATAGCTGAAAGTGAACTGGGTAGTGAGGGGGGGGGGGGCTATACAGTACTATTTTTATTGAAACTGAACAGAATGGGTCATTAAAGGTCAAAGGGATTAATTAATTACTCAGTTCCAACCATGCCATAACACTATTTTTGGAAATGTCTAATTATGGATCAATATTTGAAATTGTTACACTAAACTATAAAGTTCAGATTTTTTTAATGAGAGGTTAAAAAGTCTAATATTAAATCGAGGATCTATTGTCAGAAATGTAATATTATTCATAGCTATGTTTTCATCAGTGTATAATCACCTGAATATAAGAACCATTGTGTGATTGTCAACTTAGAATGTGAATCAACAGAGGCCTGCACACATTGTAACAGTGCTGTTTCTTTTTCATTTGAGCAGTGCACAGTATCATGTGGACTGCTGCCATTTCCTGGAAATCCTTAAGAGGAGGGTGGCTTTGTGCTGCTTTGTTCAGCAATGCCTGCAGGTTTGACAAACGTAGTTCCACTTTCCCTCCACATGCAGTTTAAAATTCATTTGAATTCATTACAACCTGGATGTCATTTAACTATCCATCATATAAATGTGGATATTGTTTCATACAATTGAACTGTCAATGTTTAGTTCAGTTTGGTCAAGTTTGCATTTGCACTACAACCACATGGGGTTCTACCATGGGTAATTAGTTTTGATGTATGAAGAGAATGGAATATAGCACAGACCGGCTAGATTCTGGTTTAGCTTTATGGTCATAAAAGGACAGAGTGACAGTGCTGTTTCATTTTCATTTGATAGGGGGAGCAGTGCACAGTATCGTGTGGTCTTTAAATGAACTGCTGCCATTTCTTGTAAATGCTTAAGAGGAGGGGGGCTTACAAGGGTGAATACAGAGCACAGACAACTGATAATGCAAGTGAAAGTGCAGTGGAACTTGCAAATGGAAGAAAAATGTGGGTGTGTTCAAAAGGTTGGTTGGTTCAAAAGGAGATACAGCAGACACACTCTCACTCAGTGTCTTCACTTCAGCAGCAGCAGCATCTCCTCCTCCTCTGTCTACTGCTGACCCAGACATGGACGGAAACTGTTACAACCCGAACATGGCCGGAAACTTGGGTAAGTCATATCCAAAATGTAAATTATTTTCCAGTGGTGTAACAGAGATTACTGCTGACTCTTAGTTGTATGTAATCTTAATGTACTACTCTAGTTCCCATAGACTGATACTTCTATAGACTAATACTGGGTAGAACCGCAAAGACTTACTTGTTATTTTGTATTTCTGACCAAACCTTTTATTCCAAGAATACACATTGAATACACATTCCGCATTCTCGATTCACAAATATTTAGAAATAATTACTAGATGGTTCATTAATATAGTGTCTCTCACTTAGTAAACCATCACTTCTAGCTCTCTATTAACAATTCAATTCAATTTTATTTGTATAGCGCCAATTCATAACAGAAGTTATCTCAGGACACTTTTCAAATAGAGCAGGTCTAGACCGAACTCTTTATAACATTATTTACAGAGACCCAACAATATCACCATGAGCAAGACCTTGGAGACAAGGGCAAGGAAAAACTGCCTGTTAAAAGGCAGAAACCTAGGACAGATCCTCCGGCTCTAGGTGGGTGGTCGTCTGTCTCGACCAGTTGGGGTGAGAGAGAGAGAGAGAGAGAGAGAGAGAGAGAGAGAGAGAGAGAGAGATCCGGGGATCCAGCGCCAATTCTCCGCACCCTCCTCTGTGTGAAAGACTCAGATGCGGCGAGGGGGGAAATGTCGCTCCGTCCCTGATCCTCCTCTGGAGGTAGAATCAGGGACGCATTATTTTTGAACCGCCTACAGTGTGAACAGATAAGCAGACGGTGCAGAGCGAGGGCGTGTCTGTCAGACAGTCTGATAACTGCACAGGTCTCTCACTCAACTTAATAAAGAGAAATGTCCCACAAAGCAACGTTACAGGACCAAACAACAGTAACGTAGTAACTGTAACTGTCTTTAGAAACTTACAGGAGGAAAAAAAATACCACCGCTGTACGTGGAGAAGCGTCTGTCCTCCTGTCTGTCCTCCCGCCTGTCCTACCGACTTTTCCGTTACATTTCTGCCCGAAAAGCAGCGTCTGTCACCGGCGAAAAACGTGTGTGTGAAAAAAGTGTTTGAGATCAGAAATCACCGCGACCGCCAGCCCTCCGGACCGAGACATCAGTTTACTTTCCACCGGAAACATTCTCCGTCTTGCGAGTGAAGGAGTCAGACAGCATCCAGTTTACTGCTGGTGATTATGTAGAATTATGTCATTTAGAGTGAAAAACTTCGTCACTTTCCAGGATGTTTGGTGGGTCAGGATCTCAATCACTACACATTAGGGCTCTGCAGTGATTGGCTCTGGTGCGCACGTGGCTATGGTGGCTGTGGTTGACAATGCTAGCGGAATCATTTATGAAATAATTTATTAACGTATCTTTGTAGTCCAAACAAAGCCGACGTTGCACACCCTTAAACCACACAGCAGCCATGTTGAAACTCTCAGGTCAGTCTGATCCTGATCTGCAGAGATATTTGAGGCACACACACACACACACACACACACAGACAGAGATTTCTTGCTTTATAGAGCAGTGATTATAGTAATAATAGTAACTGTCCATGGCAGGAGGCTCCACCAGGATCGATAAGAACCTGCGAATCGAGAAAACACAAGAACTCCAGGGAAGAAGTGAAGTTAGTAACATGCATTAATGGGACATGAATGAGTGCAGAAAGAGAGAGAGAGGAAGAGAAGAGCTCAGTGCACCATGGGAAATCCCCCGATAGTCTAGGCCTATAGCAGCATAACTAAGGGATGGTTCAGGACTCACCTGATCCAGCCCCAACTATAAGCTTTATCAAAGAGGAATGTCTTAAGCCTACTCTTAAATGTAGTGAGGGTGTCCTGAACCACAACTGGAAGCTGAGATGTGCTTCTAAATTAAGCTGTGCTATCAGCTAAACCTTTTCTCTGATGTATTGGGCAATGTAAAAGAAACAGGTATGAACCCTATTATTTTGTTAAGAGCTGCTGCCTTTTGCTGTAGAATGGTGAACTATACAGTAAACTGAATCTGAATTGGGTGCAGCCCATGGTGCTGCCCCCTGCTGGTCATTAGAGAGAATGCAGGTGTGGCTTCACTTCACAGACCCAGAAGTTCTGTCCACTAATTATGTACTGCCAATGTCTTCTACACAGGATGTGGCAGAACAAATAATGCAGAGCTGAGAATGGTGATGGTGGGGAAGACTGGAATTGGGAAAAGTGCCACTGGAAACACCATTCTGGGACAACAGTGCTTTGTCTCAAAGTTCAGCGCAGCGTCTATGACTGTTGACTGTTCCAAGGGCAAATCTGTGGTGGATGGGCAGCAGGTTGCTGTTATTGACACCCCAGGTCTGTTTGACACCAGGTTTGGTATGAACAAAACAGCTAAAGATTTATGCCAGTGCATCTCTTACGCTTCTCCTGGACCCCATGTATTCCTGGTGGTCATCATGCTGGGCAGATACACTGAAGAGGAAAAGCAGACAGTGCAAAGGATTCAAGATATCTTTGGCCAGGCCGCAGACAAATACAGCATGGTTCTCTTTACCCATGGGGACCTTCTTGAGAACATCACTATCGAGGAGTTCTTGGCTGGAAGCTCAGACCTGCAGGAACTCGTGGCCAGATGTAACGGCCAGTACCATGTCTTCAACAATAAGCTGAAGGACCGCTCTCAGGTCACAGAGCTGCTCCAGAAGATCAGAAATATAGTCAAGAAGAACGGAGGAAGCCACTACACCAACGAGATGTTCCAAGAGGCCGAAAGGGCAATTGAAGAGGAGAAACAACGCATCCTGAAAGAGAAAGAAGAGCAAATGCGAAAAGAAAAAGAGGAACTGGAGAGGAAAATTCAGGAAAAATACGAAAAAGAGATGAATAAAATAAATAAGAAACTCCAGGCTGAGAGAGAGAGGGAGAGGAAAGAAAGGGAGGAGGAGAGGAAGAGGGAGAAACAGGAGATGGATGAGGAGAGAAAGAGGGAGAGGGAGGAGAGAGAAGCAGAGAGAAAAAGAGAGAGAGAGGAGAGAGAAAGGGAGCTGACAAGTATGATGAATAAAATGAAGGAAGAGCATGACAAAGAGGTGAGAGCAGAAAGAACAAAGTTGGAGTCCAGGTATGAAGACGAGGCCAGAGAGGAAGCTGAGGAGTTCAATCCATTATATCCTCTGGTGCAAGCTTGTGAACTAGTAGTCGAAGCTGGCAAAAAGGTAGTTGGAGGAGTGAAACAATTGGGAAGGGCTATTGGGAACTGGTTTAAATGAGTGGTTCCAGATTCAGGCAGTTTAACTACAAAGGAATCCTCCAGAAGCTTCTCACACAGGAATATATGAAAGATAAAAAGTATAATTTTATCCACAGAACTATAATCGCAGTTTCTTTTTTCCATTGTGTGAGTTAATGGTGAAACTTATTGTATTTGTTGAAGTAGAGCTACATACACTTTAGGTTAGTAAGGCTTATATCATAGTCTGACATTGCTGTCTGTTCTTCACGTTTTTTTTTTATAAATAGAGATATTGAGTAAATTTACACTTTACACAACATTTTTAAGATCAATTATATCTTTCTCATTTAACCACTGCACTTTTCTCTGCAGACTAATAGATAGTCTCACAGATCTTGTCTTTTGCTAAGAGATGGTGCTACATAGTGAGTTGTCATCATCTTCCTCATGTTCATTATCATCATCAGTCATTTCTGTTAGTATAGTTGTTGCTACTGTTGTTGCTGTGTACCTTTGTCTCTGTCCTTCTCTCTTTACCCCTCTTGGCACTATACAAATAAAACTGAATTGAATTTAATTGAACACACACACACACACACAAACACACAACATAAAGTATATATGAAATATTTTGATGAATTATGTTGAATCCACTCAAGAACAATCTGTGTTTTTATTCCAAACTGAACCAGTAATAAAGATGATAGTAAGACTAACCTTTGTCGAAGTAATCATTAACTGTCCAATCAAGAGGTCAAAGGTCGCAGGTCAGCGCTGTTTCGTAAACTTGGAGTCAAGTCGTCGCCAAGTGCTTGCTCATGGTGGTACTGTTGGGTCTCTGTAATTAATGTTAAAGAGTTCGGTCTAGACCTGCTCTATTTAAAAAGTGTCCTGAGATAACTTCTGTTATGAATTGGCGCTATACAAATAAAATTGAATTAAATTGAATTGAATTATGGTATGTGTCCACAGGGGCATTTTTGCCTGGGATTGCTTTCCAGCATTGGACGTTTGTAGTTGTTTTGACGAACAAACAACCATGCAAACAAACAGTTTCTGCTCAGGGAAACTTTCTCTTATATTACAAAAAACGTTCACTGAAATGTGTTTCTGAGAACAATTTAAGCGAGAAATTAGCTGCGCAGTTGCTAAATCTGTGTTTTTTTTAGATTGAAAACCTTTATTTTTAACGTTTTTTGTGAGTTTCCAGAGGCAGCGAGGTGCGCTGTTGGACAGCCTTGATTTCCTGTGGCCGGGTACCATTACACTTAACTAATTGTGGATACCCTGAAACTCATTTCAAAGGGCCGGAGATCAAAAAATGAAAAGCCGAAACTATCAGATATATATTTTAAAGTGCAGTTTTTTAATAACAGAGTACCAGCAATGAGTTTTGTTTTGGTTGTGTTTTAAAGTCTGAAATTAAAAGGAGTTTTGTGTGCTATATATTTCGGTAGTAACTAGATGATTTTATATAGTATAATATGCAATCTATAAGATTTTAGTGTTAGTAGTTTAAAGTGTATTCTTTAATACTGGTATGGGTTACTATAAAGATGATGTTGCTGCTAGAACGACGAAAGTGCCCTAAAACCTTTAGAAATACCCTTACACCAAGGAGGGTTTTTATTTATGTCAGAATACATAAAATATGAAATGTCTGCAGGTAAGGGGTATCTCACATCAAAATAACAAATAAGTCGAAGTTGGATAACGTTAACATTGAAGTAGTATGAGATTGTGGAAGATCATTTGAGTTCATCACCATTGTCGTCATTGCAGTCAGCTTCTCCCAGTTAGAATTCCTACAGTGTTCATCGTTCAGGAGGTGTCTACCGGGAGCCCAATTATCCACAGAGGTCTCCTCCTCTCCAAAACAAACAGACCCAATGATTAAAACCGCTAAAAACACTGAATAGGCAAGAATCCACTCAGCAAATGTAGGAAACGCTTCATAGACAAACAGGAAGTTGCTGCTTTAACTGAACAGCCAGGGTTCAGGTTCAGTTTCACTCTGATGTCCCTGTGTAACTATTGGAGGTGTGGTTTTCTGCTTGAATCTGATAAAGATGAAAAGCAGCAGAAAGAGTACACCAGTAGGAAGCTGCTTTGTGCCTTCTGTTAATACTTTGGTTATCAAAACATTGCTGTTCGTGAATTGTAAGTCACAAGCTGTGCACAACATGACACTGAATGTTAACAAAATTGCTCATCTAATTATTTACTTAAAGGTCCAGTGTGTAACATTTAGGATGATGTATTGGCAGAAATGGAATGTAATATTCATAGCTATGTTTTTATTAGTGTATAATCACCTGAATAGGAACCATTGTGTGATTGTTATGTCTTGGCTAGTAGAAAGCAACAGTTAGCTTTGTGCCATTATATAATTTATTGTTGGCTAAAATCAACACCGTTTTGTCATAATACGTAGACTATCGGTCGAAAGTTTTATAACACCCACATTTTTCCAGGTTTTTATTGAAATTCATGCAGTTCAATGTCTCATGGTACTCTGAAATGAAAGCATGTAACAAATAAAGAACTTAAGTCAAAAAAGAAATTATGGAATCAATTTATAAACCAAAATGTATTCTAAACTTTTGACTCAAAGTAGCCACCTTTGGCAGATATAACAGCTGAACACACTTGTGGCATTATTTCTACAATGGAAATCAATTATTCTTCAGAACGTTCTTCCCAACTCTGTTGTAGAAGTTTCCATAAATGTGTGGCACTAGGTTGCTTTGCTTTCACTCTTCTGTCCAGGTCATCTTAAACCAGCTCAATAGGGTTTAAGTCTGGTGACTGTGCTGGCCACTCCCATGTTTTCAAGCTTACCATCTTGTTCTTTTTTCCTAAGGTAGTTCTGGCATAGCTTGGATGTTTTGGGTCATCATCTTGCTGTAGGATGAACCTGACCAACTAGGCTCATACCAGAGGGTACTGCATGGTGCTACAGAATGCTGTGGTAGCTGTTTTGGTACAAGTTTATGTTATTAACATATGTTAATCACTGCGACCGCCAGCCCTCCGGACCGAGACATCAGTTTACTTTCCACCGGAAACATTCTCCGTCTTGCTAGTGAAGGAGTCAGACAGCGTCCAGTTTACTGCTGGTGATTATGTAGAATTATGTCATTTAGAGTGAAAAACGTAACTTCGTCACTTTCCAGGATGTTTGGTGGGTCAGGATCTCAATCACTACACATTAGGGCTCTGCAGTGATTGGCTCTGGTGCGCACGTGGCTATGGTGGCTGTGGTTGACAATGCTAGCGGAATCATTTATGAAATAATTTATTAACGGTATCTTTGTAGTCCAAACAAAGCCGACGTTGCACACCCTTAAACCACACAGCAGCCATGTTGAAACTCTCAGGTCAGTCTGATCCTGATCTGCAGAGATATTTGAGGCACACACACACAGACAGACAGAGATTTCTAGATTGTATAGAGAGATAATAAGTGTCTACATTAAACAAATGTTAAGAACTGTATTAGATTGAATCTTATTGCATCAAATTGCACTGAAGTGTTCCATAGTAAACTGCATGGTCCCTAAATCGCATCGTAGCCAACGCATCTAGATATGTATGGCCTTGTCTTAGATAGGAGAGATGCACTCCTACTCCATAATGGGCCCATGTTGAATTGTGGACCTAAATGTCTTCACTGGAGTTCTGCACAGACTGCTTTACAAAAGCTTTTGAATATTCAGAATATTAATTCTTATCTAATGTTACTTATTCTCCCATACAGGACCAAATAATGCAGAGCTGAGAATGGTGATGGTGGGGAAGACTGGGAATGGGAAAAGTGCCACTGGAAACACCATTCTGGGACAACAGTGCTTTGTCTCAAAGTTCAGCGCAGCGTCTATGACTGTTGACTGTTCCAAGGGCAAAGCTGTGGTGGATGGGCAGCAGGTTGCTGTTATTGACACCCCGGGTCTGTTTGACACCAGGTTTGGTATGAACAAAACAGCTAAAGATTTATGCCAGTGCATCTCTTACGCTTCTCCTGGACCCCATGTATTCCTGGTGGTCATCATGCTGGGCAGATACACTGAAGAGGAAAAGCAGACAGTGCAAAGGATTCAAGATATCTTTGGCCAGGCCGCAGACAAATGCAGCATGGTTCTCTTTACCCATGGGGACCTTCTTGAGAACACCACTATCGAGGAGTTCTTGGCTGGAAGCTCAGACCTGCAGGAACTCGTGGCCAGATGTAACGGCCAGTACCATGTCTTCAACAATAAGCTGAAGGACCGCTCTCAGGTCACAGAGCTGCTCCAGAAGATCAGAAATATAGTCAAGAAGAACGGAGGAAGCCACTACACCAACGAGATGTTCCAAGAGGCCGAAAGGGCAATTGAAGAGGAGAAACAACGCATCCTGAAAGAGAAAGAAGAGCAAATGCGAAAAGAAAAAGAGGAACTGGAGAGGAAAATTCAGGAAAAATACGAAGAAGAGATGAAGGAAATTTATGAGAAACACCAGGCTAAGAGAGAGAGGGAGAGAAGAAAGAAAGAGAGGGAAATAAGGAAGGAAAGGGAAAGGATGGAGGAGGAGAGGAGGAGGGAGAGGGAGGAAAGAGAAGCAGAAAGGAAGAGAGAGGCAGAGGAAAGAAAGAGGGAGATTGCAAAAATGATGAGATGTTTAGAGGAACAGCGTGAAAGAGAACTGCAAGAGGAAAGAGAAAGGTTGAGTGAAAGCCGTAGGCAAGCACAGCGGCGAGCTGAGCCGGACGATAGTTGTACAATTCTCTGATTTGGTTTTCCTGTTTTTCCATGTAAGTTGCTGCTCAGAAGTGGAGTAAACTATTGAACTATTTTAATGTATGAGATGAAGAAACATTCATAATGGCCGCCTCTCACCACATGAAAATGTATCAACCATTGTTACCTCTAGTTGACATACAGACTTACTTTCATAGTTTAAATTTAGTTTTGGCGTAATTGGCGCTATAAAAAATTAAATTTAATTGAATAGAATTTAATTGAAAATGCAATGTGATTGCATCGTTTATACCATAACTCTGAATAAAATTTTTTTTTAATTTGATGAAGAAAACAGGAAAGAAAATATATTTTGAAGATTGTCTGAAAAATAAATTATAATATATTTTTAATATTTGTCTTCGGTCTTGTTTTGTTTCAGCTTCAGGCCCTGATGGGTGGGAATCAAAGCAGCATCCTCTGGTCCAACGATCTTCCCTTGTCCAACTGAAACAGTATAATTTCAGCAATTCACTTGAAATTCCACTATGCAGCAATTCTTTAACAGTTAAACAATAGTTAATGCTGCAGTGGGTAACTTTACATAAATAAAAAGTTATTATTGTCATATTTGCTGAAACTTTCACTATACCCTGACAGTGGAACGCAGGTAATCTGTGGAAAAATCAGGTTCCTCTGATTTGTTCTAGTGCTCCTAATGGCATTTGCAAGAATCCACCGGGCCAGAACGTAAACAACCAATCAGAGCTGAGAAAGATAAGATGACGCTTTGGGTTGGTGGCTTGAAGATAGTTGATTGTTGACTTTCATTCCCAAATGACCCTCTTACGTAAATTGTTACGTAAATTTTCTCATATAACAAGGCTCAAGAAAACACTGACTTTGTGAGAAAAGAAGAATATAAAGTTTGTATGATTGTTAGAAATTCTAAAAAAAAAAAAAAAAGCATAATACAGAGAGAAAATTGTATAAAAGGTTCCCTAAACAGAAAATAATCTGCTCAAAATGCATCCAAATCCCTAATTTCACATAAACCTTTTGCAGTTACTACAATCCCAATTGTACCTCTTCCCACTGAAGACAAAAGCCAGATGTTAGTGGGTGTTGGTGGGTTTTTGTCCATTGTGAAAGGGGCTTTACACACACCAGCCTCCCAGTACAACCACAGTCTGATCTGTTTGCCAACAGGAGCAGTTGGGAGTGAAGGGCCTTCCATAATGACACATTAGGGGGGCTTAGTTCTCCATCTGGACCATATTTCACTTTATTGTATATTGAGTGTACACTGTGTGCACAATTATTAGGCAAGTTGTATTTTTGAGGATTCATTTTATGATTGAACAACTATAGTGCTCTCGGTCAATCCAAAATGTTAATGAACCTAAACCTGAATGTTTAAGAAAGTAAAAGTGAGGTTTTGTCTTTCTTAAGAGAATATATATATATATATGTGTGTGTGTGTGTGTGCACAATTATTAGGCAAGTTGTATTTTTGAGGATTCATTTTATTATTGAACAACTACAGTGCTCTCGGTCAATCCAAAATGTTAATGAACCTAAACCTGAATGTTTAAGAAAGTAAAAGTGAGGTTTTGTCTTTCTTAAGAGAATATATATATGTATATGTGTGTGTGTGTGTGCACAATTATTAGGCAAGTTGTATTTTTGAGGATTAATTTTATTATTGAACAACTATAGTGCTCTCGGTCAATCCAAAATGTTAATGAACCTAAACCTGAATGTTTAAGAAAGTAAAAGTGAGGTTTTGTCTTTCTTAAGAGAATATATATATGTGCACAATTATTAGGCAACTATTAGTTTGCAGAATTATTATGCAACTAAATGAATAAACGAACATTTTCCCATCTCACTTGTTTATTTTCATCTGTTAAAGTGAGAATAATAAAACAACTCAAAATTTACAAATAAACATTTCTGACATGTCAAAAAAAAAAAAAAATAAAATCAGTGACCAATATAGCCACCCTTCTTTTCAATAACTGTCACAAGCCTTCCATTCATGGAGTCTGTCAGTTTCTTGATCTGTTGACGATCAACTTTTTGTGCAGCAGCAACCACAGCCTCCCAGACACTGTTCAGAGAGGTGTACTGTTTTCCTTCACTCTAAACCTCCCGTTTAAGCAGGGCCCACAGGTTCTCAATAGGGTTTAGGTCAGGTGAGGAAGGGGGCCATGTCATTATTTTTTCATCCTTAAGGCCTTTACTGGCTAGCCATGCAGTGGAGTACTTCGATGCATGCGATGGAGCATTGTCCTGCATAAAAATCATGGTCTTCTTGAAAGATGCAGACTTTTTCCTGTACCACTGCTTGAAGAAAGTGTCTTCTAAAAACTGAATATGAATATGAAATATGTCAGGGGTCGTTATTCCGATAAATAGCACATTTTAAATAAGCTTGGAGAAGTTATGCATTAGAGTGTAATATACTTACTAGTTTCAGTTCAATTAACTGAATGAAATTGGTACAATTACCTTAATTTATAAGTTGCCATAACAATAAATACTTGAGTTACTCAAATCAAATATATTCCCATGCTTAAATTGTTGTAGGTAATACATTTAAAGCGTTAAGGAAATCGGTGTCCAACAATTTGAGTTGAAGTAACTCATGGGGTTTTACAGTGTAGGGGGCACTGCATGTTTTACCATTGGGTGGTGATGGGCAGATGAAGCTTTTGTGAAGCACTGAACCACTTGAGCCAATTGTTTCGAAAATGGGTTCATTACTCGAAGCTTCAGTTACAGTGACCTCTCCTGGCAAAGTGCAAGGCTGCAGTCAAATTAGGCTGGTTGGTGGACAGGAGGCTTTTAATTACATACAGGCATTCACGCACTCACACACTCTCTCTCTCTCTCTCTCTCTCTCTCTCTCTCTCTCTCTCTCTCTCTCTCACACACACACACACACACACACACACACCTTAATAAGCAGTGTTGGAGAAACTGTTTGTAGAAAACACCTTTTGTTCTGAAGCATCTTTGCTTTGATCACCCTTGGATTTAAAGTATCTTTGCTTTGAAAATTCTTATCTACATCATGTTCTATTTACAAATAAAGATTGAATGTGTGTATTGTGTTACTGAAGACAGAATGCTTGGAAACATGGTATAGTTTGGGTGTGCTTGTGTAACTATGGCGGGGGGGATGAGGAACACTCAAAGGTTTTAATTATGGTAACTGTTACATCATTTATTCAACAGTTTTTGGGTTGAGCCGGTTTCTTTTCTTGCTCACAATTTCTTCACATTTGCGGTTATAAAGTGTTAAAGGCGCTCAAATTCCCAACTGTCTCAACCTGTCACCTGTCAGAATCCAGACGAGGCAGTGCCAGTGAATCAGCTGATTGGACCGCGAACCAGTCAGCTGGTTCATTCAGGCAATGAAGCGGCCTATGTCACGTGATTTTTTTCGCACCCAAGCAAGCTTTGAAGCAGTGGTTCTATGGAATTGTAGTCCAGGGTTTGAAGCACGTATCGAAGCTTCAGTGTCGCACTGCCATCACTAGTATATATATCTATGGCGCGCGCCTATGAAACATACATCTCGCGCCGCTTCGCGCGGACCGTGTGACAGTGCTCAGAGGCGGAATGTTAGCAGTTGGAGGTCTGAATGTAGAAAGGCACGGTCCCAAACATCTCCAATAGGCGGTGAGTATTTCTACTGTGGTGTATTTCAGCGGCAGTGTGGCTGTGAGTGGCGGAGGGTTGCTGCAGGATGCTGGGCTGATGGGCGTGTGTCTGTGTTTTGACCGGGGGAAACAGCTTCTCCATTTGTTCATGTAGCAATAATTCAAGCCGTTGTCTGAACACGCCTTCAATGCAGTGGCAACAGTGTAAAGAGCTCAGTGGGATAACTGAATGTCTGCTTCCCTTATGAGCGTACAGCTGAGAGGGAGGGATGCTCATTGATAGCAAACAGGGGTGTTGCCTTTCTCTCTCAGCTCACTACAGAAATGAGACATCATCCTCCCCTAACTCAGAATGACAGCGCCCTTACTTTAAGTCCAAAATGTTTAATCACAATTTTCAAAAGAACATGCTGATTTCCTCTCTTGACAGGGTTCCCACTCATCCTGGAAAACCTGGAAATGTAGAGACTAGTTTTCCAGTCATGAAAACGGATTAACACGACCAAAATATCCTGGAAATAATCCATGTTGTCCTGGAATTTATTTTTATTGTATTTTAGCCTGTGGCCTGATTCATTTACTGAGAGGAAAGCTGCAGTGGACCTTTTTCACAGCCGCCATTTGACATGAAATAGTAGGGCAAACACAGGTGTCACCTGGCCTCAGTATGCTTTAAACTAATTAGACTGTCCGATGTGCCATCTGACCACATCTAAACGCTACAGTTGTATCTGTTCCAAAGAGTGGATGAAAAACCTGTTATAGCCTCCTCCTCCTCCTCCTCCTCCTCCTCCTCCTGGCTGCGTCCCTCAGCCACCTTGAACTCTCTCCTAGAACCCTGCCTCTCACATGTCTTTTTATGTCTCGACATATTGTCCAAATGGGTAGAAAGGTGCACACTTTGGGAAAGTCTCTCCTCAAAGGTTTTCATAGTATACGGCACACAAAAAGACAGCAGTCGCTGTGTGAGGAATAATACATTTTATTCATAGAGCACTTTTCTAGAAACTCAAAGAAGGTAAAAAAAAAAAAAAAAAAGGTAATAGAAACTACACACTTAAAATATATACAGACACTATCGGTCAAAAGTTTTAGAGCACCCCAATTTTTCCAGGTTTCCATTGAAATTCATACAGTTCAATGTCTCATTGTACTCTGAAATGAAAGCAAGCATGGAACGAATAAACAATTGAAGTTCAACAAGAAATCATGAAATCAATTTATGAATCAGAATGGATCATAAACCACCTTTGGCAGATATAACAGCTGAACACACTTGTGGCATTATTTCTACAATGGAAATCAAATATTCTTCAGAACGTTCTTCCCAACTCTGTTGTAGAAGTTTCCATAAATGTGTGGCACTAGGTTGCTTTGCTTTCACTCTTCTGTCCAGGTCATCTTAAACCAGCTCAATAGGGTTTAAGTCTGGTGACTGTGCTGGCCACTCCATGTTTTCAAGCTTACCATCTTGTTCTTTTTTCCTAAGGTAGTTCTGGCATAGCTTGGATGTTTTGGGTCATCATCTTGCTGTAGGATGAACCTGACCAACTAGGCTCATACCAGAGGGTACTGCATGGCGCTACAGGGTGCCTCTCACTCTGTACAAGTCACCGACCCTGGATCCAGCAAAACAGCCCAGACCATCACGCTTCCTCCTCCATATTTGACAGTTGATGTCACACACTGAGTAAACCATCCCTTCTCCTACTCGGTGGCGTACAAAAATCCTACGTGATGAACCAAAGATTTCAAGTCCGTAACACCTTCTTCCAGTCTTCAGTAGTCCATTGGTGGTGTTTCATGGCCTAGGCAAGTCTCTTTTTCTTCTGATATCTTAGCAGTGGCTTTCTTGCTGTAACTCGACCTGTCAAACCTACAGCTCGGCTGTGCTTAAAGCTGTTGTCCTGTGAGCCGCCTGTCACGCAAGCTGTTGACTTTGTGAGTGTTCTAAAACTTTTGACTGGTAGTGAATCTATTTCCTGGTGGGTGGGCTTTAATCCAACTCCTTACAACATTTACAGAGACCCAACAGTACCACCATGAGCAAGCACTTGACGACAGCGGCAAGAAAAAACTGCCTTTTAAGAGGCAGAAACCTAGGACAGATGGGTGGTCGTCTGCCCAATGACCAGCCTCCTAGTACACCCACAGTCTGATCTGTTAGCCAACAGGAGCAGTTGGGGGTGAAGGGCCTTCCATAATGACACCTTAGAGGGGCTAAGTTCTCCATCTGTCTTCACACAGTCATTTCAGGTGTCCCCACCCTTGATTAAAGTGTGGGTGTGGCTGCAAGTTTTTGACTGTGTGAAGACAGTTCAGTTGATTGAATGAACCAAGTCAGGTGTGCTGCTGCATGGTTGGAATGAAAACCTGCAGACCCACGGCCCTTTCACGGATCAGTTTGACACCCCTGGCCTAGACTATCGGGGGATTTCCCATGATGCACTGAGCTCCTCTCTTCCTCTCTCTTTCTGCACTCATTCTTGTCCCATTATTGCATGTTAGTTTTTGTGCTTTCTCGTCTCACAGGTTCTCATGGATCCTGGTGGAGCCTCCTGCCATGGTCCTGCTTGACTCCCACTGCTAATATTACTGATATTATTATTTTTATTATTATTATTATTATTATTCATCCCACGTCGTCGTAGGGGTCTGTCCGAGGTTTCTGCCTCTTAAAAGGACGTTTTTCCTTGCTGCCATCGTCAAGTGCTTGCTCATAGTGGGAACTGTTGGGTATATTTATAAGAAGTACGGTCTTGACTGCTCTATTTGAAAAGTGTCCTGAGATAACCTCTGTTATGAATTGGCACTATAAAAATAAAATTGAATTGAGTAGCTGGGGGCGGCTGTGGCTCAGAGGTAGAGCGGGGTTGTCAACTAATCGGAAGGTTGGCAGTTCAATCCCCAGCTCTTCTCGCTACATGTCAAAGTGTCCTTGAGCAAGATACTAACCCCAAATTGCTCGTGATGCATCGGTGTATGAGTGTGTGTGAATGATTAGTTTCCATTCTGGTGAGCAGTTGGCACTTTGCATGGTTGCATACACTGCCATTAGTGTATGAAGGTATGCGTATGGGGTAACTGTGGCATGTAGTGTACAGCACATTGAGTGGACAGAAGCCGATAAGGCGCTATATAAGTACAGTCCATTTACAATTTAATCTTTAGTAAAATATCTGAGTACTTTAAGTATGGTAAAAGGACTATATATACTATAGGCCAATAATATACATATAGCGCTTTTCTAGTCTTGAAACTGTACACTACATGACATAGTGATGGCAATGGATTATGAGCAATCAAGGACATTCGACAGGACATTATTACTTTACTATTTCTCATGAAGTGTAACCAAGTGTGGGTGGGACATTGAGTGAGTAGCAGTGTTTTAAAGGAATTAATTGTATTGACAATTGTAAAATAAAAAAACAAACACAATACCAATAATTGTAAAGCTACTGAATATCTCATCCGATTATTCCTATCCCTACTTTCCATACTGTACTGATATTTACTGGTGACTTTCCACTCATAAGTCTACTTCTCTAACAAAACTGAGACTCAGGGAGGGGCGGCTGTGGCTCAGAGGAAGAGTGGGTCGCCCCCTAATCAGAAGGTTATTGGTTCGATCCCGGGCTCCACACGCCAAAGTATCCTTGAGCAAGATACTGAACCCCAAATGTGTATGAATGTGTTAGTTTCTGTTCACTGAGTGAAAGGGTGAATGTGGTATATAGTGTATAAGCACTCTGAGTGGTCAGAAGACTAGAAAGGCGCTATACAACTACAAGTCCATTTACCATTGACATGTAAGATCAATAGAGGTATCAATACACCCTGCACCCTTCTTTATAAAGCTCAGGACAGAAGAAATACCTCAATCGAAGACTATTTTTACTTTATAAATTATGCAACACAAAGCCACACTACCAGGCCTAACAAGCTCAAACACATCACACTGTGCTGTCTGTCATTGTCTGTCCTCATGCTCAGGAGGTCACTGATGACATCAACGCTTCCCAATTCCTAACCACATTACCATGGCAACCGGAAGAAAAGGTAAGTTTGACACTGTCTGTGTTCATGTGTCATGTCTGTCTATAATCACCAGGGGGCACTGTGCTTCTTGCAGTTAGCCTAGCTTCCCAAATTGGTCATTGAATATATAGAAGGAAGGGTGGCAGTGTATAATGCATTTTACGGCTCCACTTCTTTGTAGGTTAGACTTTTTGTTTTCCTGCTGGACACAAGATGTCTCCTACTTCATTGTAAAGTCCGTTCTCAGTGGATGTGCACTGGTGGCTTCAGGTTTCTACATCAAACTGTCCAAGTTGCATACTGGACCAGGACTGACTTCCAAACTATTTATGATGTCACCGATCCTGCTGGTAGGCCCTGCCCCTTAAAGTCAGATGATCAATGAGCACAGAAAAACTTTCCACTTTAAGCAGATGAATGTGAAAACATTCTTCTAGTGTCAAACAGACACCATACTGTAGGAACAAGAAGAAACAAAAGGGGTTCTATTGTTGTTAAAGCTCCTGAAATGTTCTTAGCTCACTTATAACATTTTGAAATTCAACAGTCAGCAGTAAGCAGGTGAGAAAAGACAGAACAATGACAAGAAAACACTGACTTTGTCAATAAAGAACCCTATTTAGGACGTATGCTTGTATAAAAAGTTCTGAAAATATCAGAAAAACCCATCGCTGATCAATACTCACAGAAGATAATCTGCAAAAAATGTATCCAAATCACTTGTTTTACATAAACTCCAACTATACCACTTAGTCAGGGGTCACTAGTAATATCAATGATAGAAAAGGGGTCCCTTAAGGACAAAGGTTGGGAACCACAGTTCTAACTGACCTATATGTATATGTATATGTAACTGTCATGTCAGTTCTGTTTTTGTTGTGTTGCCTTTTGCCATCTAGACAAGTTGCAGCCAGTATGTTTCACTACATATCAGTAACTGTCCCTGTCTTGATTGTGAGATGATTTTAAACCTGAAAAAATATTCTCTCTATGACCAGGCTCCACCTCCAAGGCGGGTGGGGTGCGTTTTCCAGATGATGACGAGCCCCCTGGCTCTCCAACACGGAGAGACGACCAGTCAAACCTCTCCACTCTCATAGCTATCCTACAGAAGGATGGCAGCTACTTGGTCAAGGTGTGTCCGTGTGTGTACGTGGAACCGAAGGGGTTGTTTCATGGCTGATCACGTGCATGAAATGATTTGCATATGTATGAGTCACACTTGTACAAGCCATTCAGCCACTGACAGGCCAGAAGCGTCACCAAAGTGATCAGGGACCCTCTGGAAGCTCTGGGGCATTATGAATATTCACAGCAGATATTCACAGTAATCTGACTGGTAGGGGTTAGAATATATTGGTTATTAACAGCCCGACCAATATCAGGCACTATAATCAACATTATTATAACAACTATTTACAATGAATAGAATGACAAGGTGATATGAAAATTCACCCCCCGTACAGTTGTCATGAATGGGGAAATTATCTATAGAGATCAAAACCATTTTTGTACCAGGATGTAAACATATTTATGTCTGCTGTAAAGTTGGGCATTTTAATATGGGGCCTTATGGAGATTGACTCACTTTTGCAGCCAGCTGCCAAAAACTCCAGTTTCTGGCACTACTGTTGCCTTCATTTGCCAGCCACCAAGGCAAAAATATTCCTACCAGAGACTCCCTGTCTGTTGTGGCTGCACTATTTCATGAAATGAAATGTGCAAATTTTATTTACATTTGCCTAAATTCAGATTTTTGGCTGCACAACGTGAGCCTGTAACAGGAGATCAGTATCAGTGTAAATATTATGATAGAAGTTGGAGGTATTGGTACTTTAAGTACTTGGATTTTTTATCAATTTATATTACATGTATCTGCTGTTGTTACAGGGTGATTTGTGTTTTGGAGATTAAGGTTTTAAATCTCACTTACTACAATGCATTGCTGCTGATGAAATATTCTGTATATGTGGATTAATAAGCTTTAGAGCCTTCCGGTTCAGCTATAACATAAAACTGCTGCTTCAGTGAGTGAGTACCTCACCTCTACTCTGTTGTTCCTCTCTCCAGGCTGGCTTCCTGAAGAGCCACCACTGTTACGAGATCGTCTTCACCGTCCCTGATTGCCCCACACTGGGCAAAGAGCTCTCCAGTCTTCCTTCCTCCTCTCCCACTCGAAGGTCCTCCAGCCTCCGGGTCCATCGTATTAACTCCACCATGGAGGGTACGTCATAACAACACAAACACATGCATTTGTATAACTAGTATGTGTCCCTTACTGTATTATTTGATAGGTAATAGCTGATATGATTGAGGGGTGGAGGTGCAACCTGTGGTCACACAACCACAGCTGTCACTGTCAGAGAGACGTTTGGCTGTGCACAGATGTGCTAAAGCTATTTCGCTGTTAGGTTGTCTGCCTTATGGTTAACCATGATGGCTTGCCAGGCTGGCTGAGATTGACTCATTGCCCAGTCTATCTATCCACCTTGTCTTTAGTTTTACTCTGTTTGTATCAGCAGAGTATTTTAACGACACTGACAGTAACCAAGAGACTGTGTGTAGTAGCTCTCTGCAACACACACATACCCAAAAACACAATGGGAAATGTGAGCTGACCTTTGGTGGTTTCAGACTTGCCTGTTTTTGCTAACACATGTAGGTTTATAGTCAGATTACTGGCCTGATCATTGGTTACCAATATTCTAACAAAAATGACCAAATATCCTAATAATTTAAGTTGTCCTGGAAATGTTTGTGTTTTAGCCCCTCACTTAGATCGCCTACATAAACCTAGACCAACTGTTGGTAGGATAAACTGTATGACACTTGAAAGCAGGTTTACCAGATGCAAAGTGGAACTGATTTACACTGATCTTTCCAGCAATGAGTCTATATTTTCCAAAACTGTAAGCTGAATTCTCATATCTACATGCATACAGCCTGATTGGCTTATAAGACTCCTTGCATGCAATTGATATAAAAAGCTTGCACAAAATTGCAAGCAAAAAACTGTAAGTAAATGTATATGTAGAAATGGAGGAACCCTCTCCCTCCCCCTCTTTAGGAGGAGTGAAAGTAACGTGCGAGTACAGGACTCACCAGGAGGGAGTGCTGCAAGAGGAGATCACTCTGGTAACCAGAGGGAAAAGGGACAGCAGTCTGAAGGTCAGACTCCAGGCCAGGGTTATTGGTATGTGTGTACACACACACACACACACACACACACACACACACACACACACACACACACACACACACACACACACACACACACACACACACACACACTCTCTCTCTCTCTCTAATTCTAAGCAGGTAATGATTACACAGTGCGTTCACTACACACTTGCACCAGGCATGTTTTTCCAAAGATAGATTACTGAGCTGTTTCTGTAGCGGTTTCATCCCAACCCACAATACAAACAAGAGTTGACTATCTTGGATTTGGAAGTAATCTGCCCTCATGAACACATATTTAAACACTAGGGACTTGGTTAGACTATCAGTACTAAGCTCAGAAGGAGGAGGTTGAAGTGAGGAAGGGAGCCGAGATAGGTCTTTTACACATTTTGACATGTCACAGTAGGAAAAGCACCAATGTAAATAATCAAATGAAAATGGCTGAATTCCATTAAGCTGCTTCAGTTTTACTCAACTCACTTATGTTAAGATATCATCACTGAGTCTGTTTATAGCTGGTATTAACATGCATCATGCATGTTCAGATACCAAGTGGACAGTTCTAAATACAAGTGTGCACTTGCCAAGGTGGTCTGGGAAGCATTTGACCACATATCTTTGGGGGTGTAAACGTCCTGGTCCATACTGAAGGACCGCCTACTCAGTTCACAGAAACTTGCTGTCTATTTAGTTCACTGTAATGCAAATTAGTGGTTGCGCTCTTACCTGCCAAGATAAGCAGCAAATGTTTGCGAATACACTGTCTTTTTTAGCTGATTGGACCACTGAACTAGTCAACGCAATATCAACAGTCTGCCTGATAAAATCACATAGTTTTGAGAGTTATTGAGTGAGGAGAAACTTAATACACTTTGTGAAACGCTGTCTTTGATAATTCAGGAAACGTTACACTATTTACATTACATTATTTCTTAGTTATTTCGCCGTGTGTTGGCTAGCCGGCTGTACAGCCCCCTCTACTGCCATCCACGCAGTCGAAAAAGCAAAAGTGTGTGTCCTGCCCATAAAGTTCAGTTATAATATCCCACAATGCCCTAGCGTCTTTCCAGCAGGGCTGCTGACAGCAAGATAAAAGCAACAGCAGGTCTGCTACTGAACTGAAAAAAGGACTTCTGAAATGTGATTAGGGTAGAGCCCTATAAAGGTCTGGGGGGAGTGAGAGCTGGGGAGTGAGATCTGATCACAAGTGGTCACTGGAGACGCATGTGGAGACACATTCTAATGCCAGGTGTAAACTGACGTTCTTAAAGCTGTGCACTTGTGATCGGATCACCCAAGACCCATGTTGATACCAGGTGTACACAGGCTCTGTATTTTGTTGTGCCTGTTTACATTTCGCCAATAGTATGGACATGGGACGCAGCTACTGCTATGATGTAAAACTGTTTCAGAAATAAGATATGAAGTCTTTGGGAAAACATGTTAACACTCACTTCAGGAAGTTTAATTGACAGTGGCAATCCAAGGTTTTATTGACCTCTGTCAGGGTCCAACTTATGTAGATTTCTGTTATTGGAATAGAAAAGAAAGCCTGTATTGCCATTGTACAGTCTACAACAAAATTAGGACAACACATTGAGCTTGCATTATAAGAAATGTGCTATATGAATAAATTTGACTTGACTTCCCCAGAAGCACTACTAAGTGTGATAAAAAAGACATAAGTAAAGGACGTTATACAAAACAATACAAGGTATAAGCCCACTCAGGCTCCACTCAGTGTCCTGATAAGGAAAGTAACAGGACAGAGGTGAACACCTGACAATGTTACATCAGCAAACTGATGAACACAGTGTTTTTCTCTCTTCATCTCTGTCTCTCTACCCCCTTTTGCACTCACCCCTTTCTCTTCCTCTGTCCAGACCCACATCATGGGACTCCCATGCTGCTGGAGGGTGTGACGTGCCTGGCTGCTCAGAAAGATGCCCACACAAAGCACAGCAGCGACCGTAAGAGGATATGATCAAAATATATAATGTGCTTATACATATATATTTACAACAGTGCAGTGCCCAGAGTGGTAGTATGGAAACAGCTTTATTTGACTGGGAAATAATGGGTCTGTGGTGTTTGCTATTATGGTATTCCAAATGATTTGTTGGAAAATAACAGGTCAATCATACATTTTTTCACAATTTTCACAACAATCAAAACGGCAGACTCTAGCCTAGCATCACCAGACTAGTTCGCAGATGTGTAGTAGTCTGGAACCTCTTAATTCATTTTGGATTTCCAAGGGGTATTATCAACAGAAGCATGCAAAAATACCTCTCTTACCTCTGTTTTCAAGCTGTACACAAATGACGGCCCTGTCACACATTTTCTCTAATTACCTAAACAGTACACTAAAATGTCTTACAGAAAATAAGCAATGTATTAACAGAATCTTGATTCATACACTGTAAAACTGTAAAAAGTTAATTTAACTCAAATGTTGAAACCGACTACAAGTACCTTAAGTAATTTTAAGCGACAAACAAATGGTACTGTGAAAGCAAAATACAGAGTAAAAAGTTATTAAGTAGGAATGTTTCCAAAACTTACAAAACTAAGTCACTGCCACTTAAAATGACTAGGAAAATCTTTTTAAGACCTAAAAAACTGAGTTTGTGTTTCTTAAAAATTCTGATGTAATGGGTTTCAGCAGTTTTTGGAGTTAAATGAATTTAATTGGTTTATAGTGTAATTTATCAGCACTGTTTTGAACCGAGTTTTGTGAGCCTTTGTGTTGCCCTGGACGGACTTGCAGGCTGGACTGGATTGGATAGACCTACAACCAACCAGAGCAGCGAAATTTGTGACATGTGACTTCGAATCTGGACCGGGGACAATCCTCTGCCTGAATGGGAGGGGGGCCAAATGCATCTGCCAGAGCAAATGAAACATGAGCTCGCAGATTCGTCTGCTTCCTAGGCTGAGGCTCCTCGGCAAGAAAGCTTAAATACCAGCAGCCTGCAGCTCTGGGTGAGCGTTTGACAACTGCTGTCCTGTTTAGACAGCCATTAAGCCTCTTTTGTTGGAGGTAGAGTAAACCAGCACTTAAAACTAGCCAGTTAACACATTACACACACGATGCCACTTCCGGGAAAAATAGGCAATGATCAGCAACACACATATAGTAGTAGACTGTAAAGGTGCTGCAAATAAATAGATTGTTATCCAGAAAAACTCTAATTTTGACTCATACTGTTCTCTGTTCCCTAACTATGTGCACCTACCATAAAATCATCAAAACACAGTAAAGTACATTGGAATTCAAAATAAGTCAAACCTTTTACAGAAGAGAATTAGGGCCATACTTGAAAAAGTATTTGAGTTCTGCCCAGATTAAATGAACAATGACATATTGTACCCCTATTTAACAATGCAAGCCAAAATATTTACAACAGAATGTAATATTAAAATCCAGTCATTTTTCTTCATGTAAAACAAAATGTGAAGCGTGATTATTTAAGCATGAACCAACCAATTTCAAACAACAATATCATGACACCCATCTGTTAATCAATCTACTTTTTGCAACACAGATAGACACACATACACATACACATGTGCACCACAGCTGCCACCAGTTATTTTACTGTTTGCCCCTTACACCGTACCAGTACAATTCTCATTGTACTATTGATATATCATGTGAAGGAAACTGATTCAACTTCAGTGAGGAGAGTTCAGCTGGGGTCACTTAATCAAGGGCACCTTGGCAACATTGGCACTGTTTGCAATAAGAGTCTGTCTGCCATCACACTTTACTGTGAGTTTTAAGTAGCCATAAATGACAAAGAAGAGATTATGAGGATTTCCCATATAACCACACTGTTGTATGTATCTTTGAGTGTAGTTGCCAATTAAAACTGTATAATGTGGGACCATTGCATTGCCAAGTATTAACTAGCATGATACAATTAAAATGTTTAACATGTCATCTTAAAAAAGCAGAATGTGTAACACCATCTTTTAAGACCATGCGATATGAATTCTTGACTGTTTGTGGTGCAGAACAGAATGTGAACTGAAAGAAAAAATCTCTCTGATTGCAGGAAACTGCATTGTTATCTCTTCTTCTTCTTCTTCTTCTTCTTCTTCTTCTTCTTCTTCTTCTTCTTCTTCAGATCTTTTATGACTAAGGAGTAGTCTGCATTTTTGGTTTTGGACAAAAATATGTATATGTCATTAGCATCTTTCCTGTTGACATCAGTGCAGCCTTCTTGATGTGTATTATGACCGCTTACATCAGCAAATGATACAATATGTCACATATGAGTTGTTTTAAATATTCTGTTAATGCTATAACAAAGAAAGAGATGGGAGAGTTTTCCCCTCTATTTGCATGATTTGTACTGTTACCACGTAATTTATCAGGGCCCGGCTACTTCTCAGCAGGATAACAAAGTTGTGACCAGCCCTACTCTGACTCTAACATCTGTCTTGTATTTTGTACTAAAAATTGACAATCACGTGTAGTTTCCTGACATGCTGTCAGCTGCTAGTTCAGTCAGTCTGCCCGTCAGTCTGCAGAGCTAACACTGATGTGAGCTCAAGTAGCCTTTATTGTCATTCGGGGTCATTAGCATACCGATGTTATAAGACTGTCAAGGTTGACAGCTCAGTAGGGGTTATGAATATTCCATCACCTTTGAACACTGATGATTATTTTTGAACATGTACATTAGCAGTTTGCTATTACATACTGTGTATACTTACCAAATTGATTCAAAGACCCCTGTTGGTCCCCTACCACAGTTTGAAAATCCGTGATTTAGACCACTGACTAGCCGGGAGATGTTTAGTGAATTATCATTTTTATTTTACAAATTACACACAATTAGGTATTTTACTCAAGTTGTTTAACACTAGTGGCAGTTCAGTAAAGCTTAGTTGAGGCTATTAGGATTCATAGGAACACTTTTACTCAACATTCTGAAAAGTGTTGGAATGGAGCTCTAACGCCAAACGTCATCCACCAAAGACACATTAATTTGATGGTACTTAATTCATTTCCTGTTTAAACACTGTTGATTGTGGATATGCAACCTGCAATGTGTTGATATGTGCTGCTCTGTTGTCTGACTCTGACCTGCCACCACACAGTATGTGTCCCTTGCACTTCCAGCCATGTCCATCAGGACTGTGTCATTTGTCTGTTTACCTGAATGTAAATAAAGTATCATCTCACGTGTACAAAGTCATCAGTTGAATTTATATTGCATATAGGTAAGAGTAAATGTACATTTACTGTTTTAAATGAAGTGCTACCTTAAGAGGAACTTTTAAGAATATTTGGATATACCACAGTTTTTGTGAATGTTTGTGGAAAGATTTTATGTTTAATGCAGTAACAGATCTGGATTCATATTTGATCAGCACTGCCATGTTTGACTGTTTGATCTGAGTTTGGTGCGTTTAGCTGGACGGACTCACTGAGAATGACCTGTCAATCACAAAGCATACCCTGCTTTATGGTCTATTTTACGCTAAATGGGACCATCATTTACTAAATGAACATCATGCTGTATGGAAGAAGACTGACACTAGAGAACTGAGACCTTAAACTCATCAGGAAACTGTTTACTGAGCTCATAAATAAAGTCAGAAGTCAGCTCATTTCTCCATAAGACTGCATGGTATCTGTTTTTTCTTTGCAGCCAATGGAGCTGCCCCCTGCTGGCCTTTAGATGAAATGAATGGTTTAAGACACTTCCAAGTGGCCCTCGTATGAGATGACAATACTAGCAGTGGCATCAAGCCAATTTGAGTTTGAGACCCCTAATGTAGAGACTGGCTTGTCTAACCAGATTGGATATTTACTGTTGCTAACGTGACCGTAGAGATAATGTGTTGCCGTTGCAGAGTAACCCATATGTAGGGTGACTCATCATGCACGCTGATTTTGTACTATTGCACATATTGTCACTGTTCATATAGCCCTGTTATGTGTTTAATAGACTTATTTTTAAATCAAAAATCCAGTCTGGATCTGTTTTTGTTCTCTGTGTGCCTCCCTTGGTGCATTCAGAACAAGGTTGAAATCATAACACATCCAATACCTGCTTAAGATTAATACTACAAGTTGATAATTGTTCAGCAGCCAGCAAGTGTAGTCGTCTTTCAGTGTAATAAAACCTTGTTAGTGTGCTCCACCCATCTGACAAAATTGACATGACCTAAAAGTATTTTATAAATTCAAGAAAGCTAAGGCGACTCTGCTTCCTTGTTAGGCTATGATCTGTCTGAATGGCACAGTGCTTTCCAGTGATGGGAATAACGGCGTTACTATACTTACTTATTTCAGTAACAAGTAATCTAATTGATTACTCTTCCCATCTTAATAACACTGTTACCGTTACTGCCAAAAAATGCTGCGCATTACTATAATTGAAGCTGTTTTTTTCATCAGACCAACTAGATCTCTAAACTGAGAGGCAAGGACTTTTTTTTACTGTTCTTCCTTGGTTAGTGGGCAGTGCACGAAACAAGAGCATAAATGAGTTGAGTAAAATTTCATGGTAAGCCAATCAGAGGTAGAGTTGGGCGGGTGTTCGAAAGCACTCATAGTGCGACACACAACGAACAACACAAGCGAGTCAGTCAATGAGAGACAGGTATGGCGAGCCCAAATAATCCAAAAGTAGCCTTCTCTAAATGGAAGTATTGGTTATTAATTTTTGGTATAGTGCTTAACAAGCATAATTTAATTTTGCCCAGTTGTGGCCTGTTGAGGGGCCAATAAATATCAAAAGTTCCAAAACATCTATTGTGTTATTTGTATGGATCCACTATATAAACATAATATCTACATACATGGCATCTGACTGTAGGCTAATCTCACTTTGTCCCACAGCAACATTAAAAAAGTTTAGATTTGTGTACATTGTTTCTGTTAATAATGTATTGTATTAAGTGTGCATTTCATTATAATATTCAAATTTATCATAAATAATTAAACATGCACATGTATTTTAAGTTCCGTTAAAGAGGGGTGGAGGTGGGGGTCACATTTTAGCATTTAAAAATGTACTTAACGTAACGCAATAGTTACTTTCTGAAGTAACTAGTTACTTTTATAATTTGTAACTGAGTAACTAATTAAGTACTTTTTGGAAGAAGTAACTAGTAACTGTAACTAATTACTTTTTAAAAGTAACTTGCCCAACACTGGTGCTTTCTCTTCATGCCACTCATACTGCAGTGCTTTAAACCAGAGTTCTTCATCTCTCTGGCTCTGTTCCCTGTGACGAAAATAGACACACCCATACACACACACACAAACAACCGAGCCATTCCCGGAACTAAAATCTGGAGTGATCCGATGTTGTCCACAGGGCAGACGTAAAAGTTAATCAACTGAGCGTTACCGAAGTTGTGAAACAATGGCATACATGAACTAGGAAGTATTACTACAAAGCGAAGAAATCCACTGGGACCTAAGAGGTAAGAAATCCAGCACAATCCACTACTTTTACACAGGAAATCTGACTGTCAGCCAACTGTTTGACTGCTTTAACCCTTTGGTGAAGTTACTTTACTGTGACTGGTGTTCTCTCTCTGTGTGTGTGTGTGTGTGTGTGTGTAGGTAAATGCAGCCCTGTTCTGCTTCGCTTTTGCATAATGTAGGCTTTTTTTTTTTTTTGCTGATTGCATCACAATTTAAACTATTCTGTGGTATCTTGAGGAGCCTTCTCAGTTGAAGATACTCCACTTTTGAATGATCTTATGTGCTCTGCATTTTGTTTTCTCAAAACAAACCTAGCAAAATTGAAAATGTCCTCTCTGCGGTTTGATTGTGCCCTTTGTAATGCAGATAGACTGGCTAAGGTGTGCCATGCACTTAAAGAAAATACTAGTGAGAAAAGAAAAAAAAAAACATTGTGGACTCATAAATGCTAATACATTATTTTATTGACCATGAATTAATGTTAGTTGTGACATGTATTTATAATAGTAATATAGATGTGTAAAAAAAGAGAGACTGCTAAAAACAAATACTTGGTGAGGACAGGTTTGTTCTTGTCCCTGTATGAGTTGGTGGAAAAGTTGCTCATATTTGATTGATTTGATTGAAAAGTATAAATATTAAATTGTCTGGGAATAGATAGACTCTGCAAGCACAGGCACAGCTTGTGAACAGGCAAGGCTCAGGGCCTCAGGCCATTAGGGGGCCTACCGGTGCCTGAAATGGGCCAGTACTCACCAGCACTAACCCTAACCCTTATTGAGTACCACCACCTCTGGTGAGCACGACCCCCAGTTGAGGTTGCCGGTATTTTTCTGAGGGCTATACAATAAAAGTTGTTGTAAAAATAAATACTTTGACACTTTAATGCCCCAAAACGTCCCTAGCAAGTTCAGTTTGGACCTTGGTATTTCTAAAACCATGGGTACAGCACTGTACCCATAACTTTGTTAAGTGTTAGGGTTGTGCTGAATTAGGGTACTGGCATATTTTTTGGTCTAATTCAGGCACGCTGGGGTAGGCAGCTTTTTCTTGCCTATTAGACCTTTTTTCACATTTTTACATGAAATAGTAGGGTAAACATAGATGTTACAAATTATAAGGTTATGTTCCATTTAGTGAGTAAACATGCACAACAGCAGCACCCTGACTCTGACTTGAATGGAACGGAGCCTGAATTAGTATTTAATTAGTACTGCTGTGAACAAGGTCTATTGGGCAAAATTCCACAATAACCTTTCAGCATATTCTCAATCAAGTGGTCTGAGAGAAGACTAGACTTATGCGCCACCCCTTGGCTCTGTTTTCAGGCTATAGAAAATCTAGTCTAGCAGCTTCCTTTAACTGCTGTTGTTAAGAAATGCCACTCCCCGACAAACAATAAGATAAAACCATAAATGGTTTGACCTAGTTTCATATGAGTTAATTTTCCCTCTGCACTGCAGGAGATTATGAAAAGCAAGTCAGTGAGGCCAGTCCACACCCTCATGACGGAGCAGAGATGGATGCCAAGCAGAAGAAGCAAACCAGCTCTTCAAGCTGTCTCTCTATGAAGAGCGACCTCTCAAAAGATGAGCCTCCGTATTTCAGCGAGGAAGAGCGGTATGTTTATAATTAGGCTGAACCAAGCCACTTGAAGGGAGGAAATTATTTGTATCAATTAACATTTAAGTGTGCAAAAGAAAAAGCAGCAGAGATTTTAAGATGTTGAATGATTTGTGGCACTGACTAAACGCTGACTCTTTGTGACTTGAAGACCCTGCCAATTCTGACAGTCCATCCACATAAGAAGTCCCTCTGGAATGCTTCTGGTTATCCCCATTAATGCAAATATGTCCAAGTGGGGGTGGAATTCTCATCATTATCTTCTTGTAACTGTTGGCCTGAAGTGCCCTCAGTATCATAGATTCTCAAATGTGACATGAAATGCTGCATTATGATTATTATTAATCATCCCTGGCCCATTTCAATTATCTCTCTTTCAATAGCCTACATTTAAAGGTCTGGCGTGTAACATTTAGGAGGATCTATTGTCAGGAATGGAAGGTTTTATTAGTGTATAATCACCTGAATATAGGAATCATTGTGCTTTTGCTAACTTATAATTAGCCGTTTTCATTTACACGTTCCACGGCTTCCACAGAGTCCACCATGTTTCTACCGTAGCCCAGAATGGACAAACCAAACATGTCATGTATTTTTAACGAATTTCTGCCTTATCTTCAAACAATTTAATTTTTGGAATGTATGAAGAGAACTGAATAGAGTTTTGGAGGAGACTGTCCAAATGTTATCAGACCGAATAGAATCAGAATCAGAATCAGAAATACTTAATTGATACCCGGGGGGAAATATGTTTGTTACAGCTGCTTAAGGGCTTACGCAACATTAAAGAATACAGATAATAATTATATTACAATATCTAACAATATATTTGGGAATAAAAATAGAAATGTATATATCGGTATATACATATGAAATAAAAATAAAATAGAAAAATTGTAAAAAACAATAAAAGTCTAAGATAAGATGAGATAGACTTTATTGATTGAAAAACGTCCTTTTAAGAGGCAGAAACCTCGGACAGACCTCGGCTCTAGCTGGGTGGCCGACTGCCTCGACCAGTTTGGGTGAGAGAGAGAGAGAGAGAGAGAGAGAGAGAGGGTAAAGACAGAAGGACAGAGACAGAGACAAAGGTGCACAGCAACAACAGTAGCAACAACTACACTAATAGTAATGACTGATGGTGATGATGATGGATTCCAGTCCAAATTTGTGATATTGGGCTGTATAAACAAAATTGTCTTGACTTGACATTCCGTGATATGAGCTTACATAGAGCATTATTTACAACTTTCACCTTTCATTATATCACTTCTAGGAACCGTCCATGTGCTAAGACAGACAGGATGGATACAAACCTCGAAAAACCTACATCACCAACAAGCCCTTCTCTGAAGAGTGATAGGTCAAGGAGCTTGCCGCCAGATATGTGTCCTGCTAATACATCTGTAGATGAAAGGCAAGACTTTTGTTGGCTCTTAACTAAGATAAGACACAAGATCAAGATATGTACACGTATTCTATTTCAATATTTCAACACATAGATGCAAAACTTCAATTGTACATTGATGCATGTATATTGATTGATCATCACAGCTGAA